CGCGATTACGGAAACGCCAAGGCCGGATGCTTTGCGCGACTTGGTAGTGCCTCGTGGAGAACTTCCGAATGCGCCAGTACTACCTACTCCCGGACCCGAAGTCTTGGATGGGTTCTGGGAATAGCTGGCCGGAGCCAGTAGCCGACAGAATTTGTCGACGTCATTTTCCCAGTAATATTTCCAAAGTAGATGACTCATGTGTGTATTATAAGGTGTCGTTCAAAGCACTTCAAACTACACCTCGCTGTGAGTCTCGAGGGATCACGGCCTATTTAAAGGTGCGATTGGAAGCGCTTTGAATTGACAAGGTGTTGGAGGGGGTTATCCCGCTGCGAATGATCACCCAGAACTCGAGACTATAGCGACGTATGCGCAGATTCTAACTTAAGAGGCCGATGCGGGATACTACGAGGGGACGAATCGGAAATAGCGTTAGATTTCGATTTCGGTTTCGACTGGGTGGGACAAGACGTTGTGGAAATAGATATTGCGCTTTGGGCGTAGCAGATGAGTCGTATCGGTTCAATTGTAGGTTAGGTACTTATCAGGAGCTGCCAAGGGTATTCGATCGGATCGATAACGCGTTGCTTCGTTAAGGGGTTGCCACTTGAATACCTAATGCAGCAAATGGTACACTTTATAGAAGATTCACCTACGGTAGCTGGTTCAAGATGATATATCACGGAAATGGCGTCTTGTTGAGTGTATATGTGTCATAAACGATCATAAATGACGGAAGATGATAATCGAAGTGCATAGACGAAGATAGGAACATTACCTGGGACGGGGACGAGGTACCCTGCCTATCAGCGGTTTGTGCGCAAACCCCGCGACGCTACCACTCTATACATAGAAAGCCGGGTCATCGGAGACCTTATTTTGGGCCAATCATAACTCTAACCGACAGGGCATGGTAAATCCTCAGGGCATCGAGTCCTATGTACGTACCTACCTTAAACACCTAGTTAAACCTAATGCTCAAACAAGTGAGCCTAGAGCTTTTTAAACAATTGCCTAGTGTTTTAAACAAACTTTAACCAATCCCCATTACACGCACACCTTTCTAAACATTTAATATATTTAAAGCCACTAGTAGGTAAATTCATACCTAAGTAGAGTCTATAAACCAATTGTCAGCCAACTGCTGGTCATTGCTCACGCTTCTGCAAGCTATTGGATGATGTGGAGTTCACATGCATATCTCCCCCAACGAAGTCCCCAGTGTAAGCTCTGGTCTTCACTACATTAGGCATATGAACATACAAGTAATGGCGGCAAGTCTCAGCCGGACCATAGGGCTACGAATAGGAACCCATGCCGAGAAATCGACTTGGCATTACAGGTACTATGTAAGCCTTATTCCTGAAAGTATTAGATCTCCCATATTTATATGTCCACTATAATTATTTGTATACCTACCTCCTACCTACCTCCTAAGGTATGTTCTCGAACTTGTTCAGTTTTGATGGTATGATAAGTGCAGGGACAACTGTAGGGTTAGATATTACAAACAGAGTATTTATTAAACATATAGTAAGATCTTTGATTTGCCTAAAGTAGATAAATATCCCATTCAACCCTTAGTTCATATTTTTTTAACTATTCGATAAATATCTAGGAAATGTGCAAAAGTTACAATCTCCATAGTAGACAACTCATTGACCGAGTAACTTATAACATGCTTTGAATTTGTTCTCTTGTTACAGCTGCACGGCTTCGGGCGTTCAAGATAAAGGACTACTGTTAAAACAATCAAGTATCATGTCAGCTTTTGTGATTAGGCATATTTATATTTAAGCGTTGAAGTAACACTCAGGTACGTAATATTAATAGATAAAAAGATTACCTAAGTCCCTCTAGATTTAGGGTTATTCACAGTGGGGTTCACTGATAACGCCGATCCGACGGGCATATGGCGTTCTGGGGTTAGCGGGTTAGCGGGTTGTAAAGTATGCGCCGCCATCGCAAATTATAATTCGAAATTCGTTTCTTGTCAGATCAAATAACCGCCAGTACCCGCATCTATGTATTATTTACCAAAACACACATCTTCTTCTACCTTGAATTGAGTCGTCACCCAAGTCGCTCACCCTATCTCGGAGGTTAAATTCGCCCAAGATGTCTCAGGATAAACCACTTCCCTTTGTATACACCTTTGCCGCAGGTCCGTCGCATCCTAAGCCTTTCTACCCATGATCATGCCACATGAACTAACAACTTAACTTAGGTGCCATTGCTGGCATCTCGGAGGCAAGTAATAGATAGACTCGAAGCCCCCGCGCATAAACAGCGAGCTAACCTCACACTCTTTTCTTTCAGATTCTGACCATGTATACCCCATGCCATACCCCGCTTGAGTCTGTCGCGTGCGTATCGTTGACATAGACTAGGTACCCTCTGGATGTTGTCAAGACCCGAGTGTGAGCGACAGTAAGACCCTGTAGTTGGCATGTCTGAGGCTTACCACAGAATAGGCAACTCCAAACCGGCAAGGGAACTAGCGCAGACTCGTACAATGGTATGGTAGACTGCTTCCAGAAGATCGTTCGCAACGAAGGGTATGGTGACCGCCCGAAACTTACAGTTCGAAGACTCATCCGAAGTGCAGATTTTCGAGGTTATACAGAGGTATCACAGCCCCCATTCTGATGGAAGCTCCGAAGCGTGCCACCAAGTTTGCTGCCAACGATGAATGGGGCAAGTTCTACCGCAAAGCCTTCGGTACTGAGAAGATGAACCAATCATTGTCGATTTTAACGGGTGCCTCGGCCGGTGCTACCGAGTCTTTCGTCGTTGTACCTTTCGAGTTGGTCAAGATCAGACTACAAGACAAGGCTTCTGCGGGTAAATATACTGGCATGATCGATGTTGTCTCCAAGACTATCAAGAACGAGGGTGTTTTGGCTATGTACAATGGTCTTGAGAGCACCATGTGGCGCCACATACTATGGAACGCCGGTTACTTCGGGTGTATCTTCCAGGTTCAAGAACTTCTACCCAAGGCCGAGAGCAAGAAGGGTGAGATCCTCAATGGTCTAATCTCCGGAGGAATTGGTGGTACTGTCGGTACGATAATCAACACGCCAATGGATGTCGTCAAGTCCCGTATCCAAAACAGCCCCAAGGTTGCCGGACAGACCCCGAAGTATAACTGGGCTTGGGGTGCTTGCGCTACTGTGATGAAGGAGGAGGGCTTTGGTGCCCTATACAAGGGTTTCCTACCCAAAGTCCTAAGACTCGGACCAGGAGGAGGTATCCTTCTAGTTGTTTTCACTAGCGTTATGGTAAGTCTCATCGTGTCGTTCCCTGATCAAGTTATTTGGATTGGCCACTAATAAGTTAATAGGATTTCTTCCGCTCCATGAAATAAACATAGAACCGCGGAATAGTCTCGATGCTCTATCAGGAATAGTTAGGCATTGACACCTCTCTGTTTGATTAGCGACTTGTACATTGGCAGCAATGCATGTGTCTATAGATAGCAGACAAGATACCTAGCACACGTCTTTCCCAAACAATAGATCATGACCTTACTTTCCTACGTCAAAAAAAATTTGACATATCCGCGTGAATTTATGATTGCCCTTGCCTGAATAGCTTCTCAGCCACTGCTTTGAATCCCAATTAGGAGATAGAAGCTACTGCCTCGCGGGGAGGTACGGGGCTAACGGACTTATATTGGTAGTTACATATTACTACCATATACACATATTGTAATTTCCTGTTCCCATTCCCCAAAAGGTGACCTACCTTCTAACCCATCATCTACAACATATCTAGGTCAATATCTGAGAGGTCTAGATCGTCTCCTCCCACAACAATTACCTTTCTTGAACTTTGCAACTCAGAGTTCGATCTCCATATCATTTCCGAGTAATTAAATTATTCTTTTTCGAGTTTGACTTCTACCCTTTCCCTTTCAACCCGGATACTTTACCTTCCCGCAGATCTACCTAAGGAAGGGCAGTTCTAGTCGTCAGGTACGTTCTTTCTATAACACATATTAAACAGCATTGTCTCCACCATATACCCCCGTTGCTTCTCTTCTTACATCCACAACCAGCCTTTTAACTTGAGTATACATCTTTCGAGTTTTCTTCCCTCATAAACTTCGAATACTCCCTCATCCCACACACACACACACACACACACACACACACACAACCTACCTGCTTCTATCTTCTACCAAGCCATATCCGTTACCTTTACTCGATATCTGAGTTTCAAGTTTTTATTTCTCCCTTCTTACATCTACATTGACCCTTGCGCCACTCATCTACTCGTGATTGAATACGCTCCTAACCCTGGCACTAGGTTGTTTGCATCGTCTTCACATCTTCACAAGTGGTAAGAGATCACATCTAGCCTACTCTAGCATCGTTCTTGACCAATTTGGTAAGCTCCTTGCTTTAAATTTCCCTTTATATTCTCTATCTCCCTACATATACCTTCATCTTACGCATTTACCTCACCCCCATCACCAAGCACTCTTACCCAATTCTGCGAGCCATAGCCGGCTAAGTAGCATCTTACACATCCCAAAACCCATTCCTTCCACACGTCGGTGTTGGCAGGTTCTTTCCCTTGAAAGTGCCAGTTCCCCTCTTTGCACGTTTAACGTATCCAAGGCTACTCGTCTAATCGTCCTAATCCCAACATCTACCGCTCATCATCTTCCTCATGCAATAGTGACTTGAGTATTAAAACCCTCTACTACAGTGAAGCATTATTCCCCATCGTGATTCCCGTTTCAAGCCCAACTATTTTGTTAGTCTCACCTGCCACCTCGTGCAATTCCAGCGCCTTCTCTCGTGATAACCGAACTGATGTGAAGGACCTGCTACTGACTATTAACTAGGCCTAGAGTTCTTGAATCCTAGGAACGTGAAATATATTTATAAGCGCCCTTGCATTCCCGTGATACTCCATTCAACTCTACTGAAATATTGTCTATTTCACTCCTCCACACAATTCATATTTCTCAAGTGACATACATCAATATGTCTTCCGCACGCAGCGATAGTGCCGAGAATGATGACCATGAGCGTGAATTGAGGGAAGAATCGGATGATTCTGCCAATGAACGTGCATCCTCAGATGCTGCCGAAGACCAAACTGCAGAGAATAGCAATAATAATGGGCAAATGGAAGATGACGACGGTAAAAGCTCGTCCTATTACTTGAAATAGCGTAAAGCTAATATTTACAGATGAGGATAGATCGGTCAATCCAAGCATTCTTGATGACATAAGTGAATCAGACTTTGACGAAGTCCGTTATGGTCGTAACTACGACAAGCTCAAAGAGTCATACGATCGTCAACAGAGACTCATCGACATGCTGAAGGGTGATATTTGTAAAAAGAAGCGAGAAATCGAAAAGAAAGACCGAAAAATCCAAAAATTGGAGAATCTTCTTGCCGGGATTAGTGAGCCTCGTGTGGTAAGTACCTCCGTTGATCTCTTCTTCATAAAGGACCATACTCACACTCATATATAGCCATGGAGCCATCTACTAAGAGCATACTTTGAGGGCGAAGTATGTTATAGCACGGTCTATCGCGAATGTTGCAAACAGGAAAATATGTCGCAGAAACTAAGCATATTCCATCCTGACTTTTCACTTCAGCAGGAGGAGATTTCAAGAGAGAGGCACGCGATAGAAGAGAGACTGGTATTAAAAGAAAGGCGCGCGCGGCTTCTGGCACTGGAACGAGCACATGATGAAAGCGATATGGCTGAACCGGAGACTCCTCCTATATCTTACTTCCCATTTCAAGAGCTTCCCTTGGAGATTCAGGTGAAGATATTCAGGCAACTGTTTGTCAAGGGTACTCTTATCCACTGCCTCTCTCGGTTGGACCCTTCAAATCCACCCGTTGGTTTCCCCGATAAGGATGTCAAAGGAGAAAGTCAACTACCAACTAGATTCCATTTTGGCAGTTCGCCGTGTCAAATAATTCTAGCTCGCAAACCAAATGACGTGCTCAAACCTTTACTGGTCTGCAAGCGCTGGTACTTCATCGGCGTCCATGCCTTCTACGGAGCGAATACCTTCGCGTTCAACTCGCTCGGCGAATGGCATCGATTCTGCAATGGAATTGGCCCCGCGCGTGTCCAGCGGTTGGTGAACGTCGAGCTAATGTGGCATGGAGCCCTGATGCCTAGACACGAGACTCGAGTCTCACAACGCACACTTGGTCTCAAGTGGTTTACCAAAACGAGACGCCTTCGCACACTAGTTGTTCACATAGCAGAATGTGAAAAAAGCCGGACAAGACGGAAATATGAAATACAGAAGAAGAATCGTCAACAAGTCGGCAACGATGGAGGTCGGCTTATCGAGGACCAGTCCGATGGATATCAATCGGATGGAGACGAGTCTGACGACAACCAATCTGATGGTAGTCAAGATTTGGACAAAGGATTTGATCCTTTCGAGACTATGGTTCGCCGTACTCTTAGACACCCGAATTACCGGAAGTTTCGATCAATGCGGACAGTTCAAGGCATCGATTATCTCTATCAACTACGAGCTATGGATTGGATCCGCTTCAAAGAGAGTAATGGTCTTGATCACCGCCAATCGATTCGGGATTGGTCGTTTCTAAAAGACCTAAGCACTGTCGTAACTTTGCCGAAGCAAGATGATCTTGCCCTCAAGAGCCACCTAGAGAATCTAACACCGCTAACGTGTTTAGAAGATTTTATCCCGTCGGAAGAAGATATGCTTATTGTTAAGACGTTTTACGACGAGACTCACATCCTAGGTCCGGCAGGTGGTTCCGAAACGACTGGATCAGCCAACGGCGCATTTAGTGATACTGCTTCATGGGATGGCACTAGTATCAGCGACTCGGATGATAATGATGATTCTCCAGACAGACATGTCCCTAATCTCCGAAACACCCCCAACGCGCCAGTTCCAGAAATAATAGGGTTAGATTCTAATCCTAACAGCGATACCGAACCTGATAGCGACGATGACGATGATGACGTCGGTGGCTCTGGTGTACCGGACGTATCGCAAAATGCTACCACTATCTCATTAGTTGGGGCCTCTCAACAGCTTAATAACCAGACACAAGGCGACGAAAATGGGAACGAAGGAGATATAATATATAATGATGATGATGACGGCAGTTCCAGCGGCCTATTTGTTCGCTCCGGCTCAGGCTCGGGTAGTCCTCCGGCAGACCCAATGGAGATTGACGATCCTACCGAGCAGGCAAATTATGAGGTGATAGATCTAGCTAGAGACCAGACTGATGATGAAGATGAAGAGTCACTTTTTGTTCGTTCCGAGCCAGACACCAATGCTATGAAATCAGAGCCCGACGATGACATGCTTGATGACCCATACGCTAGGGAAGAGACACCCCCAGATAGCGATGATGAATCTGATATCTACCCCTATAATGTTCCCAGCGGTGCCTCTAGCGCCAATTCTTCATCCAGACAATCGAGCGAAGGTGAAGCTTACTCTCATGACGAGGGACAAGCGGCAAAACGCCGTAGATTAGAGTGAGAAATGCCAATGCGGCACATATTCCTTTACATTTTACCGACTATACTCGGCATAAACTCCTAGAAGTGAAGCAGTTGCTTCGCTCTTGAGATAAGACATACCTGGATTCTTCTCTTTCCATCTTCATTCTAACTATCTATAATCTCAACTATGAAGTCATGGTTCTGATTTAACCCAGCCTCCTATCTTCCACTACTTTCTACTACTAGTCGTTTCTTCACTTCGGTTCTCCGGTCCAAAGTTCTATTGGAGCGTTCGGGATTATCGAATATTTTCCCTTTCGACTCTCCAGCTTCACCAGTATCAGACCAAACAACTAGGCACCTTGGTGCTCAAGGTCAACAACCCGTTTCTAGATATTTTCCAGATTATTCCAGCATAGTAGCCGGCACTTAGTCTCGAATCTACTTGAGTTCTCATACTTCGTCTCTACCTACCTAGGTCAGCCTACGAGCCACCAAAACTTATACCCAGTTTCAGATACTTATCATCCGCGAAACTTAGGTACCTAGAAATCTACCGCACATGTGCAATCTAAGGGGCGTATTCTCAAATCACAGCACTGTATCAGTGCATCTTCATACTACCTGCCTACCTACCTTATAAGGCTCATTCAATACGTTACTGGACCGGGAGGACTTTTCTTGCTGTCACGAGGGAATCAGGGTTGGTGGACTTCCGAACATACATTACGATACAAACGGCTTCGTTGTCATCGTTGACGCCGTAAATATACGTGAGCTAGTTTGAGGCTTGCTAGGACTAGAATGATTCGAGAAGCCGTGCATGACGAGTAATGCGCTAGGTTGAAGTTGAAGAGCCACGAGGAGGACACTTACGCGGACCTTTTTGCTGGCGCGGTTGCACATATTCAGAGTAGTCCAAGTATATATACCTAATCAATGATTTCCCACAATGGATTTTGATTCTCTCTGTAGTTTTCGTAGCCTACTAATATGGTATCTATTGAAGAACTTAATCAAACACAACCTTACGCCCTTGAAATGCGATCTTTTGACCTTCCTCCTTGGCCTTCTTGGCCGCGGCCCAACTTGGGTGCAAGAGGCCCGTATCATCCCTCTTAGGTATTGCTTTTGGTTTCGGGTTGTCCTCCACGAAGCTTCTCCCACTGGTTTGTTCGCGGCCACCTTGGAGCTGCTGCTGGCGCTCGGGGTGGATGTGCTTGTTATCGAAGGGGTTCCGGATGCCTTTCTTCCAGGGCGTATTGGACCCCTCCTCGTCCCCTACGGCGCCTCGCCTCATGTCCCATCCCTGATCTCTGCCCGCCTTGGCTTCCTGCTGCTTCTGGACGTGCTTCGCTTTCTCCTTGTACTTCTTCTCCCATATGGCTTGACGCGCTCGTTGGCCCCGCCGGTTCTTGCGCGCGGGGGCGAGATCGAGGTCGGAGGCTTCTGATTCGGAGCCTGATATGTAGCCGCCCATCAATGAAGGTAGGAATGCTGAGTTACCAGCTATTATCGCGGCTGTCTTTGCGACTTTAGCCCTTTTAGGGGGTGGGGATGCGGATGCGGATGCAGAAATTTGGCTGTCTGCATCTTCCAGATCTTCTTCCTCTTCTTCTTGGTCTGATTCGGATGATCCGACTGATGATATAGAAATGTCATCGGCCGTCGTTTTTCGGAGCGATCTCGTTCTGCTGTCTGCGACGAGTTCACCGTCCCCACTCCCGTCGTCTTCTGATTCGTTCTCGTCGCTAGATGAGCCTGCCACGAAGTCATCATACCGCGACCAGGCTCGTTCCTCGGCATCGCTGTCAGAGAAGCCTTCGAATGGTTGGTCATCCTCAGCTTCATCGTCATCTTCGCTACCGAGTTCCTCCTCATCATCCTCGGCCTTATCCTGCTTCCTCTTTAAAAGCACTAACCCCGGTCCATTCTCTTCAGTATCGGACTTCTCTTCGTCTTCGTCTTTCTCTTTATATGTATTTTTAATCGCTGCTAGCTTCGTAGTATCTCTGTCGTCGGCCGACTCCTCTTTACTTGAATCTTTCTTCTCCTTCTTACCCTTCCCTTTCTTCAATTTCTCCGGCATAGGTACCCTCAGCGCAATGCACGTGCCCATGATAGCCTCCTCAATGACGTCGCGAATCTGCTTGCGATTGCAGAGCGCACTCGTCACATTATGTAACGCAGCCTTCTCTTCATCGGACAGCCCCTCGGGCTTCGGAATGGGCTTGATAATATCGGCGGGTATCTTTGGGGACTCGGCCACGCCCTTGATTTTGAGAAGCGACGAGCATAGGTGCGCGTGCGCGGCTTGTTGGAGATCGAGACTCTGATGGTGGGTTATATGTCAATACAAGGTCATCTCTAATAGCAACATTCCTCATTCTTTCATCCATACCTTTAATACGGCGATCTCTCTCTCAAACCTCGCCGTCTTGTCCGGGTCGTTCTGAGCTTCGCGAATGCGCTTGCTTAATCGTTGGCGCTCGAAGCCCTTGGCGGTTTTCATGCCGCGCGCTAGTTCCTTGTGCCATTGCGACAGCTTCTCTTCGAGGCTGGGCTCGTGATTTCGTTTCCGCTTTGGCATGTCGGGCGGTATGTGAATATTGCGCTTGACTACAGAAAATCTGAGAAACTGTAAAGCTCGAAATTTTTAAAGATGTAGCACCCGTTATGTAGATACCACGTTATATTTGAAATATCCTTCTAACAGTTTATATGTACCTATCAATCAAAAATTTAGCTTTTACGCTAAAATTTCAAGATCCACTATCTCGACGAGGTCTATGGATTACATACACTATCTTTATCTAGGTACCTAGGGTTGCTGTCTTACATATAATCAAGATCGGCTGGAGTAATTGGTTCTGTATATAAACCCTGAGACATCAATCCGTGTGAGTCAAGTGTGCATTCAGCAACTGAAGAGCCCATCTACAAGATATAAAAATTAGATATTCTTCACCTTAACCACTACCTACATTCTTGACAGTATCTTAGAATCGGTAGAAATGACGACTTCACAGTCAACGCCAGCCACGCTTGGCGCAGAAAGCTTGTTCAACGCCAAAGGTGTTGTTGCGGTTGTTACAGGCGGCGGTACAGGTATGTGACAAGGCCTAGGTTAAGCTTATATACTACGTACATATGAACCTTTTACTGACAAACCTATCTCAGGAATTGGGCTCATGATAACTAAAGCCCTAGCCACCAATGGCGCTTCTAAGGTATACATCATAGGGCGACGTCTGCAAGTCCTGCAGCAGGCCGCAGAGCAGATCGGCACCGGCAATGTAATTCCGATTACCTGCGATGTGACGTCCAAAGAGTCCTTACAGTCAGCGGTCACTCAAATACAGCAGGACGCCGGCTTCATCAACCTACTAGTCTGCAACTCGGGCATCGGTGGGCCTTACGGGAACCGGCCCAGGCCCGAGACCACTCTGGATGAGTTCATCGAGGCCAATTTGTCCATACCCATCCAGGATTACACTAACACGTTCGCCGTCAACACCAGCGCTGTATGGTATACGACCATATCATTTCTGAAGCTCTTAGATGCTGGCAACCAGAAGGGCAACGTGGAGCAGAAAAGCCAGGTTGTCGCCGTAAGCAGCATCGGCGGCTTCAACAAGATAAACACGGGAGGATTCGCTTATGGGCAGAGCAAAGCCGCCTGCATACACCTTATTAAACAGTTGAGTGTGGCACTACCACAGTGGAATATTAGAGCCAACGTCATATGCCCCGGCCGTAAGTGATTCAAGCCATTCAACCTCGGCTTTTACTCCCTGCAGAGGACAAATAAGTCCCGGGACGAAGAAAAGTAGAATAGGTCGCTTTTATCATGCTAACAGGTACATAGTCTACCCGAGCGAGATGTCGGCCCCTATTATAGAAAAAGGAGGAATCGGGAAAGATATGGTGCCTCTCGAGCGTGCCGGAGATGAGAAGGATATGGCGGGCGCTATCCTCTATCTCGCCTCCAGGGCAGGTGCCTACTGCAACGGCACCGTCATTGTGACCGATGGAGGAAGGTTGACTACGTTCCCCTCGACTTTCTAGGCCCAAGCGAAAATCGCGGCCGAGAATGATAGCCAAGTATCATAAGCAGGGGCTTGTTTCCCGCATAGTCAAGCCCCACGCCTTGCTAGTCATCAAGCGCACTTCCAGCAGGGTCATGATAAATTAGCTAAAGGGAAAACATATATGTGTGCCGCCCCCTTTTGAAGGGAGTGGAGGCAGATATTAGATAGGGGCGGAAAGTCCCGGCAATTGTCGTCGCGTTGGCCCGGTCATCCGAGCCGAAGACCGGGTTTTTATAAAGCAATACCCGAGGTCAGTCACCTCAGGCTAGTTATCGACAATAGGTAACCGACCAATTGTGGCCCTGCAAAGAATATGAAATCGTCGGTAGTCTATTTCTTGATCCCGGGAGCTCTTCCTACCTAGTCCACTGAAGCCGGCCCGCTGCATCATGGTAGATGAATAAGACTTATGTCAGGGCCGCCGTTAACATGATCCCTGTGACGAAGGCCGTAACGTAATAGTATATTAATGGAAGTACTAGCTAGGAATAGCCGTCGGCGTACCTAAGTACTTATTCATCATAATAGCAATTGTTTATAAATCCTTATTAATTCAATATAAAAGATACAGGTGGAGTGTGTCTAGACAGATGAGTTGATGATGACTCTATCCCGGCGGTTGTTTATAATACGGGGCATTATTAGACCCTGTCGGATAATTTAAGGACGTGCTACATACTGGTAAGGTAGGACAGACGTGAAGAACCCTGACCTCTTGACCTCGCGGCTTTGGACCAATCATGGGTATTCCCATATAGAGAAATAGGCGACGCTATGAAAAGTATTATCTCAGTAGAACGCGTGTGGACGGCCATAAAAGAACCCCCTATATATTAGGTGCCTTTCACCTATTCGCCGGTTGTCTAACTCCTCGCATTCTCCGGGTACGGTTGATTACCTAGTAGTATCCGTGTAAGATTAGATGTAAACATACTGTATTATCCTAAGAGATTGCGCATATGATACACAATTAAGAAATCCGTCGACTTCGATTCCCTTCTAACAAGAATAATAATAGGCAAGCCATTTCTCACAGCCGGGTTAAGCACCTATATTTACCCCAAACAAGGCAAGCCAGGTAGCTATATTGGAGATATGGATGAAACCATGGAAGCAATTGGAGCCGAAACTGTTATTCCGTCCCGTGATCGCACATGTACCTGTTAGACTTGCAGATGTTCTTTGCTATGAGAGGAGCTCACATAAGCTTGGCTTCTAGCGAGAGTAACAACACGAAACGAAGTTGGAGTTCTAGGTTGGAGTTCTAGATTGGAGGACGAAGATGCAGCTGTCCTTTTTAGGAGAATACCTGCCCTGTCCTTGCTTGCATGTTTGTACCTATCAGATTCTACTAATTTTTAAGGCGATGGAAACCCCAGCAACTTGACGTCACTTGTGTAATATCTTTATTAAAGCTATCCCTTTCCAGTATTCTACCAAAATATACATTTCTCTTCGGATAACCACTATAAGAAATATATAAATTTAAAACAACTTTTAGTAACAATGCCCTCCAGCTTATACAACATTTGCTAATTATTTTAGAGGACATTAAAGGCAATATAAACTTGTTAGATTTTTCAAGTAAAAGATTAGCACGTGCTTATCGATAAACAGCTGTCTACATACGTGGACCCACACGCTAAAATACCTAGGTATCACGCCTGGTACGGTGCATGTGCATAGGGACTTTACCCCGCAATCCGCCAACTCTCGGGACAAGAGACGAGGATATCACGGCACTCGAGAAGGACAAAGGTTCAGATGTCAAAATCGAGAAAGGATGACGATTTTTTGCTTTCGCAGCTACTTTGTGACCTTTCTGAAGATTTCCTGAGCCTACAAGCACTTGGAGCCGAGCGAACTCTGCCCAACCACCCAAGACCCTTTTATCTTTTTCCACACGGACTTCCGCAACTTTGACATCAGTCCCAGCCTACAACAATTCCGGTTGAATGGGAACGATAGCGCAGATCTCAACCATGCAATGCCGAGATCCATACCCAAGTCCAAGCTTACGTAGGGTGCCACTTTTGACGTTTACCTAAGTAGAGTACCTAATTATAGGCCTTGACTATGGTCCAACGACGAGAATACTTCGTAAGGATGACGACATTGCTTCTACCGTTGCTTGTAGCTTAGGTATATTACAATAAGTAGTATATCCATAGACTTCCGAACGACCACATGTATTAATTACATCGGAACTAGTCGGAATATAGTGCTAGTTACTAAAGTTAGACGTTAGTATTTAAATATAAATACCTAATCTACCCGATGTCGCGTCAGGTAGGAAAATAGTGTACTATGTAAGTGGTATAACTAGAATATGTGATAGGTAAAGAGAAGAGTACTTGATATCAGAAGCACTAGAACTACAACTGTAACGGGAGCGATTGCACAGCATGACCTTGTTTCCAGTTTGATGTCGGCATGATGAATTGTATGCGTCAACTCCGCACTCGATCCCCCTCGGTAGTGCCCTAACCACCATAAACTATACGCGGTAGGTATACATAATACCGTATAGAGGGGATTCGACCATAATCACCAATAAGCTCGAGATAATCGAGGAAAGAAGTTCAAAGGTACCTACTTTTCATCTCGCACTCGCCTCGGGATTCTTTTAGTATCCCTTCCTCTTTTACATAAGTTAAAGCTCTAGTCCCGCTTCTCTTTCCGTTTCCTTCCTTCATCTTACATAGTAGAGTTTACACTTGCATACCTAATATACTAGAGGCAGTCGACACCCCAAAATATTCTTCCTAGTACATAGCAACGACCATACCCGAGGTCACCCTCCTTAATCAATATTTATTCAAGGACTGGCTTCCTTTTTATACCACGTACGCTAACACAAGGCACTACATATATATAACCTGCACATGTGCCTCTCCAACTCATTAAGCTTTTCTTTTTTCTCCAAACCTTCGGAAGCGAAGTCCTCCTCCATCTAATTGATACTTTATACTTCATATCGTCGGCTTTTTGCATTACTTAAATCCATGTTCCTAGCTGCACGCGCTTTTGCTCGTCTACTTTACCACTTTACCTAGCTTTGTAAATTTGGTGGTTGTGTTATTCTGTTGATTCTCCCCACCAAATCCGATAGCTATCCTTCGATTTTGCGGCGGAATATTCCTTCTGCTGACATCATCTGGCTATATACACACCGGCGTCCAATATTCGTACCGACATCAGCTCTTCCTCGCCTGTTGAGCTCAACCTATGATCCCGCCGGTCTCGGTGGCTTTTTCAATTTCCTCAATCTAAGGCTGATAGTTGCAATTGAGCTTTCCAGTTGGGGTGGAATAGAAGCCCATCTCCGGGTGGTCTATTAATTTTCTACTGAGACATTGTTGCACAAGTTGGTGCCCCCCCCCATTTCGTTCGTTCGTTTGTTTGTCCCGTCATGGAACGCCATCCTCAACCGTTTAGCTACTATCCGCCATTATCAACTTAACACCCTATTGGTGCAGCCTCGCAGATATGGCCTTGGATAATAGAACGGTATCCGAGATGAAATTCCAACGTCTTTGGCCGCTGCCCGGGGTCTAATAAGTACACGCACCCCCACGTCCTATCTTTCCCGACCGGTCCACATCTGTATCTATCACAACAGATACCCGCTAAATGGGGCCGAATTACAACATCGGCTATCAGCTGTACACCTCGGTCATGACTATGGCTATGCTTTCAAGCGGATGTTGAGTCCCTCGGCCAATGGCGCTTCTCCGGACCTTCTCAGGAGTTCCCTACGTAGTCCGGCGTTTCTTATAAGCTTAAAGCCGTCTCACCAAAATGGCATTTACGGACATGCTGCTAACTATGTGTTGTTACTACCAGCTTTCTACTCTTTCTGTAGTCGTTCCCAGCGTTTAAGCGGGTCTTGGCCTTGTATCAGTATACGATTTCTTGGCCTCCCTGCTGTCTTGCCTCACGACTGGAATTATGAGCTCCAACACCTTTAAGCAAGCCGCGGAAGCAGCACGAACCAAGACGTCCGCCATGGGCAAACAGGGCTCGGAGGCAGTTTCTGCCGTAGGAAATGACTTCCTACACACGCCCATCATGCGAGCGGCCCTTCCTTTCCTTAACGGCGGCATCTCTGGCATGGTTGCGACCACTGTCATCCAGCCTGTAGACATGATCAAGGTCAGATTGCAACTTGCTGGCGAGGGCGTTGCCACCGGGCCCAAACCTACTCCGTTATCCGTCACGCGAGATATCCTTGCGCAAGGCAAGGCTCTTGACTTGTACACCGGCCTCTCGGCGGGTCTTCTCCGCCAGGCGGTATATACTACAGCGAGATTGGGCTTCTTCGACACATTTCTGAAGAAGCTATCAGCGCGCGCCAAGGAGAAGGGTAGACAGGTTAGCTTTGTTGAGCGAGCGAGTGCTGGACTTGCGGCCGGTGGGATAGCAGCCTTTATCGGAAACCCTGCAGATCTCGCTCTCATTCGAATGCAATCAGATGGTCTCAAGCCTATCGCTGAGCGCAAGAACTACAAATCCGTTATTGATGCATTATCGACGATCGTCAAATCCGAAGGCGTTACTGCGTTGTGGGCCGGTGCGACACCAACGGTAGTACGAGCCATGTCGCTTAACTTAGGTCAACTAGCATTCTTTTCGGAAGCTAAAGCGCAACTCAAGACGCGCACCCAATGGTCTCCTCAGTCGCAAACCTTAACAGCCAGCGCCATTGCTGGCTTTTTCGCTTCCTTCCTCAGCTTGCCCTTTGACTTCGTGAAGACGAGATTGCAGAAGCAGCAACGCGGTCCTGATGGCAGACTTCCGTACAAGAACATGACGGACTGCTTCGTCCAGGTCGCCAGACAGGAAGGTATCACGCGCTTCTACCGTGGATTCGGTACCTATTACGTGCGTATTGCGCCGCACGCGTAAGTTCATCCCACCCGAAATTCGGAACAGGTCGGAATAATGTTTGCTAACGTCACATTGTAGCATGGTGACCTTAATTGTTGTAGATTATCTTGGTTGGTTGACGAAATAATTTGTCAGCCCCGGCTGTTGATTACCCATCTTTAATTATCTTTTAGTTCGCTTAACTGTCTATGTAGAAAGCGACGGGGGCGTCCAGCGGTTATCATGGGAAGCATTGCCAAGGTCATTTACGGGGGACTAAGGAAAATACCATTTGTACATATTATCATCGTTTTCATATATTTTGTACTTTGCGGAATGCAACCAAATAATTTTTTGTACAAGGGGGCAAGAACTATAAGTGACTATATGATACTTATGCTTTACACCGACATACCCCCTACCCTACGGCCCGAATATTCTCGGTCCTTATGTAGCCTTCTTGGTGCAGATGATCCAGTGTAAATATCCGCAGGGCCAAAGAAACTGCTCCTTTCCGCTCTTGACCTCCCAGCCGTCGCTGTTCGCACCACAGGTGCGTAGCAGGGCCTCAACCTCGTCGGCAGTACGGGTACGTAGGCACGAAATAAGACCGTCGAAGACAAGCACAAAGGGGACGACAGGGATAACGTAAACCCAGAACAAGCGCATGGGTGACCACCAATATAGCAGCGGAGCGATTAGAAAGATGAAGAAGCCGAAGGCGAAGCACGTCAGCAGGCCGGTGGGGGTCCGGTCCTGTAGCTCGAAGATGCTAAGGGGAAACTTGTCAGCGTCATCTGTATAAAATAAATATAGAATATTTCTAGTTCAGGGCTCTACTCACCCGAACCCATCGCTAGTCTCGACCGTGTTCTTTAGGATGGCGCGAGCTAGCTCGTCATCGAAGTGGTGGAATGCTAGGTTGAATAGCCGGAAAATTCCCTTCCCGCCGTTCTTCCCCGTATACCGCCGCAGTAGGTCGGCAGGCGCGCTGGCGGCGTCGACGGGGCGTGCGACATACGATAGCCGATCGCTCTTCTTACTAGCAGCTTCCCAGGACTCGACGTGCGGATGCAAATCGGTCAGCACGAAATCTACCTGGCTGTCCTCTTCCTGGACAGTAGCAGACTCGGCCTTGGGGTTGGCGACCGCCGCGTAGCTAGGCGTGCTATCTGCAGCAGCCCGGCTCTCGCCGTCCACGATGGCGGATTGTGCGGTCGCGGGGACCCGGTGCGTCGCCGCGCGCGCGAGTTGGCTGTTCAAAGCTCGCTCGATAAAAGGCGTGGGACCACCGGCTCCGGCGCAGAAGTCGATGTAGGTGTACCGCGAGACGGAGCTGCCGAGTACATTGCGCAGGGTCTCGGCTGCGATGGTCGCGGGGCTGCTGGGCTGCAAAAACGGGATGTGGACGGTCCAGGCGTGCGTTAGGCCGTCTTGGACGTATGCGCGGAGGAAGGAGGGGAACCTGTGCGGGCGGAGGTTAGTTAGTCAGGTGAGGACGTGTTGACGCGGGATGAGGCTGACGACAGCTGTCCCCTTGTCTTGTTGCTATGTAGGGAGGGGGTAGGTTAGACAGCCAAGAGAACCGGGATAGACCTGCAGTAAGCCATAGTAGCACACAGCGGGTGAAGATCTGTTGGATAGGACTATCGATCGATCAATCTGTTGACCCAACGTGCCATGTCGGACGATGACAGCCAATTGATGTTTAATTAGGGGAGGCTGAGATCCGGAGCTCCGGTGCTCTAGCGCTTACGGTTCTGGACTGTCTGCTTTGCATTGTATGTGTGTATGTACTTACCACGGCTGGTCGTCAATCTCCCAGAGATGCAATCGGGGGATCAAAGGGGCCTGGGATGCCATTGTGACGGATTGGATAGCTATTGGTTCGTGATACACCGTATATTTCTCGGTGTAGTAGCTCTGGAGTATTTCGTCTCAGGTGAACTGAATAATAGTTTGACGATAGGCGGACAAACAGCTTCGTGAGTATGTCTGCGAACCGGCACAGTTAACAATCGAAGCTATCTTAGGTAAATATGAATTTCTGACGACCTTGAGAAAAGGAGCGGGGAGTGATATGGAAGTTTTGTAGCTCCCCTAGCTGCCGTCATCATGACAGCTTCATGATTTGGCAATTGGCAATTTTGTTGAGTTTCGAGTTGAGCTTGGACGCGACGGATGGTTACAAGGGGGAAGATGGGAGGTTGGAGCCAATCACTTGTGTCGAATAGTAAATACGTACCTAATAGACCAGGGGAGAAACAACAGGGGGCTAGCCGGCTAGGGAATATCCACATGTTCCGGGGCGTAGTTGCGTTACTGACGTTACTGACGTAAGGCTGAAACGTCGAGACAAAAAGATGCATGCCCCTGACGACATGTGATAGAAGGTACAACTCTACAACACAAAGCCAATGAGAAGCTTTATGAACGAGTATCAACTACCTACCTACCTAAGGTATTGAATTAACTTCCGATATACATACATAATGGCTTCAAAATACTCGGATATAATTTTGCATCTCAATTAAAATCTACCATCCCCCAAATGATAAAATTTAACTAGTCGCTTTACGAATGTAGTTAGCCCCTTTTATTAGACCAAAATCACATGAAGCCGTTACATGGCATATACACCGAGGCTTCTCTTTAACAATTTACGGTAATTGATATGGCTCTCCTTGAAGGGTACGGGCTAGCTTGCCTTGGGTTACTTGGGGCACTACTTTGCTATCAATTCACTTTGCGGACCCCAACTATTCGACGGAATGGGGCCCCCTTAAGGTAAGGCATGTCTCAATACTCTTCCATAAATGATAAGGCTACGATCCAGAGTTTAACCCTCGCAATAGAAAGCCGCCAAATACCCTACCCATCGTAGGCAATGGAATCCTCTTTCTTCGACCACGGCAGAAGCTGTTTTCTTGGTTCGTCAAGTGCGAAAGGCGGTTTGGCAATGAGACGTTCCAAATTAGCGTACCCACCCTACCTCCAGCCGTGGTCATCAATGATCCCAAGAACCTAGATTATGTCTTCAAGAACGAGGGTGTCTTCTCCAAAGGCGACTTCTTCAAGAAGCTCTCTTGGGACTTGTTTGGGAACGGAATCATCAATGTTGATGGTGAGCTATGGAAAGCCCAGAGGAAGGCTGGTCTAGCTTTTCTCAACACTTCCAATCTACGAGTCCTGACAGACGTTGCGCTGCCGCGGTATCTCGGCCGCGCTGTAGAACATCTACAAGTGCAGGCTCGTGCCAGGAAAGTCGTAGACCTGCAATCCGTATTCCACGAGATTACGAGTCAGCTTATGGGAAAGATGGCCTATAATATGGAGATGCATGCTGACGATGATTTCACTGTTGCATTTGATTATGCCTCGGGCGCGACTACTGAACGCTTCCAGAACCCGCTGTGGTTCGTTAAAGAGCACTTCACCGGTTCTAAGTTCAGGGAGGCGCTCCATACAATCCGTACTTTTGGTTACAAGATTGTAGACAATGCCGCGAATTCAAATACCAAGAAACAGGGCGACCACACACCGGGTCTGACACCTGATAGGCTAGATGAAGTTTCCGGCAGCTTGATACAATCGTTATTAGAGGTTTTCGGCGATAACCGGGAAATCGTATCTGATTCCGCCTTAAACTATTTATCTGCTGGTAGAGATACTGTTGCCCAAGCACTGACGTGGTGCATCTACCTCCTTATGCAACACGAGTTCATCATCGACGAGATTCGGAACGAAGTACGGACCTTGCTCGACAATACCCAGGAACCATTACTATCATCTGATAATAAAGGAAGTATCAACTCGAGCATTCTCACGCCCTCATCGCTACCATACACCATGGCAACTTTTTACGAAACACTCCGACTTTACCCACCAATTCCTTTCGAAATCAAGCAGTGCGAAAAATCAACCACGCTACCTGACGGTACTTTTCTCCCGGAAAAGTCCATAGTATTTTGGTGCACTTGGGCCATGAATCGGTCAAAGATTAACTGGGGGGACGACGCAGACTCCTTCCGGCCCGAAAGATGGCTTACGGAAGATGGAAAACTGATCACAAAGAGCGCCGCCGAGTTCCCAGTTTTCAACGGCGGTCCGCGATTGTGTCTTGGAAAGCGAATGGCAGAAATATTAGCCGCCCAGGTCATTCCAACAATGGTGTTGATGTTCGACTTCACGCCAGCCTACGGAGGCGAGAGAGTTAGCAAGAGTAGTCTTACATTGCCGATGAAAGGCGGATTGCCATGTCTTGTAAAGTCTAAAGCGATTAGTTAGAAGTAAGCAATTATCAGGGTTTTTTATCGGCCGAATATTCCCATTTAATACATATAAGAATAGCGACAGGCACTAGTAAGCTTGAGTATACGCTCCTAGCATGTGAAGATTGCTTTGGCTATTTCCTATCTATAATATAGGTTTAATCCCACTACTACCCCTTTTGTTGATTCTGGTACCCCATTTCATTACTTGTATGTCCCATTCTAGTATTCTGTTGGGCGATTGCCGTAACGACGGCTTCTCCTCGTAAGAACCTCGGAATGAAGATTTTCAGACCTCTTCAACCGCCAAGTGCCGTAAATTCCTTTAGAGGATATCAACTATTAAAATCATCATAACTCTAGAAAAACCCTTCAAAGGTCGGTCCAAGTCAGCTAGGAGGGTTGATACTACGCAGGTAGGTAGTCTTTACATATCATCATCTAGGTAATTAATCAGATAATACTTCTTTCTCGTTAATGGAACATGACCAATCTTCGTCCTACTTCACCTCACTATAATACATGATGCGTCTTTCCAAGACAAGCCCTCCGATATCGTAAACACTTAGATCCGTGCTGTTTGTTGGGCCTAGTTATTCCATCTACGCAATGGTTGAAGAAGCATTGGTAGGTCAATACTTTAGGTATCTATTATCTTCCCTAAGCTCTGCTATGCTTTTTGAACCACCAATCACAACTTAAGCTTACACTTTAAAGACGGTCAAGCATATTACTCAAAATTTAAGGGGTCAGTGGGATTTGTCCGCCGTCCAAGTCCACAATAGCAAGAATTAGTATTGCCAATGACTCTGGAATGACTTTGCTAGGCGCTCTATTACTCAGAGATGCACGGGTCTACTAGAAATTGTATTAGGAGAGAGGCATACGAGTTCTTTTGCAATGATGAACTGACTTTTAAAGTTGGGGTTAAGTTCAGAACAACTCCTTAGGTCGAGCATGGACGGCCATCAGAAGACAAAGAGTTTTATAGTGTATATACGAGAGGGACCAAGAGAGATTCTTCATGGTGCTTAGGGTTGTCAGTGGCTCAGCGGCGTTCAAGTCAAGTTCTGTGTTACGACATACTTTCCCGCTAAAAGCTTTGACATCGTGTAGTCTTTGGTCGTGCTTTCGGAGATGCCAAACTTTTACTATATATGTAGGTAAGGTAAGCATCCAATGTTCTTTCTCGTCTCCTAGGGAAAAGCATCCAGACACAAGCTATCAAGTTAAGAAACCGAGACTCTCAGTTCGTCCATATCTACACCAGACTCTAACCTAGTGCTAACACTTCCAAGAAGAGATATCCTTGCAACCAGCAATCTTGCCAAGATGGCTAAGAAGGTTACGCTCCCTCGTATGCTTCGATGCGTAGGAACACACGCAAATATCGCCCTAGCCGAGGTAAACAAGCGACTGAACCACCTTAGGGAGACGCGCAGTTTAGATCGCGAACAGTTTTTCCGGCTATTTAATATAATCTATCATCTTGAGCATGCTATGGAGAAAAAAGACGAGGATGAGTCTAATCAAGAGGCTGCTGCTGCTGCTACACCGTCTAGCCACACATGTCCTCATCAGGAGCCAAAGAAGGGAGAATGCATCGACCCAGCCCGCCATCCCGTCCTTGCAGACCGCCAGCGACGACGATCATTGTCACGGCTTGATTTCGTCGTGTAATAATAGGATGTACGGATATAATGATGCGCCGGGAAGGATGATGATAAACGGGGCACATAAGGAGAGTGGGAGTGGAGGGCAGAGGCAGGGTTGTCATTGAAGACGGCGCTATAAAGTACCCAACCCATGGGTCAACCTAATTTGTTTTGGGCTATACAATTCCAGATTGCTTTGTTAGTAGGTTGAGAGTCAACACATAAAAGGACGTCAACAGTGAAATAAAACTATAACGTCATGTACTGATTGACTTTCTTAGCAGAGACTAATTACGCCCATAAATTACATCCTGTGAAATAGTGTTATGTTTTTGGCCGTGAATCTGGTCAAGTAGTGCCTTTAGTTTCTAAATATAATTTAGCCTGTAAACCTTGGTTGAGTATGACAGAACTTAATCCCCTATAATAACCCTATGTCAATGTTTACCCATCACGACCTAACAAAGCACAGCATAGGCATTGGGTAGATTTTGTATTCATATACAATGCTAAGCAATAAAGAGATGGTATTTGAGATGACAAGCTACAGTATGCCGCACAGGTTAGATACCTAAGCTCGGCCTGGTAGATATATGTTCAACAGATGAGTAGGGTTAGTGTATAGTAACTATTCACTGCCAGCCCCTTTTTAAAAGTCCACTTTCAACTCCTAAATAAACCAACATCCATAGTTCTTCTCGCATTTGTTTCATTACTTACCATCCTTTTGCTTCCATTGCTTCCTCACATCCACACTCCTCTCATTACCCCCGGTCACCCGTTGAGAATATATTCATACAAGAATTCATCAGTCTTCATCAATATGAGCACGTAGAGCAAGTACCTACCTGTTAATTGAGCGTCTATTTAAGGAGCCCACAATACAAATTAGACAGCTCTCCCTTTGAACCTTGGATCGTCTCCCTGTTATACACTTAGATCCCGTTCACAATATAGCTGAGCGTTGCTAGGCCCCTGGACCACTGGGAAATCTAGGATAAAGGACTTCCGGTTATTTCGTATCAACAATTCAGTCCTAGTTCGCCCCAAAAGTGCCCGTGCCCCAACAGAGTTGTGCCTTTGCTTGTTCTCATCATAACAAACGTTGCCTATACATCATGCAACACTTTTGTTCCAAGTGCCTCTGCGGTTCCGGGATAGGCCGCCTGCTAACATGAGTGTTGGTAACATCGTAGCAAAGTGCCGTTAATTATTTGCAGCTTAATGCATATTTAGAAGTGCCTTATGCTACTTATTCGCTCTCTGTGTAGGCGGCACTCATAAAACCACTAACGTACTGTTATCTTCAGCCACGACGTATAGTCGGCAACTATAACTCCACGCATCACTCACAATTGCGTAAATCGAGATACTCCGTAGCAGTAGATGTAACTATGATTCTAAAGCACATCGTCTTCCTTAAAGGAGGCTAGCATTCTGTAGACTCAACCTTTTCCCGCATATCGCATAAAGACGCGACTAAAGGGATCAGGCATAATGACATCGGTAGTACGATCAGTCATCCCTTCTCGCCCTTTGCTAAGGCATGATTTAGGTACTCAAAGATGACCATTACGGAAGGACCCCCGTTCAACAACAGCCCCGGGCACCCGCTTAACCCGGCCTTGACAATACCGCTGCCTTGAGTTCCGAGTCACCAACCCGCTTCCGGCCGCATTACTCGGCTTCCATCGACGACGTGCCCATTGAAACCCGCTCACCTTCCCCTAAAATGACTCGCAGGGCAATTTGAATTTCCCTCTGGTGACTCTTCCTACACCTCCCAATTTTTCTATTTAAGTCTGCCAACATCCACCCCACGAGGCAGAAACTACCTTTCCACATCCTTCTCGCCACAAGACAATATTCCTCCCTCCTTCAGCACCTCGACAATTACATTCAAGTTTCATTATCGCGAACCATATTCTACATTCTTTTGTAAATTCTATCCAAGTATCCCGTACATTCAGCAAATATGGATTCCAAATTTCTCGAGCTCGTCACCTTCATCAAGCAGGTTATCCTGTTTTCGATCGCATTACTCGTCGGTCATGCAGCGTTCATCACCGTTGTTATGAAGAGAAAGTGGTTCCTCCGTCTTGTTCAAAAGGTTGCCCCCGAGTTCCATTTCCGATACCGTCCCGTCATCTACGGTCTGGAGTTGATCACCGTCTGGTGGTGCTGGGTCCTCGTCAAGTATATCAGTCTAGCCCTATTCGTGAATGTTGCGATGTTACTCGCGATCAAGAACGGCCTCTTCTACGAATCACTCGAAGTCTATGTCTTCGTTGTGTTGATCGCTGGTATCGGCTACCTCCTGTCCTTGATCTCAAACAGCGCGCGTATCGAGGCAATGCTGATAACCGAGAGTAACGACGTGGCCGTAAGTAGATTTTTTTTTTCTAACAATTCCCCCCCTCTTCCCCCTTTCTGAGGCCTCTCCCAATTCTGACTCGCTAACATGTTATCTCAAACAGCACCGATACAGATGGGACCGAACCCGTCTCCACTATGCCGGGCGCAACTGGCCTCAGAACGTCCTGTTGAAGAAGATCCTCTCCGTGGCCGACTGGGTTCATCAATGGAACAACGGAATCCTAGACCGCGTCATGGCTCATGAACTTCAGTATCCTCGACGTTACAATCCGGATCCCGAGTCGTGGCCTCAACAAGACCTCGCGTTCCTCGATGAATCAGCGAACCACAGCCGAGAGATTTACCTTATCCCAAGAGGCGGATTTTAACTATTTGTCCCTAGAGACCTACCGGTAGTTATACAACGATGAAACTCAGCAGTAAGTTTCCCCTATAACCCGAGATATTACGTATCATTACTAATAAGAAACTCTCAGGTTGCCAACAAACACTCAGCCTGAAAATTAAGCACGATACTCTTGAGCACGGATTATGAGAACATAACGCGACGAAGATGAGCGGAAGGTTTTGCAGCTATCAGTAGTTGCCATGTTTATTGCTTTAGCTTACCATGCTATGAAGTTTCATATGTCAACTTTTTCGTTACGAACGAGCCCGAGGCGGGCAATAATGTATCTGGTCTTTATGGCAGAACCATTTCTTTCCCGGCAGGGAATAGAGATAGGTAGCAGTGAGGAAGGAGATGTTCCTGTTTCTTAGTACATTATGCAGTCTTGTCTCCCATAGAGACACTTCCAGAATGCTGATTGCTTCTTCTACTCGAGTCCTTATGCAGTAAACGTGATTGAAAGTTCGTAGTAAGTGTCTTAAGTTCTTGAGGCTCTCGCCGGGCATTACTAGAACCCACTTTGGCCTATTCATAGTACAGGAGATATACTACGGCTAGTTACACGACCTTTGCTAATAATCAATCTAGATTCCTCAATCACCCGTTATATTTTGTTGCCGTTATTTACCCCTTTTGCTTGAACTGTTACTAGATAGATACGGGCAAGACATCAAGCTAACCTAGACTCCCAAGTCCCAAGATCAACTCAACTAAGCTACAATAAGTCCTACCAGCATGCCCTTTAACCTTATCGGCTACGAGGCCCCAGTCCTTTTAAACAATTGTCGCAGATACAGCTAATAAGAACTAGCCGAGTTACTAATCATCGCATCCAAATGAGAGATAAGTTTCAACTCTAGAATAGAATGGCAAAAAGAACAAAAAAATCGCAAAAAGAAAAGCCGACGTGGGCCTGATTCGAACAGACGCTCCCGAAGGAACAAGATTTCTAGTCTTGCGCATTAGACCACTCTGCCACCACGCCGATTGGTTGTTGAAAAGCAAGCTATTATGGGCATTTATATAGCACGGTCTTTGGAGGGGAAAATTGTGAACTTGTCGCACAGATGATTGGTGGAAGTATCCGGGAGTGGATCCTGCAGGCATCCGTCTTTTATGTATTTCCTTGGTTGAGATCTGGATAGTAGAAAAGGTAACACTTAGCGATGTGCCGGGTTGAAGAAATACGTAGTACACTTAGGCTTCCCAATAATTGGCCCAGGTAATAGTAGTTTACTATTAATAATGACTCTTCAAGCCTATACTGTAAGGTAGAGCATCAATGCGCAAAAGCACCCAGCTACCTGGCTAACTATTATTCCCCCTATAAAGTTCAAAGCCTAACCTGCCCCAAGTGAATAGTAATGTACGTTAACATATTATTCTAGGTATGTTAGGTAGGTAACTAGGTGACTTTCACGTATAATCTATGCTCGTAAAAACATTAGATACCTTAGCCTACGTTATATCAACTCCTTCCCAAGCACTCTTAACACCTTAGAGCACTCCCTAAACGATGAACTGAATACCATCATTATAAACTAGACCCCTCATCCCGACCCAAACCTCTCCCTCGCAATCCTCTTCAACACCTCCATCGTATCGTCCTCCTTGCGCCTATACTCCCTAACCCTATCCTCCCTCTCCGCAGCCTTAATCCTAGCCTCTTCCTCTCTCCGGACCTCCCGCTCCGTCTTCCGCCTCTCGGCCACCGCCTTCAGGCGCTTGTACTCGGCGACCGAGTCCCCGCCACCCATGAGCTCTGCTTCGCCGACCTCCGCGCCGCCCCCGGGCGACTTGTCCCGGAACCCGCGCATCTTCTCGTTGACCTCGCGTTTCTTCTCCAGCTGCCGCTCCCGCGTCCCGGGTTCTGCTCGCGGGACTAGTTCTTCGAGGCGCGCACGTTGCTCGGTGCGATCGGCTTTTCGTGCCAGACGGAGGTCGGAGATATGCTGGGTGCGCTCCTCTTCTGCGTTCTCGCGCCGCAGGTCTAAGTCTTGCCGATTGGGTATACCTGGGCCATGTCGCGTAGAGCGGGTGGCATCGGAAGGATCGCGGGTGTAGCTTTTCGCAGGAGCTGACCCAGGTAAAGTCGGCCCATACTCATCGTCGTCTTCATCTTCGTTTTCCTCCCCTCCGGAGAGTATCGAGCCACTACCCCCACCAAGCCTCTCGCGACTCTGTCCGCTCGGCCGCGACGACGGCGACGTCACGGAGACTATCCTATCTTCCCCCACAAATTGTGTACCAGCGCCAGCACCAGCCTTCTTCGCTTCGGAAAGCGTCTCAGGACTATACCAACCCTCAGCTAGCTCCCCACGGTTCCACTTGCCGACAAAGCTCTTCCAGCGGCCTTTAACCTCCCTCTCGTCCAGCGCCGCAATGTCCTTCCCTTTTTGTACTTCGAGGTATTGCGCAAACAGAGGCTTGAAGGTCTTGAAATCGGAACGAACCAGAGGCCTCGCGCCTAATGGGAGCTCGCTTTGGGTGCGGGTGGGAGAAGTCGAAGAGCGGTGACGCCTATGATGACGGTGATGATCGGGTGCATGATGGCGGCGTCGTGCTGAGGACGTCGAAGGTGAGCGCTTGAAAGGGATAGAGTTAGTACGATGTTCCCCTCTCTCTTCTCTCAGTGATGAGGTATTCGGTCGTAATACGGAATCACGCCGTCTAGAATTTCGATGGTCATCGTATCGATGCTCGTGTTTACTTCCACTCTCCCTCTTATAATCGTCGTATCTTTGCTTGACACGTTTCACGTCATCTAGCTCGTGCTTGTCTTCCCCACGCGTTCGCTTATGATTCGAATGACGTTGGTGGTCTCCCAGTCCGCGGTCTCGGTAGCCGCTAGCATCAGCCATTAATGCAACGATAGCAGCCGCACGGGGGTAAATTGGGCGATCAAGTAGGATTCATATGCGTCCGAAGCCGCAGTAGAGTGATCGTTGGAGGACATTGTACGTTCCAGTATGTTGGATGTTGGATGTTGGATGTTGGATGTTGGATGTTGTACAAGGAGAACAGGCTAATAATACGTAGGTACCTATGTAGGTATGTGTGTAGTATGTAAGCCGGGGATTGCCAGGTACCACCCGTCGGGCATTTGTGCCATGTACCGTGTGGAATGTGGAACGTGGGTAATGCATCTATGCATTTGTACGACACTTACATAAGCAAAAATGTCCCTCAAGGTTCTCACATATCTCGTACTAAAAGGTAGAGTTATTCCCTGGGCTGCCTGGTAAAAACCTACGCGACTATCGTAACATCCAACTTACCTAACCTAGGTACTAATGCCGATTCATCACAAGTAATGCAAAACAGACATTTAATACAATAATTATATTGTACGAAACTGTGTCGCTGCGCTATGTAATGGAGGAGCATCTGTATCTCATGACACCTAACCGAAGTAAAGACTCGGGAAAGTCCGCATATAAGTCGGCCAAGCTCCGACCCGTATGTATTTGGCCCTTTTCTATCAATCCGTATCTCCTAAATTACGTATCGAACATCTGTCACACCGCAAACCCTATACGTAAATCTGCGCCGAGTCTTAGTCGTCACGTATTACAAGGTCTTATAAAAGTCTCCAGATACGCGGCAGGCGAGCCGGTTGAACGCCGACTCGTACAAAATCGGTGTAGGACGTACATAGACAGTCTGGGCTTGGATTCTATTCGCCGAACCTCAATCCAGACCCCATCGTCTCGGAAGATGCCAGGATAGCCGATTGGGGGTTCGTCGACGATAGAAAATCCCCGCTAGGTGGGGGTATGCCAACAGACAAACGTTCGCTAATTCATCGAGCGAGTATCGACCGCTTGATCCTTAAAATTCAGTCGAATTCGCTATCGCAGGGTCCGAATAGTTGATGTTTGTCGCTATCAATAGTTCGTAACAATCCCCATAATCTCTTCTCCGAACTGCCGTTCCCGTATATGAAATATTTCATGTCTCCTTCCTGTTCCCTTAAATATATACGTCCCTGACTTCCTAGATATATACGTTCGAATGTTCTGTTCTCGTGGGCTTCATCCACAATCCTTGGGGATATTAGTTAATCTATCGCATTGTCGCTTCCGCCAAAGGCATCGTGCAGTTGGACACCAATCCATGCGCCAGAGAAATAGCCTTGTTACCCCCTCTCCTTTAGTTCGGGGTCTTGTCCTGAGACCCTCCATGTATCTTCGCGTCCAGTGGGTCTCGGTGAATCATACAATTAACACACGCGCAGTCATCGCCACATCCACACATTCCGTGGCCGTAATCGACGAAGAGAAATTCGCTGGGCGATAGATTTAGATCGTTCGCGCCTGGCGACTCCGTGTCGACTGGGCTGTGCGTCGGTGGTGGTGGTGGTGATGCTTCGCCCACCGCTAGCGGCGGGTCCGGTATTGAATTGCCCGTATCAATATTCCCGTCCACGGGCTCTTCCTGGAAGGCCATGACATCGCGAATATACTGACACGTTGCTTGGTTGTACGGGTGGGCAGGGCATCCAAGACAGTCGCATTCAGGGCCACAGTGGCATACGTGACTCGTATAGGAACCCGAGGCACCTCCATTTGGTTCGACTTGAGGCAAAAGATTTGCTACTAACTGCTCCCATTGCGATTGCTGTAGCGGGAAATGGTACGTCCCAAATGGGGCCTGGTCTGAGTATAGGGCTGGTTGCTGGAAGTGGTTCATCGGATATATTTGTTGTTCAGCCGACACTTGTGGTGGAAAATGCGCTGTCATAGAGCCGTTACCTGTGGGAATTTGGGGTATATAGCCCATCATGTTCGAGGACTGCTGAGGTCCAGCATGAAGTTGGCTCTGGAATTGAATGTGAGTCTGTATCTGTGGAGGTTGTTGTACCCTCTGAGAACAGCAGCTTCCGGGTTGTCCCAAGGGTTTTTCTTGCGAAGAATCTTCAGTGCTCGAAATCGGCGTGTGGTAGGGCGAGCTGGATGCACCAGATGTCATCGTTTCTGAACTAACCGTTGAATTATTTGAACGGTCTGGAATTCCGTTTCTGGAAGGTTGTGTTGGCGATATATTCGACAGGCCGTTGTTTAGGGCAAGTAGAGAGGAGTCTAGTTGCCTGTCTAGACGAGAAGCTATCTGCGGATAGGAGGGATACTGGTGACTACCGTTTTGTAAGGGCGGGATGTAATTCGTATAATCAGCGGAAGAAGCGATAACATTCGCGGGAGATGCCGGTAAAACACTACTCGCGCCAATCAAGTTCAAGCTGTTAGCGTTCATGCGCTGTAGAGCCGAAGCGGAAGCATCAGTAGATTGTTTTCGGTTTGGCTTTGCTGTCGGTTTCTGAATTCGAAATGACGCTTGTTTCGTAGGCGATAGCGGCGGGTTGTCTGATGGTTCGGCCTTGACGATGGCCGGCGTGCCGTTAGTCTTACTAGGCGGGCTACCACCGCATCGACATGAACCTCCTTTAGGGAGCGCAGCCGTTACATTCCGACATTGGCACGGCTTGCCCGGCGGATGAGGACAAGTGCTCAGCGGTCGACCCGGCTTTCGCACAGGTAATAGCATACGATCCCCCAAATGCGCGCATTTTGTTGATCGATGCCCTCGTATACATGGCTCACTAAAGATAGGAGAAGTAGTCAGTGGGTGAAAACAGCCAAGACTATAGTGATTTCTACGAGAACCATCCGTTACACAAATTTCCAGTGTCGAATGGAGATGGTTTGCTAGGAAAGGCGCCCCAAACTTAGCGTAACAACATGCAACCTTCCGAGACTCCCCATGGGACACTGCGCAGAGACAAACAGCAGATGATATTTGACTCACCAGGCCATCTTTTGTCCATTAATGATAGGCATCTTCCGTAGCGTCGCGCGGTGGTACCGGCGCAACAGAAGCTCGAAAGTATGCTGGACAAGGAACGTTATATATCATGTAAGAATTATCGACAGCTTCAGAGACGACTCGTCCTAACTTTACTTTAGAGATTAATGTCTTAACGTATTAGTCGGAAGCGAGGCGCATAGGGGCTCTTCTCATCGAGGTTGTCGCGCGGCAGGTAGCGGACCTTCTAAGTCGTACTTGGAAAGGCAGGTTGATCACTGTGGCATGAGGTGAAAGTGGCTGGCGTCGTGGAACTCGAGGCTTCGATAAATTCGAGATGAGCTAGAGCGAACGACGCCTAAGGTCTCACAGGGGCCTTGAGCAGATAAACTCGAGGCCTAGATCGTTATAGGGGCGGAGATGTGGTATAATAGATATATCAATAAGAGATAGGGTCTTAAAAGCTGCGAGGGTAAACGAATAAAGTGTGATATGTCCAATAGAGTGTCGTCGACCAATATGGCTGGTATGAGTCGAATACCGAAGCAGAGTAATACAGGTTGGGAATATGACGGCAGTCACTCAACAATAGAAGTCTGGGGTCGGCACCTCGGGGTTCCGTTACAGGTTATGAATACCGGGCGGTAGATGAAGGGCCCACGGTGAGACGATCCGGTGTAAGTAGCGTAGCGACTAATACTCTGAGAAGGAACTCCGGAAAGACAGAGACAATTTGTAATGTTATGACCGATAAGGAAGAATGATTGCCCAGGGGATGGGGAGGGGAAGAGGTTGTTTCTCATCTGATTCCCACATGTAACGTCCCCAGCCAACAACGTTAGTGGAGGTACCCAAGTAGGTAAGACTGTGCTTCGAGTCGAAGGCTGATGACAAGACAGACCGAATACAAGAAGTCTGTTACCCCGGGGAAAGTCTCGGTCCTGCAGTTTAGATGGCGGTAAGAAAGGGGATTTATGACCGGGATCCAGATTTTTAGATGTCAATGTTTTCCAAGGGTCATCAGGGCGTTTTTATAATTGTCTGAAACCCGGGAAAGGCTTCTTTTTTTTTTCAATGGTGGTTGTGTTGGTAGTGTTGGTAGTAGGCGGTTTAATGTTGCTTTCTATATAATACCGGTAAACTGTATGTGATATGTGAACTATATGTAACTTGTTAGAGACATTGTACCTCTTGGAGCTCAACGGGTTCGGTTTTTGTCTTGTAGGCTGCGGCAGAACCACCAAGTTGACCAAACCGTTTCCCAGTGAAGCATACCTAAGGGTCCCCACCACAAGGAGATAGTTGGTTTAGACCATAATAGACCACAAAATATCTACCTAAGTATGGTCTGAACTCTCCAGGAAAGGGTCAAAGGGTCAAAGGGTATTAGCAAAAGTGAAAGATGATTGGGATGGTGACTGTCGTGTTGTCTGTGGGGGTATCCCAAAACGAGCAAGTTTTGATTGGCTGCTTGGCCCAAATGGTGCTGACTTCGAGTTAGATCCTTCACTTTCCCTTTCCTCTTGGACAGGGATTAAGCTATGTAAGTACATAAAGTATATGTATGTGTACTATATGTACTTTATGTACTATGTACTGCAGAACGCGCTAATCGGGGGGGACGGGAGCATTAAAAGGGTCCTGCAGAAGATGCGAAGATGCGTATCATCTACAATCCAATGACACCGTCAATGACCATATAGAATCAACTTTATGGAGGGGCTGAAAGGGAGGGGCAAGAAGGGGGCTTGCAGCCAGAAAACATGAAGTTCAATGGCCTTGGGGAACGTGGGGCTAAAAACCTAAAGCACGTACCTTGTAGACCTTAGCTTCTGCCCTTATAATTTTTTACGGTATAAAAAAAAGGGATACGTCATCTAGTCACATATCGGTATTTTTTTTTTCAAGCTTGCTTATGTACAAGGCTTTTTCGGCACTTGCTAATGATATCTAGGCAGGCAGGTACGGAATACAGTACGGGCTTATGACAGCACGAACGATAAAATGCTATAATAAGAGTCAACCTCTTTCCTGTTCGGGTATGTCCCCAGTATCAAAAAGCCTTAACCTTATGATGTGCCTAAAATGCAATGCGGAACTTTGGAGGATTCCATTGACGGCAAGTGCCTTACGTATATTAATGCTACTTGCTTACAAGTACAAGTACATAATCAAAGATGCGGCTCTTAGAGAAGAAAAATATATGATATCTGTCTGTCTATCTTGAACCTAGGTACCTAATTCATCTTTAATTGCTGCAATTCCGATTACCTTCAGAAGAAAAAGATGTTCGGTAGATATATAGTGCGAGAAGTAATATTCGATCATTATTTAAAAAGACCAAATAAATATTGTCAACTACATACCTACTCTCCATTGTTATACAAAACCTAAACCTCGTGAGGCATAGATAAATTACAACCCTCTCCGCCATCTCATACGTACATAATACATCTTGTTACTGGTTACTAGTAACAAGTATGCAAATACTACATATCAGTTATCCATGCTGAACAAGCCGTTGAACCCTGCATAATCCGATACCTAGGTATTCATATCTCACAGCGTAAGCTTTATCGAAACGAGCTATAGCAAACGGTTATGTACTTGCACTCAGACTGGTTACATGGTATAAGCCAGCATACGAGGTATGCAAACATATACATGAGTGGTTCTGACATATAATATCATTGGCAATATAATCATTATTAAAGAGTAGAATGACACATGTACAACATGCGCCTCTAGTGCTGCAGATCTAATATGAAAACTCGGATATCAAATGATAGTCCCGCGGCGCTAAGTGACATCTGACCTCGATCAGATTCGAGATTCGATACCGCCGGGATGGATAACCGAAACCTAATTTTATCGAGCTCCGGGATAATTCCAATTGGCCCATCTATATGGCATCTCGCGTGCTTCCACCTCCGGCATTTGCAATTACCCTAGACCTATTTGAGAAAATCATCATAGCTATCCTACTGGCTAGCCATTGGCGATGTCGCTATTTCCCAAGTATCAAGGTAGATATCATGCTCGAATTTTACGTTTGCTAACAAACTAAAATCTGTCGAGTTTCTTGCTTCCCTCGCACAACGTCTCGTCCCAATTCGCCGGTGGGATATACCCTTAACCCCAGGGTCGCTCTTAGAGACATGATATCAATCACTTTAGATCAACACATGTATCAATGTAGACTGTAGCACCAAATATAAACGTACTATCTCACGAAGTTACCCCTAATACCTGGTTCACTATCTGGCTGGTTAACGACGCTCATACACCATCCCTTCATGTCTTGTAGATACGAAGCATCTGTTACAGAAGGGGGCGTATCCCCCCAACTGCTTAAACCACTCTGCGTGTAGCTGGTGAATCGTAAGGGTCTGCTAAGAATTTCTGGCGGCCTGAATATGTCGGTATCCCGACTGCATAAGCGTCGTCATAACGGCACATAGTCATTAGTATCTTTAGTGAGCTTCAGGTACAATATAAAGACATCAATAGATCCTGCTTATGAGTCACTCCATAGTTGATAAAGACGACCGCATTCCAATATAAAGCACGGTCCAGGTCCGACTCTCCTAACGCGGGACCTATATGTGCACAGGTAGGGCTTGATTTTGTTGATGACCCTGGTTCGTTGTCAGGGGTGTACGAATGGGATTGACTCTGTCCCTTGCGCTACCAGATCATTTTCCATTGTCGGAGTTATCAGAGTCTGCAAACATATCGACGGCTCTCATACGCCTCCTATGCTGGGTCCCAGCTGATTGCTCCTTGGACAAGCTGCTTGAGTCGTCCTTTCCAGTATCTTCGGCATCTTTTCCTTCGCCGCTTTGACTACCCTTGTCCGCCGTTTTGCCAACGAAGTTATCTCGTTCCGCATCTTTCGTTTCGCTTTCGTCCATGGGTTCTCCATCCTCACTGTCATCCATTGGAACGCCATCGATATCGGTATCCAGGTCTGCCTCATCCATTGACATATGCTCATCCATCGCCTCACCATCCACGTCATCAATTTCCATCTTAGCGGCCTCGCTATCATATCGCACTTCCCCAGTTGCAGGCAGAGGCACGAACCCTTTCCCTTCGATTTTCGTAGTGGCCAAACTACCGGCTTCCACGGGTTTCCATTTGCCTTTCCTAGCGGTCTCATCAACCTGCTCCTCCTTCTTTGCACTCGGGGGATTTTCAAATGTCTCATTGAAGAGCTGTTGGCTCTCGTGCGGAAACGCGCACCATCCTTCCCACAAACCTAATACTAGCTTGACACTTCGTTTCCATTTATCTGCTCTCAGACGACCCCAATTGAGGCGTTCTGCTGTAAGGCCCAAAATCTCGAAGACGTTGTTATTTTTAAAAGATACCTCGAAGAGCTGGCGGTACCTCCAGGCATGCCGAACCCCGCTCGTAGCGGACGACGAGAGAATATCGCTCACGACATACAGCCCAATAAGACTTGCAGCACTCGTATCCTGGGTTTCGCTTAGCTTTGCGTTTGCGTCGTCGGGAAAGGGTGTCGAGTTGTGCGACTCTCCGTAGTCCTCTCCATTTTTACTAGGTTTGCCACGCTCTGGGTTTGCCAAAGTTAACGCAAATGGCTTGATGATGTTGGCCACGATCATGTTTACAATCTCGTCTGCGCCTCTGCTCGCGTGGGTAATAGCGAAAGTTGTCACCCTAGCAATATCGCCCTTCCGGATCTTTGACAATGTCGTCGGGAGACGAGCTAGCAAGTGTGTCAATCTCGTTTTCTCAAGCGGATTCAAGTAAGTATTTTCGTTATCGCCACCATCCATCGGTTTGTGCCCTTCGTCCTCGTAGTCTTCTTCGTCAGAAGAGTTGTACTCCGAGTCTGATACGAATTCGTCGATAGCAGTAGTGTATTCGTACGGCAGATCCTTTTCAGGTACCCTCCAAGCATGGCTACCTTCGAATAGCGGTATGTATTTCCCCTGTCGGCCGACCTTGGCTTGGCCGCCTGTGATCACCTCCCAGAGTCGCCACCGATACCAGACTCCACCTTCACTACGTGCATCCCAGAGCCAGGCCCATTTCTCTTCTTTCTGTACATCAGGCCGTGACATCAAAAGGGCTTCAAACTCTGGGCCATGAGCTAATACAGATTCAACGACTTTATGGATTAGTTGGAGTTGTTTAATGTCTCTCGGCGCTTGCACTGGGACATGGAAGATAGTTCGACTTATTGGCCCTCCCCCTGTACTATAAGACGCTGGCGGGGCAAACCCGCGGTGAAACCCACCCGGATGATGAGAATTATTGTCATTAGCTTGCGGGACTGGTTTTGCGCCGAAGGCATGAGAGGTAGACGAAGATGTGAGACTTGGCGTGGCTATGGTGGATACTACGGCAGACGATAGATGCCTATGTAGCGACAGATAGAAGCCGTAGCCGAGATATCGATTCTGTAGAGAACTAACCGTCGCGTCGATATCCGTAGCGGGGGTCTCCTTAGACAGCGTAACAATAGCGGCTATTGATTTCCTCTCTGTGCTTCCTACAGTGGGAGGTAGGATCTTCACATTCTCTACAGTCAAGCTCGGCGGCATAAGAGCTTTTATGACTGCAAGAGATGTCCCCGGTGGAAGATTCGCCAGGCGGAGCGTAGGCTTCGCTATAGCCTTTTGCTCGGCTAAATCCCTCGATCTCGTGTCGCCTTCGTCGTCGCTCGCGTTAAAAACTTTTGAAATAACCTTAGGTCGTAAAACATGGCCACCGTCACTATCGTCATCATCGTGGAATCCAAGCCGACCCCGTGCGTCATCCGCAGCTCTCCTATTGAATCCCTGTTGATGGTTATCTAGCTTCCTCTTGCTACCAAAGGACGTTGGAGGAGGGCCCAAAGATCCAGGGCCACTCTTCAAACCTGGCCCACCGCCAAAATGTCTCTTTGGCGGTACTGGCCTACCACCTTCGCGACCGGGAGGACCGCCCTGAGGTCGAGCACCAAACGCGAGTGGTGGACGGGAAGTAGGGCCTGTATTGTCATCCTCATCGTCGTCGTGATCGAAACTCTTAACAAAACTCTCGTATACTGCGGCGGTCTCAGCAGCTTCTCTCTTACGTTTGGCCTCGGCATCAGCTTTCTGCTTCTCGAACGCGGATTGCTTCGACGGCTTCTGGAGCTTCGCCTCGACGTCAGGAAAGTCGGTAAGTTTCTTGGAAGACATTATTGGTAAATTGGATAGAGTGGGATTACGTAGGATGTCGCATTTTGTGAATAATTTGCTCTTGCATTGGTTGGTTGGTATTTTTGAATGGTGGTTGGCGTTGGAGATTCAAAAACATTGAAAGTTAAAAGAGAAAGCTAATTGGGATGGGTTAGGTACCTCACTATGCAAGTATTCTCTATACATTCTCACATGTCCGTGTTTCCCTTGGGTCAATTTAGCAGGTGCTCCGGTACCTAGGTACATAGCATATGGTAGGCCCACTCCACTAAACTTTGACTGTACATATTACACGATCCAATCGTATGGTCAACCAAGTTGTCTTACACAGTCTGTGTCTTACACCTAGTTCTTACATACATCTAGTCAAATCAAAGGCGCTATTCAAGACATAGCCTAACAGCATTCAAGTAAGGGATAACTCCACCTAGTTTCCACATCGGCGCCGGTGCGGGGAGTACAACAAGTCCAAATATATAGGTATATAATTCATAGTCCATATCTTAGTCGAATATTATCTTCGTTAATATCTTCGTAACTCTCATATCCGTTTCTTAGGAAGTAATTATTATGCCGCTAGCAACGCAAGTGTCCCCGGAAGGTTGGTCCATGACTGAGGTTCTATCCTGTCCAACCCCAGTCCTCCAAGATATTACTCTCGATCCAGATATGACCCCCAAGTATGATCCCCCTACTAGCATCTTGATCATAGGTGCCGGGGTATTCGGACTCAGCACCGCCCTCGCATTTACCAAGCGCCCTGAGTTCGCATCTACCTCTATAACTGTCCTAGACCGGTCCCCGGAGGCTGGTGTGTTCCCATCCCGTGATGCTTCCTCTATCGACTCGTCGAGGATTATCCGGGCCGATTATGCAGACCCGGCCTACGCAGCGTTAGCATCGGAGGCACAAGTCCACTGGCGGCAGACCGATCCGGCCTCTCTCGGTGGTGAGGGCCGGTACACTGAGTCCGGATTCATACTAGGAGCCGACTCCGGACCGCTGGTGCGTGATAACGGGTCGTCAACTGGTCTTGCCTATGCTAAGAAAAGCTGGGTGAACGCAATGGCGCTTGCGCATAAGGAAGGACGACCTTTAAGCTCAATTCGCGTTTTGAAGAACCCGTGGTCTGTCGGTAGTATGTAACGTCGAGAGCCCTTTCTCCCCTCTCACCTAAGACTAGAGCCGACATTTCTTTATCGAGCTAATTTCAGTCGATTTTATTCTTATACATAAACCCTCTAGACTCTTTACCAAAATGAGAATAAATATTAACTTACTAGTACAGTGGTATCTGGCACGGGAGGCGAGTTCGCTTACTGGGGATACCTAAATACCGCGAGTGGTTGGGCAGATGCTGAAGCGAGCATGAAGTGGTACTACGAGCGTGTCACTGCCACGGGTCGCGTAACCTTCGTCAACGGGACGGCCGAAAGCCTCGAGACAGACGAGTCGTTAAGGAGGGTTACCGGGGCGCGACTTAAGGACGGCAGCACGCTATCAGCTGATCTCGTAGTCGTCGCCGCGGGCGCCTGGACACCTACGCTGGTAGATCTCTCAACACAGGCCGTGGCCACCGGCCAGATTTTAGGTTATATGGACATCACTGAAGAGGAGCAGAAGAGGCTAGAAAAGGTCCCTGTGATGCTAAACGTATCGACAGGTCTCTTCGTGATACCTCCGCGCAATCGTGTGCTCAAGATTGCAAGGCATGCATATGGATATCTGAATCCCAAGCCGGTATCAAAACCGCCCCTGGGAGTTCCCGGTTCGACAACGCCGGAGCTAATCTCACAGCCGTATACGCATCTCGACGATGCTGGTCTCTCGATTCCAGCGGACGCCGAGAAAGTACTACGGGATGGTTTACAGAAAATAATACCATGGCCAGAATTACAAGACCGACCTTTCTCCCGAACTCGACTCTGCTGGTATACAGATACCGAGACGGGAGACTGGATAATAGATTACCATCCATATTGGCAAGGTTTGTTCGTTGCTACAGGGGGAAGTGGGCACGCATTCAAATTCTTGCCAGTTATTGGTGATAAAGTAGTAGACACTATTACAGGAACATGCCCTGAAGAACTTCGGAGAAAATGGAAATGGAGATCCTCAAATACTACCGAAATCATAGCAACGGAGGATGGGAGTCGGGGTGGACAACCGGGACTGACACTAGAAGACGCAATGAGAAAATAAACATACAACCAGACAAATCATAAATCACAAAGATCATAAGTCAAAACGCGGGAATGCCAATTATAAATCGATTGGTGAATAGATGTGTATGTATGTTTCACCTAAGGAAGAACCTCAAGCAAGGATAATCCATCTGACGTCTAAACGATGTTCCGTAACGGATCGTGAGGAATACGCGAGACGTTACTAAGATGTCCAGACGGATCATGACGCATACAACCAATATCACCCTTACTCTCAAGTTCTGCGGAGTATATCCGCCAAGATGGCTCACATCCACCTCATTATCACTCTCGTAACGCAACCACCGATACTGACGGGCAATTCGGGGTATCACAACCTCCACCAACGCCATACTACCAATTGTACAGCCCTACCCCTCTGCGCGAATTAATACGGCACCATCGACCTGCGCGAATGCCGCCGGAAAGTATCACGGTGCAATCTAAGCCGTCAATCCGGATCTGAAAAGGTTTTTCTTTTTTTTCCTTGTGATGTGAAATCATCCTTATTCCTTCCAGTGTAATAGGTCCTTCCTATGTTAAACGCCGATGCAATGCTATGTGGAAAAACGACAATGATACAATTGACGAAAGTCCGTGGGCTTAGCCTACCCAGGACGACGTCGTGACTCGTAAGGTGAAGATCATAAAATCATAAGGAGTCGGTTAATTTACAGATCCCGAATGGAACCGAAGGGAAGAGTCTAGTGACAAGGGCGGCTCGAAGAGCACGTGTCAACCATGAAGTTGACGTGTTAAAAAGACTCTAGACCTTGCGGAAATCTAGGCTATATTAGTAACAGAACATAAGCCCAGGTTTTAGTAACACTTACCTTGCAGGACTGGGTAAATCATTTCGAACGCCTGGTAGATCTCTTCTCGGACTTTTGCGCCGGTCAAAACAATCTTACCGCTCACAAAGATCAGGAGAACAATCTTAGGCTTAATCATGCGGTAGATTAGACCGGGGAACAACTCAGGTTCGTAAGAACTGAAGTTGTGATGGCGCGAAGCAAGACCCTCAAGTCTGATGGGAAACTTGATGTCGCAGCTGCCAACGATATTCTGGATCTTGAAATCGCTAAACTTGGCATTGAAACCGAGCTTCTGGATAATACGAGCATATTTACGGGAAGCAAGCTTCGAGTCATCTTCCGACTTAGCGCCAGTGACAACCATCTTGCCTGAAGCAAAGATCAACGCTGTTGTCTTTGGTTCACGAATACGCATAATAACAGCAGCGAAACGCTGGTCTTTGTCAGCCGAGTTCTTTGAAGAATAAAGAATAAAGGACTAGGTTTTCAGTACCTTCGGGTTGTACTCGGCGTTGCGAGCATGGAGGGCAATCGTCTTCAAATCCAACCGGCACTCAAGGTTGACCGTGGCGACGATATTCCTTTATCATGCGCGGTGAGTTTAATGTCTATAAAAATGCGACATAGGTTATACATACTGCAAGGTAGGAGTCAACCCACTTCCTCCTTGGACAGCCGCAGGTGTAGCAGCGGGTGTGGCGGGAGTCACCCCGGTACCGTTTGCAGCCTGCTGAGGAGCGCCGTTTACGGGTCTCTGGCCGTTCGCCTTCTCAGCATCGAACGAAGGCGGGGTGAGATCACCAGCACCCCCAGGGAAGGATAGAGAACCAGGCGCGGTAAAGGCCTTGGCCTGTGCGGCAGTAGACGGGTGGGTATGAATGGTTTCCATCTTGTAAATGCACGCTCAGGCTTTTTTTGAAGGTTGAGCGGATCAGAACAGACCTACGAGATCCAAACGGTTAGAAAATAGTTTCCAAAGTATCAATGCGCACCGAAATCAAACAGGCGCACGACCAGATGAAGATTTAGTGGGGATAATAGTAGAAAAAAGGGAAGACAATTATAAAACGCAATATTGATGTGGGATTTAAATATAAGATAACTGGTATCGCCGTAACTGGTGATTCAGGTGTCGATGAATCAGGCGTTGAGTGGCAACGGAGCGACAGTGAGGCAGGTAGAAGTGGGGGGTTGCTAGGTACTGAGTGATTGACATTGGAAAGTAGGAGAATGAGGCAGTTAAGATACCCAGTCAGGGTTGATTTCTACAGGTATGTTTGGTTTCCACTGTATCGAAGAAACTGACTCCGTACACTGGGGTAAATGAATAATAAAAAATAGGTAGCCTTACCAATTAATGTGTTGGAGATAAACAAGCAAATGTCTCCCCAACACAGTAGAGGCTAGTACGACGATACGGTCGTTGGATCTATCGATCGATTGACGTGAAGGCACACACACGAGATGTAGATATCAGATGTCAAAAGTCACTTCCCGATCAATTCGGAGAAGTTCGTGAGCTTTACTTCCACTGATTCGAAGCGCAAGATATACGAGTGACTGTCGAGGTCGAGGGATCTAAGATAGGATTCGACGACAACGACGGCGGTGGAAACTCGGTCTCTCGCAACGACGGTATCGAGGGAAGGCAAATCCTCAGCCTTGTGTTTTTCTTCAAAACTCGTCTTCTATTGTTGATCTATCTTCTTCTTCTTTGCTACACAGCACCGTGATCCGTGCGTGTAAAATATGCTCGAGATCAGGTGAGACAGATTTACTCTTCCTGATGCAGATGCTCGAATCCTGAATTAGGCGAACAACTGGTAGACAAAGGACCAACCTAAAGGATAGTGCCTTTGATTTTACTTGTGTCGCCTGTTTGCCTAATTTTAGCGAACAAGCACGATACACGATGACAACTTCGTTTTAGTCCCAAAGCAGACGATGTAGCTAACAGTAGTCCGCGGTGTGACGTTGAAGTGATGGGGTGAGATGAGAAGAACGCGGGACGCGGGACGCGGGGTAAAATGTAGGATAAAGTATTGTAAGGTACGTACTCTCTCAATCGCTGTTAGAAAGGAAGGTGGGGTCCCCAATAATGGTGACGCGTCTATGAGAGAGTGAATAAAATAAATAAATAAATTACGAGGGTCAGCTCAATTGACAGGCAATTGCTGACAAAAGGTCCGTTGTGGCTAATGCACTTCTTGTTGTGGCTGAGGAGTATTATGAAGAGGGGACCTTCGGGTCGGGGAATCCGCGCGCAAGAATTTTCGAAACATTGAAGTTGAGGGGAAGCCGGCCAATTTATAATTTTTGGAGGCAAGCGTTTTCGTGCAAGTACGCACTGACTTTTTAGGTAAGTACGCCCCAGTGTGGCGGAAACACTACCCACTGCTCCCTGCTTCCCTTCCTTAGCGGACACGCTAGCATTAATGCGTCCAATCATGTCTCCTCCCTCGTCCCTTATTTTATCTTTCTTAATCTTTTTCTTTCCTTGCCCGTCACTCTAAGTTCTTCCCAAGTCCTTCTTATGTTCCTCGTCATCGTACTATTTCATCCACGCAACCTTCCATTCCGTGCACATTCGCGTCCATATCAAACACCACTTCTCATTCTACATTCTACACGATCTAACGAAGTTTTCTTAGGCTCATTCGCACTTTGCTCTCCTCTATTCTAATATTTACTAATATCTAGGTCAATATTATTATTATCGACAAAACTCCCGTCCTGCTTTCGTGGCTGCAGAAACCCATGACTCGGTCGATTACCTACATCCACAACCTACGCAGAAGCATCGTCAGTCCGTATTACGGCTAGCAACTCGCACTGGGTTCGGGGCTATTGGATAGCCACCAGTGCAGGCTCCTAAAATCTTGACGGGTGGGTGTGAGCAGGACGGAGTTTTAGACCCCAACCATACCACACCCTGCAAGCTTGGTTTACCTGCCACCCCTAGCCCTCCTCTTTCTCCCTGAAACGCACACAACGCCTCCTCTTTTACCCCTATTATCATGCTTTTTGTGTTTTGATTGACGCTTAGCCAGTATCTCAGGTATCTCGGGTTTCGCTGAGCCTCCACAAGAATGCATATCTGTTCACATTCTACCGTGAATGGAAAATCCCAAACAATGGTTCAGGAGAGGATTACGTGGATTAACAAGCTCTTTCTTTTTCGCTCCGCGAGTAAACGAGACGGCAAATTGTTAGGTTGTGCTGCTGTCGCACTCGAGCATCCTACAAATTTTATTTTATCCCTCTTTTCTTTGTTTGGCTGTGACGATCCCTTTTTCGTGGATCAATTGCAGGTCTCATTTCGGTGGTTTCGGAGGTAACAGCCGCAATCGCAATCGGAGAACGCCACCCTTGACCAGCACCTTTTTTTTTGTCTTGTCATTTTTCCTTCTGTTTTTTTTTTTTCTTGACGCCTTTCCTTTTTAGGAATGCAAAACCGTATTGAATCGACCAAAAATATTGCTACAACTTTGCGTTCTTCAAATCTAAGTTCGCTAGAATACCTAACCTGCTCGAAAAGCTAGAGATTGTCATCTTCGCATTTATCCTTTGGGGATGTGCGCTACCGTTTTGGTTGAGAACTGGGCGATACGATACTTGATCTCACTCTTGTGTTCGGCCCCCTTGTTTTGGTATCCATTCTTGTAGTTTCGTATTCTATCGGTACACAATGCAGGACCTTGTTCTAGTGCACAGTACTAAGTGGCCTTCAGGCAAATCCCTGCCAGTGGCCACCACGCAATTATTTTCTACCTAAAGGGAAAAAAGAAAATTTTTCATTTTTTTTTTTCAAGGAAATCCTCCCTCGGCTACCAGCCTCATTCAGCTGTACGCTATGTACCAACCAGACAACCCAAAGAAAAATTCCTTGTTATGCATCCCTTCTTGGCAACTCTATGACTCATTGATAACCCTTTTTCTTACAGAGTTCAATGCTGCGGTCGGTGTACTTGTCCAGTGCATATCCTACTCCTACAAATTAAACTTTTCTTTTTAATATTGATATGAATTTGAATTATATGGAGTGGTCTTAGGTGATATCTCTAAATCCTATTCTATCGGACTTCAAGGTTCGTATTGGAAAGTTATGATAATCGTCCGCCGCTGCTGCCTGAGCGCTAATTTTCGCGCTGGTAAGAACGCGACATCCCTGTAAGACTAGGAGGCTTGGCTCTCTCGACTGGTATGGAATGTATATGCAAGCGCTCGGTACATAGTACTCTTAAATCACCTGATGTAACGATAACGGTCTGACAAATGCAAGCTGCACAAATTCGCGGCTTGAACATGCAAGTAGCCTCTAGTAACCAGTATGTATGCACTGTGTTTCTTGTTTCCTGGTTTCTTATTTCTTATTTCTTATCGATATGCAAATCTAATATCAATTTCTCCCCTCCACATAACCAGCCAGTTATGATATAACTCCTCAAAAGCTATAGGTTGGTTGAATTATCAATGATATATAACTGTGGTCTCTTATAAACTTCTTATTAAGTTATTGTTGACCTTTACTTGTCCTTTGCTTTTAAAAGCGCCACACTTACATACGTGAGTATAGGTAGTTGTTCTAGTTAGTAGTGGCCCTTCAGAGTTATAATGTCGTAAGTATTAAGTTTCAAAAGGATATAAAAGCTGGGTAGCATCAGCTAAAGCATCCGAGTTGAAAGTCGCCGGCATGAGTTATAGTCTTACTAGCTTGCTTAAAGGACACGTTATTTTCTAGAAGTATATGTGCCCAGTGAATGGGACCTGTTGAGCAACAACAACTGTTATATTATATTATATTATGAAGGTTGAAGTTAAAACATGTGTCTATGATTAAGACAACTATATGATTAACGCAATAGTATATTCCTAAAATGATATCATAATAATATTACCAGGTAATTACTTGATGAAAATGGGACCTGCAAAGCTTATAGATATGACAGTTGGGTAACTACATATAATTAAAAGAGCTTCGTGAGCACACGCATCAAGCTGTCGAGATATCTATTTCCTCTCTTATCATAATTGGTATAGCTACCGCAAAGGTAGTGTTCTCGTGGTTAAAATAAACATATATACTTTCACTATTATTCTTATTCGCTTATTGTAATGACTTCCTGAATCGTGTTTACCTAATCTATATGTATTATATTCTCACTCCAGATAGATCATTCGTCCATTTTAGTGGTATTGTATGTTGTTATTTCACTACGATTATTCGTGGAGCACCTTCATAGCCTCCGGTTATTGCTTCAAGCCCGGACAACTATAGGTAACAACCTAAATGCTAAGTCTTGAGCAAGATTGTGGCTAGTGACACCCCCTAAGAGCTAGTCCAAATAAGACTGGATAATATCAAAAGATATTATATCTTTCGTAGGAATATGTGATGCCTTCTAGTTACGGTGTAGCCGTCATTCCTGTATGTCGTGGCACATTCCCCACGCCCGATCCACGATTCGTACACAAAGTCCCTTACTTAAGTCGTATTCCCCTAATAAATCTTATATACGGGTATAGGCAGTTTCTTGGAAGTCGTGTAAAGGAAAGAAGCGAGGTTAAGATATATCGTGCTTAGTTGTCAATACTTTCCTTCCCCTGTTTTTTACGGTTGTAATGAATCCTAGATCCTGCATGCCGCGTAGTTTTACAAGTTGTTAATCTGTGTATGCGTGGCTCTAAGACTAGTGACAATGAATGAATGATAACACGTGTTCGTGATGGATGGCGGAGATATTGTATTAGATCAGTTTAGCGAAGACAAGCCCGACCGGTCGAGGTCACCGACGCCAAACCCCGATCGTCGTCGGTATGCGGCGGGTCTGCAGACGGAGGTGGGGGTAGAAGAGAACCTGCAAGCTTTTGTACCGTTGAAAAAAACAAAGTGGTGATGTGATTAAGTGGGGGTTTCCACCCAGACGGCTCTGGGGCTTCTAGACTATCGGGACTAGACCGTCTAGCTTTCACCATCTATTGGTATAATCGTATCCATTCACCGTTCGCTTGGAAAACTACCCCTGGCCATCCCTGCTTGTGGCTTTTTATACTCGCCGACGAGCCGCCCACGTCCGCCACACACCCTGACACCCTATTGTTAAAGGCCAGCAGGTTTGAGGCGAATTGGGGATACCCATCCTGAGTTAAGATAGACCCCTACGCCGATCTATTGCGGTCTAGTGTATTACGTATTGGAGAAGATCTCGTAACCGAGACGCCTGTTAGGCGTACGCAGGCGCTTATAATAGGCGATGATGGAGAGTTGGCAATCTGGGACTGGCCAGAATAGTTGAGAATAGGACATGTCGGTGTGAATTTGTTATACTTTGGATCATCCCCATCCGTTTGCTGGCCATCTCTCTGTAGTTGTTGTAAACGTGTACTGTACCTAAGAAAAGCCAGCGAATCCCCGTCACCGCTAGTTATACATATGCATAGGTGGTAGATGTAGGTGGCTAAAATTCTATGTAGGTACCTTATTGCTTTCTTTCGGCTTCCATTAAGCTTCTAATGATACGCGGATAGCCCTGCAAAGCTCCGTTTACGGCGCCGGTCCAAGGTACTACCTCGCTGCGATAAGCATTACAAACTTCTGCTCCACACCTCCTGAGATGCATACCCTCTTTGAACTTTTTCTGCTTCACATCTAAGAGGTAGTCTAATCCAAGCGACCCTCTAAGAGACCCTCTAGAGTATATTGCCGGGCCGTCATTGTGTTCCACCTTCATCAAAATCAAGTGGTCACGTGCTTATGCGCTGAGGGTGTGCTGTATAGTTTGCACGACCGGACTCCTCATCCCTTATTCGATTCTAGGGTATTTGGGTTCGACTTGGTTAGCTAGGAGCGGGAAGATGACTGTCATCGATACCAGCAAAGATCTATCTGCGCTATTCCTTCAGCAGGTCAAGGCTACCCCCGATGCCGTTGCCCTGGAAGATGGACCTACGACGTTGACTTACGCCGAGCTCGACCGCAAGGTCGATGCGCTCGCTACCCGTCTTCGTCACGACGGAGTTGGTCGAGATTCTCTTGTCGGCGTCTTGCTTGGACGGAGTGCAGATTATGTTATTTCCTGCCTTGCTGCGCTCCGTGCGGGCGGTGCATTCTTAGTCCTTGAGCTTGCATACCCTCCGAGTCTCCTGGCCGCTGTTATCGAAGATGCAAGACCTACCGTGATAATAACACACATGGCGCATTTTGGCAAGATCAACTATAAGACTCCCCTCATAATTCTTGACGATAAAAGTTCATATGAAGATGGAGATGCTTCGTCGAATGGAACATCGAAGACCCTACCCCCATTGCCTGCCGAAGATGACTTAGAGAAACTTGCCTTCGTGTCCTACTCATCTGGAACTACGGGAAAACCCAAAGGGATTGCGAATCCACACAGGGCGGCTGTTTTATCGTATGACTTAAGATTTGGAGTCAATGATCTCAAACCAGGCGACCGTGTGGCCTGCAATGTATTCTTCGTCTGGGAAATACTGCGTCCGTTACTGCGCGGAGCAACTGTAGTAACTGTTCCTGATGAGACTAGCTACGACCCTGTTGCTCTGGTTGAATTACTTCGCTCGAAGACTATCACGGAAACTCTCATGACACCCACTCTGCTTGCAACAGTCCTTGCTCGTCATTCACAGCTTGGGGCCCGTCTTCCAGATCTGCGTACAGTATGGCTCAACGGTGAAGTTGTGACAACTGACCTTGCACGGCGCGGTCTTAAAGCGCTCCCGAAGGCACGCCTATTAAATTGCTATAGTGCGAGCGAAACCCACGAAATTGCCTGTGGAGATATAAGGGATATGGTTAATGATGAAGCCCGCGTCGTCCCAGTTGGCCCCCCCCTGGACCCGGAGCATACATACATTCTTGACGAGGATGGTAAAAAGGTTGAGGCGGGTGTTAGCGGCGAGTTGTTCGTTGGAGGAAAACTCCTGGCACGGGGGTATCTGAACCTACCGGAAGCGACCGCGAAAGCTTTCACCGACGACCCCTTTGACCAGACACCTGGCGCACGAATGTATAGGACTGGAGATACGGCGCGGTTACTTCCTTCAGGGCTTCTCGAAATTACTGGTCGTGTGGGAGCGATGATCAAGATTAGGGGTTATAGCGTACAGCCTCCGGCTGTTGAGAATGCAATAATAAAGCACCTCGCAGTCCGCAACTGTGCCGTGGTCGCTCATGGGGACGGCCTCGATCGCCAACTTCTCGCTTATATTGTCCCAGACGAAGATGAGCCCGGCGATCGAACAGTTGTAAAAATCGACGAGGCCGGATTCAGTCCGGTTGCGCGGCGAGCTCTATCGGACCACCTCGCACATTACATGATTCCGGCTCTTTGGGTTGAACTGGATAGCTTGCCTACTCACGAAGTGTCTGGAAAAGTCGATCTAAAACGCCTTCCCTTGCCAACCAGGTCGCGAAGTCCTGCGTCGTCGCTGGCACCCCAGCATCGCAACCAGAAAATTACTATCGAGGACATTGCGAAGATGTGGGCTGCATCTCTTAATATCCCTTATAAATCCATAATGCAACAGGAGCATGACTTTTTCGATCTGGGTGGTCATTCATTAGCGCTCGTCGACCTTGTTACAAGATTTACTGGCACCTATGGCTTCCCCGTGGCTCTGAGCCGCCTTGCTGGTAACCCGACACTGAAGGGACACCTAGAAGTTGTCTGCGATGCGCGTGATGGGCATACTGCATCCGTGCAGGCTGATCTTCCTGCCGTTCTGCGCGCGGACTCCGTCCTCCCACCTGAGATCAAGCCTTCAGGAGCTAAGATGCAGCGAATTAGTGACGCAGATACGATCTTGCTTACCGGTACAACAGGATTCTTGGGGGCATTCCTGCTTAGCACTATTTTAGAAACTACTTCCGCACAGGTGGTATGTCTTGTTCGTTTTGCGGATCTTTCAAAAGATAACTACTCTGCCGGAGTAGCGCGAATTCGTAAGAACCTCCTTGATTTGGGTCTCTGGAACGACTCAATCCTGGACCGCATAGAGATTATCCCGTCCAACTTGGCTCGGAAGCGCTTCGGCCTTTCACCCGAAGGTTTTGAAGATTTGGCTTCTCGTGTGCAGGTTATCATTCACTCGGCTGCTACGGTCAACCTTGTGTATCCTTATGCTGCTATGCAAGGAGCTAATGTTTTTGGTACAAGAGAAATTCTACGACTCGCGTGCCGAGGAGGTGCGACTGTTCACCACATCTCTACTAATGGCGTGTTGCCGCCATCCGTTGAAGGCTGGTCCGAAGACGCTATGTTGGATGTGGACGAGGTGCCTGAGAAATTAATCGACGGATATGGCCAGACGAAGTGGGTGGCAGAGCAGCTCGTCCTCGAGGCTGCGAAACGGGGTTTACCAGCGAGGATATACCGCCCGGGAACTATCAGTGGCCATAGTGTCTCTGGGTCATCGAATACATACGATCTCCTTAACGCCCTAATCGTAGAGTCGCTTCAGCTAGGACACGCCCCGGACATCGAAGGCTGGTATGCTGAAATGACTCCCGTCGATTTCGTCAGTAAGGCGATTACGTCCCTGGCCGATCTCGTGGACACGGACCAGCGCATATTCCACCTGGGTGACCCATCTCCAGTACCAACCAAGGAGGTCTTTGGAATCCTTGGCGAACTTGGATACCCCACAGAACCGCTTGGGTGGGACGAATGGGTTGGCATGTGGGAGGAGAAGAGGGGATCTAGCAAGGGAGACAACATTTTTACAGTTGACATTCTCCGTCGTGGCATGCCCACCGTTGATTTCTTGAAATGGGTCACCGTCCTCAAAGATCCGGCAACGGAGCCTGCTCTCGCTAAGACTGGCCTCCAACGTCCTAAGATTGATAACAAATTATTCGAGACGTATACTCGGCACTTCTGCGCTCGGGGTTGGCTTCCACGTGCTCCACGACGGACCCAAACCAGTGGAGTCGCGAAACTCTCGAAGCGAGGCCCGCTAGCTGGGCGTGTCGCAGTCGTTACGGGAGCATCGTCAGGCATTGGTGCCGCCGTTGCTACTGCTTTAGCCAGAGAAGGCGCTCATGTGGCCATCGCCGCTCGACGTACCGAGGCTCTCGAGAATCTCAAGAACAAGCTCTCTAACTCTGGAAGCAAAGTGTTGGTACAGAAGACAGACGTCACAGACCGAAAACAAGTCGAGTCGCTCATACAGAACGCAACAGAAAAGCTTGGCCCCGTCGATATTCTCGTCTCCTGCGCCGGCGTCATGTACTACACGATGATGGCGAACGTGCACACGGATGAATGGGAGCGCACCGTCGACGTCAACTGCAAGGGCCTTCTGCACTGCCTCTCGTCTACGGTCCCGTCGATGTTGTCTCGCGGCGGGGGCCACATCGTCGCCATCTCATCGGACGCCGGGCGCAAGGTGTTCCCAGGGCTAGGCGTGTACTCGGCGAGCAAATTCTTTGTGGAGGCTACACTGCAGAGCTTACGACTCGAGACCGCTGGGTCTGGCCTGCGCGTCACCTCCGTGCAGCCCGGTAACACGGCCACCGACCTTCTTAGTATGTCTACTGATACCGAGGCTATTAAGAAGTACGGCGAACCGACCGGCGCCAAGGTCCTCCACCCCGAGGAGGTTGCTAGCGCTATTATTTACGCCCTGCGTCAACCCGCGCACGTTGCTGTCAACGAGGTCCTGATCGAGCCCAGGGATGAGCCTATCTAAGAACACGGGTATTAGCGACCGCGTGTAGTATGACCGAGGAAAGAAGTGATGCTAAACTAGGAATAGATTAGGGGGAAAACTTATACCACGATCTGGACTGTCAAGAGCTTCTTTGGGGATTTCTTGTTACTTCCTATCTCTTGTGGAACCTAACTGGTGGCTTTGGTGTAATATCTTTTTTTTTTTTGCATATTAGCGGCTTCATGACGGTCATGATGATTAGGTTGCTAACTAGGTGTATGATGTACAAGGGGCTCGAGAGGGTAAAAGGGCGGTTAAAGAAAAGGCTTGGTGAGAAGTTGAAGAGCGTTATGACAATAGTAATGAGATAGATGGATTGTTGTATGATGTATACGAAGATAGGAAGATGATAACCTCATAATGAAACGAAATTTACCTAAAGACTGACTGTCGAGATCTCATACTTGCTAGAAAGATAACCTAGGTACCAAGGAAATAAAATAGGCACTTGCTCTTAACTCGGGTAAAACAGTAGGTAACTGGCAGAACACATTCACAAATGATACTGGAACAGGCTCACAAGCCCGATAAGAATTGTTTCCCACATCCACAACTTTCTATTGGTGTTCTTGTTGCTAACTTCTTTCAAAAGGCGCGGATCGAAAACCCCAAATCAACCCCTGACACGAAATGTCAGATTCCTGCGGTGAAAAATAATATAGTAGTACACCTGATCAACATGTCTAGACTTGCTAGAAGATCTTCGGCCGTTATATCCGTCATTAGCCGTAACAATCCCGGAAAGTCCTGGTAACCCCATCTATGACCTAAAATTTACAAGATACCCTTTATTCCAAGAGTCCGGAGCTCTTAGTTAGCTCCTAGCTTTGCTAAGAGACCTTGTAAAAGGGCACCCACACCGCCCTGTTGGCCGGCGGCACCACCGGCAGCATTGCCGCCTGCTACACCACTAAGAAGATCTGCGAGAGGGTTCGCGCCAGCAGCGTTACCACCGGCGGCGCCACCTGCTGCACTGAGAAGATCCGCGAGGGGATTTGCGCCGTCAGCACCGCCGCCTAGAAGCTTTCCGATCAAGTCGGTGAGCTTGTTACTGTCTTGAGCACCTGCACCAGCGTCTGCACCAGCACCGGCATCCGCGTTAGTACCGTTCTGTGCACCTTTACTGGCTGCAGCAGCCTGGCCAGCTTTTCCGTCTTTACCCTTGCCCTTCTTGCCTCCTTGGTTGGCATTGCCAGTTCCGTTGTTGGCGGCGCCAGCCTCAATGGCGGCGGCGGTTCCATTATTGGCAGCACCCTTGTGGTTATGCTTCTTGGGGAATCTGACATCGAGAGCTGCATATACAATTAGTGTTGTTGTTGCCGAGATGACTGGAACGGTACATACCGAATTCCCGAGGGGCGCGGACTTGGAGAGCTCCCTGGGGTTGCTGAGTTGGTAAGGCAGCAGCGAAAGAGGCGGCTGTGGCCAAGGCCATCAAAATAGCACCGAAGTTCTTCATGTTGAAAAGAGTGTATATCCAGACACTTAACAGAAAAGAAGGTTGAAATAAAGTTGTCAAGTGACGAAATAATACAGCGTAAAGAAGGTATGAGCACAGCTTCATACAGTTAGCTTAGACTTGACCATGTTGGATATTCAACTTAACTCACCTCTTAAGAACAAGAAACGACCTAGAAAGGAAAGGTTGACAGTTGAAGCTGATGTGGATGTGTGAAGAAACAAAAATAAGATCAGACTGAACTGCACGGGGAGGCGAGCATTTTATGGACAATTGGAGTGTGTCGAACCTTGGATAAGCTCAACTATCCTATCCCTGATTAACGTGGCATCGCAAGGTCTGTGATAGACGGTTACATTCTAGCTAACTGGCAGCTAGCCCCATGGTCACAAATGATGCTTGTAAACATGACATAGCTTAATAGCTATCTCCATGTACGTTAAGGAGTTACCGTATAATATCAATATCAAAAAGCTCTTAAGAAACACAGGGAACAAGGCATGTAAACGAAGCTCCGATTGGGTTGACGAGATTGTAGACCCACCGAGGCCAAACACATCAAGAAGACATTCCGTCCCACTCAAAACATGGGGCGAAGTAGAATAAGATGACCTGTTGAGTCCCTATTGTAGATCATACAAGCGGCGTTGAAAATGCAGATCTGGGCCTCCAGATTTGGAGTGGCACCGGGAAGATCAATTAGGAGATCCTTGGGAATCATTAGAGTTGAAACTTGAGATGCCAAGAATGCGCGGGGATATCTTGGCCGCTTTGAGGTTATCGACTTTTCTCGGCATCAGGAGCGCCCAAACGTCGCACGGGGCAGATCAAACGAGCCTCAGACAGGGACACACCAGGGCAGCACAGGGGTATTGACTAGGGCTGCCAGGAAGCGCACATAGATTACCTTTGATATGCTGATAGTAAGTCGGTGTACTTTGTAAATGTCAAATGTCAAATGTCCCAAGCGTCATGCAGGGTTGACAGCTCACCATCTAGGTTAAGGAAATAAGACTTCCGGTTGCAGCCAGGAGTCTTTCGAAAGCATTACTAGTCCAGAAACGATCCAGAACGGTAATTAGGTCGTGATTTAGATTTTAGAACCTAGAAAGAAGAGTGGCAGTGTCTTTTCAACTTCCAAGTACGGACATATGCGAAACGTATCAGAAGCTTGAATAGCTTCGGTGTAGGCGCTTACAACCTTTCTTGTTAATGATGCTTTTGAGAATAACAAGTTAACCTCGTTGCCTCGTGAAAGTGTTTGGTGTTGATACATATCGACACGGTCTAATATCGTGGTCTAATATTACTGCCGACCACTAGGACCATGTGCTATCCGGCAGTCCGTATGTACATACGGGTGTAAACGTAGATCTTCATTTAGCCCTTCAGCCCTTCTCATGCGAGAATAGCTTCGCAGGAAGATCAAGCCAAGGCAAATCATGATGTGAAAATAGTCGGCTTGACATGCTGAGAACGATCATGAGGATCTATCGTGAGGATGTATTAATGCCTTGTCTTATGTTGACTGGCGAATGGCAACTATACGCGCTTGCGTTCTCGAATATCTGCAACACCACCGGAATTTGTTTATTACGAACAGGATGCGAAATAAAAATACGATGATTCCTCGAGTTTACAACCGACAAGATGATATTTGACCTCGGGAGTTGTGGACGAGTGGAAATATGTACGAGTTAAGTTATTCCGGTCAATAGAAGGTGCCTTGGTAAAGGAAAGTACATGTACTTCGTACCTCTAGCTGTAAGCCTCACCCCGCATGGCTTTCAAGTCACTCCCGCCACAAAATAGTGTACCTAGGTACCTAGTTGAAAGCTTCCTAATCACGAGCAGATGATAGGCTTACATGACTCTCCGAACGCGGCCTAGAGCGGCTTACAGCGGGCTTCATCAAAAGTTTTGCGCATCTTTAATCGTGTTGTCCAATGAATGACCAGCGCAAACCTCGGTAGCTCAGTCAACCTCCGCAAAGCTGTACAGTTTTAATGGGAATTTTATACATGTGGCTTTGATGTCATCATAGCCATTAACATAGGTCAGAACATTTAGAGACGGCTTGAACCTTCAAGTCTACTTACCATTAATAAGTCCGTAGTATTAACACCCATACCCCAATGGCGTCCCGAACTCGGTAGCAAGTAAAAATCTTTACCTGACGACGAGAAGGCCCGTTTGTCTTCTAAACGAAACCGACAGACAGGGACGGAGGGATGTTGCAGCAAAGAAGTTTTACCATGTCTGCTTCGTTGCCACTCCATGTTCTTACACGGCGGGGCGCCGCGTCAATTCGATCGAAGATTCCCAGAAGAGTGCCTAGGGCTTCATATTCCTCCATAATTACACCTCAATTACGATATACTGCTGCGACATATTCTCCCATTGTTCGATCGACCCCTCGCGCATTTAGCACTACTCGTCCGAGATACCTCGCAAGCGCCGAGGATGACTTCGACCCTAAAACCATCGAGCGGGAAAGTGACGAGGTTGATGTCTGTATTGTTGGTGGAGGTCCTGCTGGTTTGAGTGCTGCGATACGTCTAAAGCAACTTGCCAATGAGAACGGCAATGAAGACTTCAGAGTATTATTACTAGAAAAGGCTGGTGAAATTGGTGCGCATATCTTGTCCGGAGCTGTTATAAACCCGGTTGCGGTCAAGGAACTATTTCCCGACTGGCTCGATGAGGCGAATGAAAATCGATTTGAGCATGCGACGCCCGCGGCAGGAGATAAGATGAGATTCTTGACTAAGACCAGCGCAATCCCTTTACCGGCCCCGCCGCAGATGCACAACCACGGCAATTACATCGTCAGTTTAAACCAATTTACAAAATGGCTCGGAGACAGGGCAGAGGAAATGGGAGTCGAGGTTTACCCCGGGTTCGCTGCATCCGAGGTACTTTACAAGCCCGATGGGTCGGTTCTTGGTGTTGCGACAAACGACCTGGGCATAGGGCGCGATGGGAAACCAAAGGATAACTTCGAAAGAGGCATGGAGTTCCATGCCCGGGTTACTCTGTTTGCAGAGGGATGCCACGGAAGTTTAACTAAGCAAGTTATCAAAAAGTTCGATCTGAGAAGGGATAGCCAACATCAAACTTATGGTCTAGGAGTAAAGGAGGTCTGGGAGATACAACCAGAGAAGTTCCACAAAGGCGAGATTACCCATTCTATGGGTTATCCCCTATCCTTGGATACGTACGGCGGCGGGTGGATGTATCACTTTGGGGATAACTTGGTCAGCATTGGACTTGTTGTCGCCTTAGATTACAAGAATCCCTGGTTATCACCGTATGGTGAATTCCAAAAGATGAAGCAGCACCCTCTATATAAGTCTGTTTTAGAGGGTGGAAAATGCATCTCCTACGGTGCGAGAGCCCTTAGTGAGGGTGGATATCAATCAATTCCCAAGGTCGCATTTCCCGGAGGTGCCTTAATTGGCGACTCTGCTGGCTTCGTCAATGTACCTCAAGTCAAAGGCACCCATAACGCTATGAGAACTGGTATGTTAGCTGCAGATGCAGCTTGGGATGCATTGGCAGAAGGAAGTGAGGAATCCGTTTTCTTGTACCACTACGAAGATTCTCTCCGGAAATCTAGTGTCTGGAAGGAGTTGAAGGAAGTTCGAAACATGCGACCCTCGTTTCAAACCCCCTTGGGTACCGTCGGTGGTGTTCTATACTCTGGAATAGAGGCTTTCGTTCTTAAGGGTCGCGTTCCTTGGACACTGAAGCATAGACATACCGATTACGGCGCCACTAAGGATGCGGATTCGTATCCGAAGATCGAATATCCTAAGCCGGATGGAAAGATTTCATTTGACATTCTGACGAGTGTCTCGCGGACAGGGACGAATCACGAGGAAGATCAACCTGTCCATCTCCAAGTTAAGGACTGGGATGCTCATACCCGGGAGACGTGGCCTACTTATAAAGGCTTGGAGAATCGCTTCTGTCCTGCTGGTGTCTACGAATATGTCGAAGACGACTCGAAGCCACTGGGTGTGAGGTTCCAGATTAACGCCCAGAAGTAAGTACCTAGAGCTACCCTTGTTCCTTGCCCATACTTTGCTAAGACGGTTCTTGTACTAATGTTTGCCGCAGCTGTATTCACTGCAAGACATGCGATATCAAGGCGCCTCACCAGGACATTAACTGGGCCGTACCCCAAGGTGGCGAAGGACCGAAGTACTACATGACATGAGAAAAAAGGAAACAGCATAAAACCTCGATGATTTAAGAAAAAAAGTGTTAAAAGTTACTCAGTGTCTCGATAAGGTCCAACCTACCTCCTATGTAGACTTCGGATAACCGAGGCGTATGATTCACGGACTATGATGATATAGGAACTCAACTTCTGGTGTATCAACATGACCTTGCCAGTGGTGGACTGGTAAATGTAGATCGTATCGGACGTAAATCTCACTATATCAAGGCCTACTTGGATATATTGAATTGTATATATAACTGGCGAAGTGGGTGGGGAGACTAGCTTCAACATGTATGTCGCTGTTAAGCTTGCTTATCAATCGAGTAAAAAGTCAACTTATGCGATTTTATCTGTTCCTAGGATTGAATGACTATTGACCAATAAAATGATGTACAATACTTTGTCATTTTTGTATTATTGTCAATGAACCAATCCCCCTTTTCCCCTCAGAATCCCTGTTGCGCATGCCACTTCTCCTGCCACCCAGGAAACCAGGGGCTATCATCAAGGGTCTTGGGTTCCCAGTCCTTCTCGATAATACCCTTCTCGATCTGCTCTTTCTCGAATTCTTCCAGCGCCGGGATCACCACGTGCTCGGTGTGCCAGGTATTCTTGTACTTCATGAGATTCTCCTTGCCCTCCTTCAAGACCTTTAATATGAGGCTCGGCACGTACGGTTCGTCTCGCAGTTCTTCTAGAGGCGTGAACAGCGCCTTGAAGTTGAACACGACTCCGGCGGATAGCGGGAGCCGGCGTAATGTCTGCCAGTCTACGCGCAGGTGGATACGGGACCGTGGTACGTTCGGGTCTTGGGTGCTCCGGTAGCCCTCGTGCGGATCTCCCGGAGGCATGTAGAGCGGCTGGTCTACCTCGAGACCCCAGGATCCGCGCTGGATGGGCTTGCTGGCGGGCATCTTGGAGAAGTAACTGAGACGGAGTTAGCAGTGTAATCAAAACTAGAAAATACATAGATATGCTACTAACCGATCCATACTAAACTGCATCTTCTCCTTGTAATCTGGGATGGGCTGGTGTATATCATGGAGCTTAAGCCCCATCTTGGTTCCCAAATTCCACCCTAAGGACGAACATGTCATTCCAGCGCGTAGGTGGTAATACCCAGTCTCCGGATCCCGCAGCATGATGTTAAAGTCTTCCGGAACATTATCTAATAGGATAAGTAAGGGATGCTTCTCCTTAATGATAGACACCGTGCCTAGGATCTTGTTCTCCAATTGTGACTTGTCCGGCGATAACACGAAGTACTGCGGATACCGCGCGCATATGAATTGCAATACCATCTCCATTAGCTCCTTGCATGCAAGCTCCGAGCCGGGGAGCCAGTTTAGCACGCCCTTGCCGTGTGTTGCGTAGAGTTCTTTGCGCTGTGCAATCCGGGTCTTGTATGTTGATTCCAGCTCGATCCACCAGTCGGTCTCGAGTTTAGTCAAGGCTATCATCAATTATTAGCCCCTATTTCCTAAGCTTAATAATGCTAGTTACAAGTAGGTACTCACACATGGTTTGATGATATGCCCATCTGAAGGGCCGATATGGCCGCGGTTTAGCGCGGTCGATATCAAATTCTAAGTATGGTTGGGGCATAGGGACCTCCGAGATAACTGAATAGTCGGGAAAGTCTCCTAGTGCCTTGAGTTCACGCACGGAGAAGCCGCTGAAGCAATACTTCGAGTCATCAGCAGTCCGGTAGTCCTCTTCAAAGCCCAGTAGCGAGTGCGCGAATGTGTCCATATCAAACGAAAGATTGCCTAGCGCTTCCTTTTGATCAGGGGACATATTTTCCGCTATGATACTAAGTTGGCCCCTTTGAGAAGGGGGCAAGGTCGAATAAAGATCTATAGTTGATGATGATAGCGGTTTGGGGACTGGCTGCTTCTCGAGTAACGGCGTGCTCGGGCGGGATGCATTGCGCCTTGCGAGACCTAATCTCCTGAGAACGACATCCTTCTGGGATTTGTTTAAAGTAAGAAAGGTAAGCAGGGATAGGATAACTCCAGACGCCAGCCAAAGGGCAACATATGGTGCCATCTTGAATAATGGTCAAGTATAAGATTGAGGGCCACAGGTTCTAAATGGGATCAATTCAGTTAAGAGGTCCCAATATATCTTCAGAATTCCATTATTCCATCTACCACTTCTCGCGGGGCCCCCCTTTATTAATATAATCATCCATCATCAAGACGAGGTAAGAGGTAGTAAGGCAAACACATGAAAGGTAGGTATCTTTAGCATATAGACCGACAGCGGAGTCCCTATCTCGGACGTGATGATAAGCATGCCGGATCATATGAGCATACATCGTAGCTGGACGAGATTGGAGCTCGTAGCGCTAGCGCCCGGATGATAACACTTATGATGTGAGTGGCTGCTGATAATACTAGCGTATAGAATACCGATCTTCATGCATATAAAATAGCTGGGTATTGCTTGTCTGCCGTGTCAAGCCTGTGTACCACATTTTTGATAAACGCGGGCCACCCCGCATACTACTTCTTTTAGATACTACTGAATATTCCGGGCTATCATAGGTCTGTCTCTTTTTGTGTGGGTAGATCTGCGTGTAACGTACAATATCGCATCAGATGCAATTATTCACAACCTCATGATATCTGACTAATAATGATCAAAAAGCAAATAACGGTTATAAGGATCGAGAGAAGTTAAAGTTCGCCAATATGAAGCATATAAGGTGTATACAATCCAAGATAGTTCACGATCCGTTACGGAAGAGAACTTGGTGACGTATCCCGTATTACGTAGGTAGGTAAGAATCTCACTCACTCTGCGTACAAGGCTTTAAAATGGTATCACAGCGAGTTTAATAGTAGGATTAGCTTGAATGCCACTTACTCTGTGGCGTGTTGTAATGTCTGCTAGAAGAACCTAGCTAGGCTTAATCGGAAGCTATTCGCGATCTATTAAGTATTCTGTTTCAAAGTCCTAAATATGATCACAATAATTTCAACGAATGGTAGAATATTAACTTCGCATATCATAACTAGATGATGGCTCGATGTTTTTCATTTTTCAATAATGCTCTCATAGAATCCTATGAAATGCATTACTTGACCCTAATATTGAGATGTAGTGCCCATAAAAACGACAGGACTTAATTACTAGTAGTTATATAGAACTACTTCTACTGAAGCCCAATTCCTTAAGGAGTCATCCGCTAAGAATAATGCTAACACATGGATCAGTATAGCTAATATCAACTTATACATAAGTATTAACTATAAGCTTCATAGTCTAGAGATCTTAATAATGTTATACCTAAGTCTTTAACCCTTAGGAAGAAGTATAATATTCATAGAACTTGACCCCTCTTGTTGTTATCGATCTCTTTACTATTTTTGCACATTAAACTTGCATGTGGATAAAACATACGACTTTATCTCTACGCGCCGGAGAACATTCGGAATTTACTTGGGATGGTTATCAATGTGAATCCCCGAGAAGTCACCGTTATTGGTTGACTACATGCAAGAAGGCGAACGCCTGCCAAGACCCTAGTATGCGGTTCCTGTCATTGGACATGGCGTTATCGCAGTATGAGCGTATCAAGCATTGAGACTTAACCTATTGAACACATGCTGATTATATACCTACCTAGGCTTATAATCAAAGCGGTTTTGACTGTATAGTTAGATCGTGATTTAACTCAGGAATAAACTAAGATACTGGGTTAGGTTCAAGGTTTAATTTAACATTGTGTAGCCTATAATATACCACGATTGACTCGAGAATGGTAGGGTAAGGTGATCTTTTAGCAAATGTACCTTCTAACTATAAATTTAATTTATACCCTTATAGCTAGTGATATGTGATTATTTAGGGTTGATATCGCGATGGAAAAAATTCTTATCTTGCCTTCAATAGATTAAGCTGTTCCTATGGTCTTCTCAACGATATGATTTAAGTCCAGATAAGTTGCAGGATCTTGTCTGACCTCTGCGTCTAGCATTATAGTTCCTGTTAAGGATTCATTCTCCCAGGTCTGGCACGTCTTTTCTGGATTCATAGCCCTCCAGTAACTTTCCTCGTAGAGCGGTGGCAATAACCCTTGGGTAGGCTCATCTTCATTCTCTGCAATGACAGAGGGTAACCTGGCGCCACCTACGAGCGTCTTCCAGGCAACTTCCTCGACTACTTTAGTGATGTGTTCTCCTGAAGAAGAGACAACCCCTTTCCCATCACCCATACGCATAAGCCACCCGCCAGAGTTTAGCACAACGATAGGAAAAGCTCGGCTGGTACGGGAGCGAAGTTCCGCGAGTATAAACGCGTCACGCAAAGTACTACCCCGAGTATATCTCGTACCGCCAAGGGCGAATAGGCTGGCAGACGGTGGGCAGGCTTCGGGGCGGTCGGCAAGTTTCTGTAGAATGGAGGTCATCGACATCCATGACGTGGCTGATCCCAACCCACACGTTATAATCATGCGTGAGGCATATTTGCAGTGAATAAATAGTGTTTGCAAGTTTGGTAGTTTAATGGGCGTCGGCGAGTTATCTGAGTTTGTCGAAAGACTGCTCAGCACGTCAGGGCATATGACGGGGAGTTTGAGATGAACATGATGCATACGAGGCAGTAAGCAGCGCAGTTTGTCGCAAATATGCACGAAATTGGCACGTCTTGTCCTTGGAAAATGTCGGTGGTATGCCATAAGATCAAGTTCCAAGTTGACACAGCTGTGAGGGAGTGCATCGATCAAGCTGAAAAGAGCTTGCCAGATGCGGTAGACATCAAATCGCACCGGCGGAGGAGTGCAGAACGAGAAAGTCGATAGATTGTCTAGTTTTGTTAAAACATCTGTGAACAATATCAGGTCTTCATCTATGCGGTAGACTCCATCCCTAGGTAGTCTGGTAGCCCGCACTGTCAACGAGCGGACTCGGACGGCTTCACGTAGATTGAAGGTTTCCCTAAAACGGGTTATACTTCTGCAATCTAAAACCACATGCCGGTATAACTTCGAAATTCCTACGTCGTGCCATCGTTTGCAGACTCTTAGGCAGCAGAGCAGATCTGAGACACCAGCGGATGATTTTACTGTGACTAGTATCATCGCCAGTAGCTCCAACGGGAGCGACTCCATAGAAGATACCATAGTAAAGGATGCTTAGGCGATAATATATCTCGTGTGTGACTATGAATGTGAATTTGAATGCGTAAATGTGTAGTTGAGAACCTGATATCTGGGGCGGTGGGGGGTTTGATGTCGCATTGTGAATAAGCGGAAAAGGGCTGATCCTACCAACATGACGAGCCCGGTGCGCCAAGTCAAGAATCATTAGGTTGACATCATCATCATCCTCGGCATTATCAATCCTACATCCATCACCACAGAACATAAAGCGTGAGAGCTTCAAGACCGTCGCAACTAAAAGGAAAGATGGGTTCACGTAGTATAGCATCATCTAATGAATTAAAAAGACAGCACATAAAAGTATTAATCCTTGAACTATTCATCTGTTCCAGTTTTGTACTCCCTCGTTTACTTTGCTATAAATCGTCTTCATCGTCGTTAGGTAACGGTAACAGTACAGATTCGCTTGGGCTTAACGGCGGAGAGATATCACTTAGTAAAACAGTAGCACCGCTCGACGATATTCCTCGTAGCCAAATTCTACACTTATCTCGCAAAACTTTCACTTGTAGCATACTCTTCAGGGTTATCGGCTACATCGCACATAGCTTTTCTATTAAGCAGAGGAAATTCGCCCTGAAACACTGCATCTGCGAGACCTTGGAGACCTCCAGTTAGGCCTGGAAGGAATGCGCTAAATCTACCGGCGATTTTCAGACTCGTGATGGTAGGAGGAAATATCCTAGGTAGCTGATATTATTCGGTCCTTCAGTTGCTGTATATCATGCTCGGGTTTATAAGTAAATTTTCAAGGGCGGCTAATCTCCTAATACAGGCATGTAGAGGCCTAGATAGATCACGAGTAGTGTAACTCTAATTCCGAAGATGAAGATGTACCTAGAGACTTGAGGGTCCTGTGATTGTCTTATAGATACTCGATAATATCATGTGGCTCAAAGTGGTTAAAGTTGTCCACTGAATCACATTTAGTTAGTATTACTCTACATTCAAACCATTTAAACCTAAAGAGTTGAATTTTTCTTAAGTATTTAACCCTTCAAGTTGAAAACTACCACATGTATCATTGTCGATACTGAACTTGTAGCCTCCATTGGTGTAGGGTTGGAATACTTTTATTACTATATTATAATCACGATTTAATATGTCTTAGTTCTTACCTAGGTGCATAAAAGAATCCCAAACATAACTTACATCTAAGGTTAAGCGAGGAGTATTGACTTCGAAAGTAGCATGTCCTAATATGGGTAAAAGAAAGGAATATTAGAGACTTATAGTTACATCTAGGAAGCGTGCTGTTGGGTTTATTATACGTGAAGCTTGATTTCTTTTGCATACCAGATAGCCTAGCCTATTCCATTAGTATCATTATCTACTTAGATAGCTACACGCCTACCGGACGTAAATAAATTCATCATCATTATAAACAGGCTACACAATTAGGAGCGCTCTGTGAGGACTCAAGCGAGTAGTAATAATATAACTTTGTTGAAGCATGAAGGTCTATTAATCTATAATATCGGAATACTGATATAACTAGGAGCTCTTTTCTTAGGTGTTTTAGTGATTTTGGGTATTTAGCATGCTCTACCTTAAGGCATCGTTTATACTCCTGGATGGGAACTCTCAGACATGCTAGCCTTTCACTTGCTACCTATTCTATATAGACTCACACATATAAGACATATGAGAGCAGAATAAGGGGTTATACGTCTACTTAACCCCGCATCCGCATGCCCCTCTTCGTGAAACTTTGGCAATATATATCTATTAATCTATAGCTCCGGGAATGATGAAAGTATGTTAAGCTATTTTTAAATGATGACGTTAAAACTTATTAAATAATATATAATAATACTCGGGTAGATGTCATAATGACTTTGCTGAGCGTGATGACGCCACTTGGTCAGATCTCGAGAATGCGCCCTATTGTCATTAGTCGTCACCACGCCTTGGCTTTCAAGACCCATTTGGAATCACGTAGCGATATACAGTAAGCCGCATCAAAGGCGCAAACATCTAGTCCAAAATAAGCCTCAACTTCGGCAATTACCAAATATCTAGGTAATCTATAGATGCTTCATTATATATTTCCGACTGTTTGAAACACGCCCTCTCTTCGCATCTATTGCGGTCAGACCCGAAGCCGGAAGCCCGTTTAGAGGATTCGCGATATATGGGGTATATCAAACGCCAGGCGCAATCAGTAATTCGATCTCTTGGTTTTAGGACTGATTTGTCAATGCTGGCGCCTTACTACATGCTGACTTCTAAGTTGTTGTAACTGACCAGGGACTAAATGCCCGCAGGATTGTAACACGAAATAGAAAAAGAAAGAGCAGGCGTATCATTTGCTAAACAAAGAAAATTTATATAAATCGAGTCGAATACCTTGATGGCACTTGTTGCATCCTAACTAAGGTACATACCTCCTAACTATTCCTCGGATAAAGGCCGCTTACTACAACATTATCGAAGAGTTGCGTATATTCTCTATATTCTACTAACGAGATTACCCCTGAACGTATATTATGGCCAAAGAAGGTGGCTGCCTTTGCGGCAAGATCCGCATCTCAACTGAAGGCGAGCCTATAAACAAGGTTAGATCCTGAACTGTCTTGCTTAATTCGCTGCCAACATTCATTGTCTCTAACACATACCCAGATGCTCTGCCACTGCCTCGACTGCCACAAAATCTCAGGCTCAGCTTTCAGCACCAATGTCATCGTGCCCGCCGCCGGCTTCAAGGTTCTGTCAGGGACGCCCAAGACTTACTTCACGCCAGCCGACTCAGGCAACGGGATAACGTCGCACTTCTGCGGCGACTGCGGATCAACTCTGTGGCGCATCGGGAAAATCTCCGACTTTAACCCAATTCTCAAAGCTGGTGTCATAGACGACCCGGACTTCTTCAACAACGACGCCAAGCCAATCGTAGAATTGTACTCGCATCGGCGGGTGGATTGGATCAAGGAGATTCCTGGCGCAACTCAGACTTGAGAGTTGTGGTTGGGTTGAAGATGTGGACTACGTTATTGATATTACCTAGGTATACTATAGGGGGAGTAAACGCATATTGGGCTCAACTAAACCAATAAATAAATCAGATTAAACACTTGTTTGTGCCTATGTGGAAGGCTTGTCGAACTGGATGGACGTTAGGCCTGTGAACGTGCCCCATGAAATAATGAGTGATAGTCGACGTGTTTAGTTATCTCGAGATATCAACTGAACAGGATCTGATCAACTAAGATATTCGATGCATCGGCCCGACCGTGTGCTCAGGGGGTAGTAGCATTTTCGACCCTCAAGTCTAAGGAAAGCTCTTCGAGAAGTTAACGTTGTAAATACGTCCGGCCTATTAGTTCTATATCATTTATAATATGGCAACGACACATCAGTATCCTGCCTCAACAGGATATCTTTGAAAAGGGATCACTCATCATATGGGTGGGTAACAATATCAACTTTCCCAGGGGTTATCTAGCGTCTCGAGCAATATTCAGTCTTCTGTGGAATTTGATCGTAATAATTGTCCATTGAACAACCTCGCTATCGTGTGGGCACGCGTCATATTTCTGAGACCTTCCCACGTCTGGATCTGTACCTCTGTTATTCGAGAATCAGATACGATTCGGTCCCGAACAGCACGACCGCAGACAAGAGTTATTGGAGATTGAAGTAAGGACTAGACGCCGAGTTTGGCCTATTTTTCTTTCACTTGCTCGTTTCCTTGGATTGGGTTCGGAGAGGACATGTTACTTCAAGCCTGAGATATATCATCAATAATAGGTCTCTATATACAAAGTAACCCTGCTTAATATATATATAGTAGTTCATCACAAGAGCTGTCTTCTTTGATTCGCTAATACCCCTTTTTCGAACTACACTGCTGTTGGTGGATCCTTAAGGGGGGTGATAATTACCAAACGTAAGACCGCAGAACTATTGTTTCATTAAAAAAAAAATCTCCATATTCTTAATTCACGCGAATAAGGTATTATCCTGGGCCCGCGCTAGAGACGTCTCTACGCGTAAGAATCTAATATCCCCCTATTTAACTAAGATCTCAGCTTTATGTGTGCTCTTGAACTAATTCTACTTGTAACGTTGTTTCAAGTTCGGTTGTCGTCAACCGACAGCCGTGGTGCCAACTTGTGGTGGAACGGTAAGTGATTTTGTTGGTAGTGGCATGGCACTGCCACTGCTTTGCCGCTCGTGGATCCGCGTATACCCAGATGATAATATTTATTAACAATCTTGGGGAGTTGGGTCTTAAGTAATTTGGAGGCTTCGGGGTTAGAATTGAAGTTTCATATTGCAGACACATAATTGCTAGATGTAAATGTTAGTCTACACGAAAAGCTAGTAGGGATACGGCAATAATGGATATCGTGTTGTGTTTTGATGATTTAATATTGCGGTGAGTTGTCAGCTAGGGTACTGATCGCTGCGATATATGCCACTTCTGTACTTCGATTCGTCTCATGTTCGGGGATAATTTATTTTGATTGGTGAATGAATTGCGTATTTCGCTTTGGTAATCCTTGGGAATAGTACAGTTCCGTGGATTCTTCGAAGAAACACATGTAAAGTGTCCATCATTTTGTATATTATTCAAGCGATCTTCTTCCGTAACATGGTGGATCTGGAGTAGGTTGTTGATCTACGGATGGTTCCCAGCATTTAAAGATATTTGTAATACGTAAGCCAGGTTAAGTGTGGAATTTTAGCCTGCCAAGTTTGCTAAGCTTTTTCGTAGCGCGTTTACGTTCGATTGATTGGCATAAGTCAACTCCGTAGTGACGGATAACTCGGAATTGCCAAGCCAATTAGATCGGGGTAAACGTCACCTGTGTAACTCCTTTCGTAGATACACGCCCCATCCTTAACCGTTTTTAGCGTTTGCATAGCCACCGTCTGCCACATCAGCTTCCTTCTGATACAGGAAATTGAGGAAATTGAAGCAGTCGATGGCAACTGCGATCCAGTTAGGTTGCAGCATTCTAGTTCCATTATTGGACGGATTAGACTGTTAGAGCCTCCTTCTTCGTGTTCTCATTTAACTGACCAATCATTGGACCCTACCTCTAAAGTATATGCGTACCTTGGTTAATACATTCTTTGCGCCGGTTTAATGATTCACTGATTCCGGCCAAATTTCCTATTCCTGTTCCTAGTCTTACGTCTCTTTTCTCACCTCACACCAACGTAGGTAAAGAGGTTTTGTTCCCCAAAATTTTTGAAACTAAATTCATTGGTTCAGACCGAAGGATCTTGATTTGGTCTGACGATCCACCTGGTTCTTTGGTTCATTTGGCCTGCACATTCGCCGCTTTTCTACTTTCTTCTTATTCTCAATTAAAACCTCCCGCATTCCATTTTCTTGGCCTTTTTTTCTATTATCATCGCGCAATCGTCAACAATACTCATTCGTTTTTATCACCGATACACCTTCGTTTTTTATTTTTCGTTTATCTCGGTGGTGACGTGCAGAGTTCTGACTTCTGACTTCAGAGTTCCAAGTTCTAATTTATTTCCTATTGGTTGGTCGTTCTTGGAATCTTTCGCTTAGGATCGCAGAACACCAAAAGCCACGATGTGGACATCCTCGGCCGTCTCATATCTCGCCTTGGGACTTGGCGCCTTGTCTAGCAGCGCATTAGCTCAGAGCTACAATGACATCGCACCCATCAAGGCTGTAGGCCAGCACTTCTTCTACTCCAACAACGGCACTCAATTGTAAGTTTATTAACCTCGAACTATCTTATCATCCGTTGTCTTGGCAAATCCTAGAACCCCAAAGCTAATTGTCTATGACTACATGTAGCCTGCTCAAGGGCGTTGCTTATCAGGAGGATTACAATCCTAACGGTACTGCTAACAATGCTGCCAATACCCAGTATACTGATCCGTTGGCCGACGCTACGAAGTGTTCGCGCGACATTCCTGTCATGAAGAAGATCTTTACCAACGTGATCCGAGTCTATGCTATCGATCCCACCCAAGATCACGATGATTGCATGGAGCAGCTGGCCTCCAATGGCATTTATGTCATTGCCGATCTTGGTGAGCCTGGTACTTCCATCGACAGTGACAACCCCGAATGGAATGTCGGTCTTTACCAGCGTTACACTGCTGTCGTCGATTCTCTAAGTAAATACAAGAACGTGATCGGCTTCTTTGCTGGCAACGAAGTCATAGAGAAGCAGAATCAGACATCGTCCGCTGCTTTTGTCAAGGCTGCTGTCCGGGACACGAAGGCCTACATCAAGCAGATGAACTACCGTGATACTTTGGGTGTAGGCTACGCAACTGCTGATGTTCCTAGCAGGGATGAGCTGGCTCATTACTTTGCCTGTGAGCCTGAAGATGGCGTTTCTACATCAATTGATTTCTGGGGCTACAACGTTTACTCGTGGTGTGGAGACAGCAACTACGAGATCTCGTCGTATGGTACTCGTGTCGATTTCTTCCAGGACTATCCTGTCCCTGCTTTCTTTGCCGAATACGGCTGTATTGATGGTGTCGCGAAGGGTCACAGGCCTTTTACCGAGGTTGCTGTTCTCTACGGCAACATGACATCCGTCTTCTCGGGAGGTATCGTCTATGAGTATTTCGAAGCGGAGAACCATTATGGTTTGGTCTCTATCGATGGCAACAGCGTTAGCCCATACCCGGAATACACCTCGCTTTCGTCTCAACTGGCCAAGGTCACACCGTCCCTCACACAGTCAAGCGCATACAAGCCGTCTAACACTGCCCCCGCCTGCCCTAGTGTTGGTGGTACGACATGGGCTGCTGCTGCGTCACCTCTTCCCCCTGCAGTTAACCCTCAGCTTTGCGAGTGTGAGGTTGCTAGCCTGCAATGCAACATCGATTCTGATGAAGAGGAATCATACGCCAAGGTATTCGACTACATCTGTGGTGAGAACCAGGACTACTGCAAAGGAATCGCCCACAACGCTACGACTGGAACTTACGGCGCTCTTGGTGGATGTTCTCCCAAGCAGCAACTCGCTTGGGTGGCTAACCAGCTATACATAAACAGCGACAACAAGGCAAGCGCCTGCGACTTCGATGGATTAGCCAAGACGCAAAGCCCCCAGACCTCATCTGGCTGCCAGGCTTTGATTTCGGCAGCTGGTACGAATGGTGAAGGCTCTGTGGTTAGCCCGACGGGACAGCAGGGTACCGCAGCTGCAAGCAGTTCGTCCGAAGGTGCTGCTGTGGGTAACATGATGGCGCCCTCGTTCTTCAACTACGGCAAGGCCTTCTTTGCTGCCTACGTTATCACTGCCCTGGTCTCAGGCGTTGGTATGTTCATGCTGTAAGGTAGTAAGTTGAGGAGTTGGAAGTTCTGGCACATAGGGGGTGAGGGACAGTAATAAGTCTGAACGTGTACTAGGATGGCGTATTTCCGAACTTGCGATTGAGAACATGAGAACATCGTGTCCCATTTTCTATTAAGAGTTGATGCGACTTGTTTTATTACAGAAGTTATTTTCCCCCTTCCTTTTTGTGAGGTTGTAGATATGGTTGTGTTAAGTCTGTATATGTGCCCCCTTTTCTGGTTGCTTTAAGTGATACGGATAGCATAGCTAGGTTAGCTAGGTACCTAATGTTTTGAAAGTCAACATACGCTGGCAATATCTCTTTCAATTCAAATTTGATGCTTCTCCTTTTCTATCAAAATAATCGGCTGCAGGTACATCCATAAGATGTACGCGTAGTATATGCAGCTAGTGTTAGAGGTAACATGGATTCTGCAGCCCACTGTTACGCATCTGTAACTTGAACTCTAGATTCTGCAAGGAGGTACCTATGTAGGTCCTAGGTACTATGTAGGTATCCAACTAAAACCAGACTAGGGATCCCTGTCTAACATTAGGCCACTTGATTTCGCAACCAATTTCTAAATTCCGGTTTACAGTATCATTTCTTCATGGACATCAACATACAATTTCCCAGCGATGCTGTCGAGCGTCGTAGGCTTCAAAATCGAGTAGCGCAACGCAGGTTTCGCCGTAAGTTAAACTAGAAATTATCTGTCTTGTCTTGCCTCTTCGACCTGCCAACGTTTGTGTTTCATAGAAAAGAGAGAGAAAGGACGCCATGTTGCTGTCGATGAAAATGATCACGCCAATTCTGAAGCTTACCCGTGTTTCGGAGCATCTATAACTGGACCCCAGTACCAAATTCAGTCGCAGCCATCGCTACCTCACCCTGTGAATATAGATGTGGTTCCACAAAGTGATTCCACTACTTTACCTGGTCTCCTATCAACTACCAGCCCTTCACTTCAGGCCGAGGGTAGTTCGAACAATGCTATTCATATCGATCCTAACTTCTGGGATCACAATGTCATAGATGGCTTCTTATCGAGCACGGTTACGGGGCTTACACCCGATGCTAACCCTTCACCGCCGTCACAGTTTCTGCGGGAGCTAGACATAACCCCCGACGGAATAATAGGAACCGATATAGTCGATATAGTCGGCAATACGAGAATCTCTCGTCCCCTCCACAATAACGAAAACGAGCTTCAAGAACCCCGCCCACCTAATGATATACGAAGGCCGCTAAGATACCGACGCTCAGCACGTCTTAAAGAGTCCCTAGAGTCGGTACGCGGGGACGACGACGACGGATGGCTCGGTGCTTTGCATATTGCGGCTCAGAGTGGACACGAGAGAATGGTCGACATACTAATAGAACAAGGAGAAGACTTCAACGAGAAAGACAGCGATGGACGTACTCCGCTGATGCACGCCGTGATAGGCGGCCATGAAGGTGTGGCGCAATTACTACTCGCACGCGGCGCCCATATCGCCCCCGTGGACCGAGACGCGAGATCGGTACTACACTGGGCTGCGTTGTATCGACGCGAAAGTATGCTACGTATGTTTCTCGAATCGCGGGGTGACTGTGCGGTAGATCGCCCTGATGTCGATGCATACGACGACTCCGGATGGACGCCCCTGCACATGGCGATCCGTCGGGACTTCGAAGCCGGCGTGCGGATGCTTCTCCAGGCCGGCGCGCGTTTAGACTCGAAAGCGCAGAAATGCCCTTTGGCAAGGAAACTGGACGCTTTCGGTTTATCCTAACAAATATTTACTTATATTACTTACATCACGCGACTATTTACTGGTTTTAAATCCGAAAGATCACACGGCGTTCTAGACTATCTACTAATGTTTGAAAGTATATTTTGCTACTTTCACGGAACGAGATTGAGTATCCCTTCATATAGTACGAATAAGGAAATAATATGACCTTCCCGGCTTCTGTGGACATAGATTAAACCTGATATAACAAAGCTGGACATAATATCGATGCGCAACTGCGGCTCTCTTTAAAATATATAAATACATAAAATGCTGGCCCTTATCAACCATTGAGCGTATTGTCTCTTACCCGCTTTCGCGATGGATCAATATACTCCCTACCGAGCAATTCAAGATTCATCCTCTGACGTACTAGAGTGGAAATATTTCTTTTACTAAATAGTGTTCGATCTTAACTCTAGGTCTAGCACCTCTTATTGCTCATATCGTGGCCGAATTTCCTCGACCGTCCTACCTCTACGAACGCCCTCTAAAGTGGAATTAGGGTATTGCTCTTTACAACCCCACGTCCATCTTATGGCGCTATGCCGCAATTACAGGTCGACGAATTCGAGCCAAGGCTTGGAATAGGAAGGATATTACCGGGACCAATATGCTCTTTTGGACATCGCGTGGATGGGACGGCTCGGGGGAGATGATTGCTCTAAGCTCTCCGTACTGCATACATTTGCCTCCGCACTCCCGAATTGCTTTATTTTCCGGCGAGTTCACCAAGACTATCATTGCGACGTTACAGGGCGCACAAATCGTTGCCTCTCTCAGTCTATCCGTAGGCGGCACTTCGGGCGGCTACGTCGTTTATATGGGCGTCGACTTGATCTTCTTTCCCCTAGCTTTCATAGGCCTTGTTCGCCTCTTTTGCGCATTTTGGCTTACTGACAAGTTCGCATATATACCTCTCGTGCCTTACGTCAACTTGGTACGCATTACATACCGGCATTCTCATGTGTATGGCAACAATAATCTTCGTCGTATCCTGTATCGAGACAAGAGGGACGGCATGTGGGCGGTGGACTAGCGGTCCGGTTGATACCGGAGATTTCTGGGCATGCGCAGACAGGAGAAGGCCTAATGCTCTTAAGTTGGACTCTGATCAACGCCCTGAATTCGGCATAGCATCGAGCATACTAAGATATGGCCTTGGGAATAAAGCCCTTGGAGAAGGCGAGTTTTGGGTAAGCAACTTTACGGGCACTTGTTTCGGTACACTTGGCTCGCCATTGACCAAACATGCATCGACACTGGAGGTGGTAGATATCGAGGAGCTTGCGAAGGTCATACCGGTTGACCACACTCTACAATACGACCATTGATGCCATAGAAAGATCCTATCAGTCAACTACTGCCGTTTTTCTTAGCTTAGTTTAAGCTTAATTAAATGGCAACCCCTTTTCTTGCGCAATACCCCAGGCTGTCGATATCAATCGTATCCGCTACTTCAATAGACCGCTCCGTTTTACCCTAGTTATTTCTATAGACCGGAACCAAGTCAACTGCCAAGCATCGCTTTCGTGCCCCGATACGTCTTGCTTACGCGTCCAGTCCTGATCAATCGCGCCGCTCACATCACAAACCAGGTTCACGAAGCTACTTTCCCGTAAGTACCCTTAATGGCTAGGTTTGTTTACCTATTGTGCAGTCTTCTATGCGCGCTTAGCGGAATTGTTTGAGTCGCGGCTCTTGTTCGAATCGGATGAATTAATGACAATCGCTATGACCCCGTGAAACGCCTCAACTTGGCTTTTTAGCCCCTATCAGCCTTATAGCATTCTTACGCTACCTATTTCATAGGACATCGTCACTCCATCCGTGCCAATAGCATAAATGCCAAGTCCCAACCTCCGCCGCAATCTCTCCATAGAGAACGAGGATAGACCAACTCCTTAGCTAACTAAATATGTTGTCCGAAAACAACGGCGAAGTTAAGCTGGCAGCTCTAAATGTTGCTACTGCAACTATAGACCTGTCTGCAAAGCCTCGGGCTTTGACATGGTGTTGCTAGGCGTCAGATGTCTATTCATGGAACTATTAGGACAGGACAGTAACGCTAGTGTACGCGCCCCGATGAGGTGTGGTGGTAGCTAGCAAGACTGATATGGTATATGATAAGGAGAGGGAAGTAAGGAGAGCTACTATTGCTGTGATAGCTCTAAAGGGGGTATAAACACCTACCGAGGGAATAGCCTACGATAATACATAATGCTACATACAGTACAGCGTCTTTTCTACTTACGTGCCGGCGAATTTCTTCAGCGCACAGGCCCTAGTATTTTGAAAGTATAAGACTTCCATCGGCGATATAACGAATATACTTTAGGTAAGGTAGAGGGACTAACACCTTCCAGTGAGCCTTCGGATGTCTCAGTGGCTTCCAGATAGACTTCCAGAGAATACCTTAGGTAGGTAGAGATATAGGGGCGTGACCGGGTAGTCTATGGAATAGATCCTTAGTTGACTAACCGTTAATAGCTCATAGTACGCCCCTATATGAATATAATGACTATAGTCGTCACAGGAGTGTGAACTGGAACTAACGAGAACTTAACTCTTGCGCTCTTTGGGTGTTGGCTGGTTAATCATTAAGCAGATATGAAAATAGGACTGATAAGAAGCTAAGAAAAGAAACATAAACTCAAGTTTTCCCTATCAAAGTCATATTAACTTTTTAGATAAACTTGGTTTATATGGCTTCGAGGTCCGACTAATTTACCAATAAAATGATCTCTATAGCAATGTAGTATTTGGGAAGAGAAGCTATCACTCTGAGTTTCCGGACTATAGTTTCTCGGCGTTATTAACTATTCGCTTAGACGCGCTTCTAAAAGGAGTAGCAGAAAATGTTGAGTTAGATTGGTACGTAATCGGTATGACTACTATGACTATTATGACTACTTTTTCTTTATTTAGCCTGTCAGGCCAATCATATTTAATGCTGTGTTTTTTTACACGTCTCTATAACTCAGTAGAATCGATGGGGAAATAGGTAGTACATCATCCTTCGGGACTGACCTACCATGCCATGAACTTACCAGTCTGTATTTGGCTTAAGTAGCTGGCTCGTCGGGCTTGGTCTCCCGCAGCGGAGCGATTCCCCCACGACGCCGCGAGCTTGCCTACTTGGACCTCCGATCCCAGCTCCGCTCTTAGTAAGTATATCATACAACCCCACGAATCGCTACGTCGTATGAGCAGCAGTTTGGAGTTCGCATATATGGTACAACCTAATGGTGCATCAAGGAAATATGCCGCCGGCATTACCTCGCGAAAATTGCAAGAATATTGAACGAGCACAAGTAGATCTGCGGCAATCGAACGATGCCCTTGAAAGCTCTATCCGATTTAAAGGATTCTGGTGGATCACTTGATTGCTATACCAAGCAAGGTATTGGTTCGTAGCCCACGTCGTAGCGGCGTATTCATTTTACCCGTATATTCTCCCGAGTGAGCTCCATGCAAGAAGGTCATACGCCAAGCCCCGTGTACCGGCGTAGCGGTGTCTATGGTCCACGGTCTGGGAGTCCTGTCCCCTTTATAAACCATAACCCCGGATTCCTAAATGACCTGACGTGGCGGAAGGCCTAATTGAAGACATCCGGAGAAATACACTTGCGGCTGAAAGTGAAAGAACACGATGTTACGCTCTACAGAGGACGGCGACCGCTACGAGCTGGCGAGCCCGACGGCTCTGCCGAAATCTGGCGCTTTCTTGTGGAATCAGAAGATGATGATCCAGATGACCTGTCGTGGGTATGCGACGGCGCAGTTCATGCAGCCCGAGCCTTCCAAGTACGCGCACGCGCCTAATCTCGAAGCCAAGACCTTCATGCAGCCCGAGCAGAACTACTACGCACACCACCCGGGCCGTTTTGTCTACATCAAGGACGAGGAGACTGGCCAGCTGTTTTCGGCACCCTATGAGCCGGTGCGGGCTCCGCTCAACCGGTTCGTGTTTTCCGTCGGCAAGAGTGATATCTCCTGGACCGTTGAGTATCTTGGTATCCGCGTTGAAATGACCTTGGTGATTCCAACGCATGATGTGGTAGAGCTATGGTCGGTTAAAGTGACCAACCTATCCTCACGGCCGCGCAGAATTAGCGTGTACCCCTATTTCCCATTTGGGTACATGTCGTGGATGAACCAAGAAGCTGAATGGCGACCGGATCTCGGCGGCGTGGTAAGCAGCAGCATCACGCCATACCAGAAGGCAACAGACTACTTCAAGAACAAGTATCTGAAAGACAAGTCATATTTTCTATGCGAAACCTCTCCAGTATCATGGGAGGCAATGCAACAGGCCTTCGAGGGTGAAGGTGGCCTCCATGCACCTTCATCGCTGGAACAACCAGAGCTCAGCCGTAGCGATGCTCGCTACGAGACGCCTGTCGCTGTGGTACAGTACCGTGAGGAGCTTAAGACAGACGAACAGCATGAGTACCGATTTCTCTTCGGACCCGCGTACGATGACGCCGAAATTCGTTCGGTACGGGATAAGTACCTCAGCAAGGAAGGTTTCGCACAGACAGCCCGGGAATATGCGGAGTATATCAACAAAGGAAAGGGGTGCTTACAGATTGAGACCCCTGATAAACACGTAGACAACTTTGTCAATAATTGGCTACCGCGGCAGTGTTATTATCATGGCGACGTGAACCGGCTGACCACAGATCCGCAGACGCGTAATTACCTACAGGACAACATGGGCATGTCATATATCAAGCCTGAGGTCGCACGTCGAGCTTTCCTGATCGCCGTGGCACAGCAGGAGAAGAACGGCGCCATGCCCGACGGTATCTTGTTGGCGGAGGGCGCTGAGCTCAAGTACATTAACCAGATCCCACACACTGACCACTGTATCTGGTTGCCGGTCACCCTGGAGGCGTACCTCGCCGAGACAGGTGATTATGATCTTCTGAAGGAGCAAGTAAAAGGAATGCACGGCGATACGTACACCGTATTTGAGCGCTTTAGTCGGGCTATGGACTGGTTACTCTCGGCCCGAGACACGCGTGGGCTAAGCTACATTGCGCAAGGTGATTGGTGCGACCCGTTGAACATGGTGGGTTACAAAGGTAAGGGTGTATCCGGGTGGCAGACGGTTGCTACCGCATTTGCGTTGAAGTTGTGGGCGGACGTCTGTGAGCACGAAGGCAAGGCCGATCTAGCAGCACACTACCGCGCAGGCGCCAAGGAGGTCAACGATGCGGCTAATGCACACCTGTGGGATGGAGACTGGTTCGCGCGAGGAATCACAGACGATAATGTCATCTTCGGCGTCAAGACGGATAACGAGGGTCGTATTTGGCTGAATCCGCAAACGTGGTCGATCTTGAGCGGGGCGGCTAGCAACGAGCAGATCAAGCGGATGTTACACCAAGTAGACTCGCAGATGGGTACGCCGTACGGCGTTGTGATGTTCGCTCCTCCATATAGCGGCATGCGAGAAGATGTAGGGCGTGTGACGCAAAAGTATCCCGGTTCGGCTGAGAACGGGTCGGTCTATAACCATGCGGCCGTCTTCTACGTCCACAGCCTGTATTCGATTAAGGAGAGCGATCGAGCATACGATGCTCTAAGAAAGATGATCCCTGGACCTTCAGAAGAGGACTATATACAGAGGGGTCAACTGCCCGTGTATATCCCCAACTATTACCGAGGCGCGTACCAGCAATATCCCCGCACCGCGGGACGGTCTAGCCAGCTCTTCAACACGGGGACAGTGTCATGGGTATACCGAAGCTTTATCGAGGGGCTATGTGGTCTACGTGGAGACGCGAAGGGTTTGCGTATCCAGCCACAGCTACCGTCTTCCTGGGATGCTATCAAAGTGACACGCCTATTCCGGGGCGCCACATTCGTCATTGACGTCCGTCGTTCAGTAGACGTAAAGGAGGTAGTGGTAAAGCACGAGGGCCGAGTCCTTCCGGAAGCGCGCTTCACCAATATCCAGCCGGGTGCTACCTACGAGCTCTCCGTCGCGGTACCTAAATAACGTGCTAGATTGTTTGCGGTTGTTGATTATACGGCCGATAGCTAGTTGAACCTAATGGTGTTGGACTGGCTGGCTAGAATGGAAACAAAAGGGGAGGCCTGCGAAATACGTATAAATGATTTGTTGATGAGCCAGCTGGATACTCTCATTGAATCTGTTTTCAGCTTATACAATCTTGTTAATAGACGGCGTCATATTCGTATAGAGAAATTTCAATCTTGAATTCGTATCATCCAATGCATCAAAATCCCCTTGTTCTCCTAAGGAGTAGATCGATGAAGCTTGAAACGCCAAGAGGTTGCACGTCCACACTGCCTCGCATCACATCTTGGCGACGTCTCAAGCTGAAGACTTACGAGATGAATAGATCTTCAAGAATTTCTTCTGCTCCTCAATTAACGTAGCGAACAGGAAAAACCACGATGGAAATACGGCGAGGCCCCACGATAACGTTCCTTAACCTCGGGCTGTTATGGCTGGCAACATCTTCATTGGGCCAAAGGATACGGGTCGAGGAACCGATTCGCCCTCTCGTAATGGACGGGGCAACGAAAACGAGCGAGACAGACTACCTACCCGAGAAGGCAATAGTAGAACAGGTCGTCGAATCAAGCATCCCGCAAGTCTCCGACGTACCGCAAATCTCAGGAATTCCACAAGTAGATGTGAATCAACCTAACGGCACCACAACCGGTAGTCAAGCGCAGCCAACCGAGCCCGTGGTTCCAATATCCGTGTTGTTATTCTCAGGACCACCTGGCCCGAAAGACTGTCGCGGTACAGTAATGACGAACATCCAGCTGCCCAAACCTGGATTACAACACTCAACTCCGAAATGTTATAACGTACCTGGGGTAGCACAATGTGGGACCTTCATTGCGAATATGGATGATGGGTGCCAGGCACGCTTGTTCAACGAGCCCAACTGTCTGACGTTTGCCAACCTAGCCGTATTTACTCCGGAGCAGAGAGCCGTCGGTGGATTACTGAGGAGTATTGAGATTACGTGTGGAATCGAGGGCGTGACACCGCCACCGTTAAATCTTCCCGGTCTTAAATTACCGCCAAACGCTCAACAGGCCGGTGGAAGGTACCTAAAGTTTCGTCTATAGTATTTCCCGCTTTGAATGAGACAAGCTGACTAGGTAGCCGCAGTGAGCATGGCTATCGGTCTACGCCATAATAAAAGACAAAGAACCCACGCAAACCGGTCCGTAAAGGATTGCGAGTACCCGGTAGGTACCTATGTTGCAGAGATGGATCATTGTTTGCGGCTCATTGGCGAAATCCGGAGAAGTTCTCAGCGACTGGTCATGTCGTGCAGACTTTATATACCTAATATATATATAAGGAGTCTTATGAGCACTACCGGTCTGAGAGAGCCGATCTCTTGGTATAAGAGAATTATCTGTACTTATCAATGCAGCGTGGAGGGAACACGTTGCGAGCAACGGAAGGGGGAAACTCATCGTCGGGAAGACGAATCATGAGTCAAGAAGTTCTGCCGGACGCAAGTAAACTGATGCCCAAGCTACATTCACTATGGAAGCAAATATGCGTCGCATATTTGGCGTAGGGAAGGGTTACATACAGCTAAGTAGGTAGATAGGATGAATGGAAGAAGGGGTGATGTGATGTAACAAGTGATGCAGTAACCTAATGAAGTGATGTCTGATAGGAAATATTCAAAATATCAATTGGAGTTATGATATGATAGCAGCAATTACAATGTGCTAATACAGCATATTAGCAGATGTTTCCACTGTGTCTTAGCATCTAATACCTGTGGGATAAGAATAGCGCTAAACTTATTTGGGCAATGTCGCGTCATTGCTACATGCGTTCAAGCAGTGCGTGACTTGACTCGGATTCAGCACTCAAAGGCAAGAGAACCTTGGGGACCTCCTCCACTTTCTACTCTTTCACCGATCAAACCCGTTAAATCCCATTAGGCCATTAGGTACTACAGCAACCATTACCACGGTACAATCCGACCTAACGTTAAGGTACTAACTTCCCCAACTTCCTTAACAACGTTATCCCTTTCAATCGTTCCCTCTTTTACCAACATATCGACTCCTCCCAACGTCTTCCTTCCCCAGCGCATTCAACGAACACCTAAGAAACAAGAATAACCAACCCATACGCAGCCCCTACTACGACTAGTAAATATCCGATACTCTGTCTTTGGAGAATATTTCCTTTGAGCAACGAGCAGGATATTCCAACCCAAATCCGAAAAGACAACGTACGAGAGAGAATCCTATCATCTAGCGAACAGATCTTAGGACCACCTAAGAGAGAATAAAGGAAATACCACTACAAGGGAATATCTCAACCGTAGAAGAGCAGAAACAAAAGCAAAATGAGTAGCCCACGCAGACGAATCGAGACAGATGTAAGTCTACGTTGGGTATATATAACTTCACGAGGCATTACTTGCTAACATGTAATTCTAAATAAGGTCATGAAGTATGCGACGCTCTTGTCGATTCGTGTTGAAGACCTCTGCTAACTATCTCGTAGGATGTATGGTTGCCTTTGCTAACGAAGCCTGATACCCCAACTAACTCCTCTCAGGCTTATGTCCGACTATGAGGTCACTTTAGTCAACGACAATAGTATTTGACCCTTCTCGCTTCTTATTTGTTACAATACTAACAACATGATTGCAGTGTAAGCTTGGTTCACCGTACTCGCCTTTAACTTCTAAATCCTTACATATTTCTAGGCAAGAATTCTACGTCCGATTCAAGGGACCCGCCGAGAGTTAGTAAAGAGAAAGTCAGATTTCGTTACCCAAACATATCTAACTAAATACCTCTATAGCACCCTTCGAGAATGGAACATGGAAAGTCCATGTCGAGCTACCTGACCAATACCCGTACAAGTCGCCTAGTATTGGCTTTGTGAATCGGATATTCCACCCGAATATAGATGAGCTGTAAGTGATTTGGGTCTTAGATGTGAACCCTTCGGCACGGGGACTGCCATGTTCTAGGACAGGACTAAGGAAAGCAATATTATGGAATAGGTCCGGCTCGGTTTGCTTGGATGTCATTAACCAAACCTGGTCGCCAATGTTCGATATGATCAATATCTTCGAAGTCTTCCTCCCGCAACTCCTCCGATATCCCAACCCCGCCGACCCTTTGAACGGTGAAGCGGCTGCATTGTTGATGCGGGAGCCGAAAAGCTACGACGCTAAAGTCAAGGGTATGTCGGTCCTTGCGTCTCTTTTCCAGAGTACCTAAGATTAGGGGTGTAGGACTGGCTAACAGAAAGTAGAATATGTCCAAAAATATGCCAGTAAAGACGCTGCAGATGACGCCGGAGCCGAGAGCGAAGACGACGACGATATGTCCTCAGTTGCAAGCTTCGGGGATGAAGAGGACGAGCCCGCCGGTCAGATGGATGACGTGTAATCAATCGTCTCACGCCATTCCCTTATATTTCAACTCGCCTCTCTTCGATGAATCAACTCTGGATTAAGGAGTAATACGGATTTCCCTTGCGGTTATGGGTGGGGTTTGGTGTTTTTGCACGTAATTTGCATATGGAATTGAGCCGACTGCTAGACTTGCAATCGTTCTCAATAGCTAGCATTGATATTTTACTGGCCTTCCTCCGATACCATCTTGGTCAGCTTGCTATTTTCGCACCAAATTGTTGGAGGTGAACACTCTTGATTGCTTTCATGATTATTATAGAACAAGCATATCAATGATAAATTTCAATCAACACGACCAGACCCGTGCTGTGAGCTTAGTCCCATCTTGCCTTATACCCCTTGTGACTCCCCTAATATGCTATACCCCTTGTGACTCCCCTAATATGCTATATCCCATGATCTAACCCGGGTATCCCTTTAATGACTAGAACAAGACACCCCTTTTCCCCAAGACGCCATTCTAGTGTAGTGATATCTTAATCCGAATCGTACTCGACTAACGAGGTTAATGATGCCGTGCCTTTCCCTTCTCGTTCGGTATTAGTCGTATCTCTCTTTTCTGACGATTTAGGCTCCTCATGATCTTCGGAATTTAGCTCCGGGTCCGGCTCCGGCTCCGGCTCCGGCTCCGGCTCTGGCCTCTTTCTCTTAATCCCGGCAATCCTAGAGGGACCTTTATTACTATCCCCATTGCTACGATCCAGCGACAAGAACGGGTCCTGAGCTACTCGCGTGTTGCCAACGATCTCGGATACCAAACTATCCCTCATCTGAGCAGCAGCGACTTCGGATTTCAACTTCTTGCCCTTCGTTTTCTTCCTCTTATCATCCTTCGTATCCGCGCCACTACCACTACCACCACCACTACCACTCCCCGAACTTATCGGGAATAACGGCTTCGCAAGCGCCTTGCGCCCCATCTCACCGCCCGCAGCATCCGCCGACGGCCCAAAATCCACCAGCGCAGCGCGTCGCGCGTCCTCGTCGCTCGCGGCTAGCAACTCGATCCCTAAACCCATCCTCTCGCGCAAATTCTCCGCCGTCGCGGCATCCCGCTCGCGCTCCTTCCGGCCAACGCGAAACGCAGCGCGCAACCGCCGATTCCGCTCGTACGGGTCCTCCCAATGGCGCGCGCTCTCCATCTCCAGCTCGTCGATGCGCTCCTTCGCGTCCTCCAGGACTTTGCGGTCCGCAATCGTCTTCTCGAGCTTTGCAAACGCGTTCGTGCGCAGGCTTTCGCGCTCCTTGTCCGTTAACGTCAGCTCGGATAACGGATCGGGGGACCCCGTGTCTCGCCGGCGCGCGCCCGAGGTTACGGCGTAGGTTGTGTGTTCGGGGTCGGTGCGGATCTCGATGGCGCCGCTGCAGGCGGTGTGCGTCATGCGGAAGGCGAAGATGGGCGTGCTGTGGTAGGATCCGACTTTGCGCTTGGCGGCGTTGAAGCGCACGCCTTGCGCGATGAGCGTGGGTTGGGGGCAGTGCGCGCACCATATCGCGAAGGGCATCTCGAAGCGCACTGTCTGTTGTCCGCCGGAGAACCCTGGGGGGCGCTTCTTGTGCAGTTTGTTGCCGGTCGTGGTCCCCTCGACGTCGGGCGGCACGTACCGCCCCATGTTGAAGCCCTGCATCGTGACGGCGGGGGCGGAGGTCCGGTCAATGGGCTGGGATGGGAGGTCGCTTTTCGCTGGGTTGTTTTTGTGATGTTATATCAAGGGTCGCAAACGATGTTGTTGTGCCTTGGGAGGACCAATTCGGCCGGTGTGTGGGATGAACAAGGTTGCGGTGGGTTGCTTTAATGGGTTCGATAAGATATAACAGGTGCCTATTAGATAAGACTTACTTACCGTTTATTAGCATATAATACTTACGAGCTTCCAATGTAAGATATGCAGTTATAGAAATAATCTCAGTTCAAGTATCTTCCCGTTACCTCTTTGTCTCGGAGGGTAAAAAGAGTTGTATTTTACAATACAACTAGGTTATAATCATGATAATAACAGTTCTATAGAAGGGCCATGGCCAGACTTGATCGCATTTTGTAGGAGTTTTCGTAACTAACTCTCTATCGAATACTCGGCGCCAAGTCAATATATCTTAAGCCGCGGGGATGAGCATGTGTTATAAGAGATGAACTTATATAGTATTATATACTTGAAAGAAGCATAGCCAGTTGAGCGAAGTTGTGGGAAGTGCTAAACATAAAGATATGCCCAAACGCTTGAGATTTCCATTTCATCACCAACACCAGACTCCAAACTCCAGATTGTCAATAACTAAATAAGAAACCGATCTGGAGCATGCTTTGAGGAGACGAATTCTCCCTAGATGAACGCCAGGATATTTAAGCCACCATCGTAAGACGCCCAACCCCACGGAAGTCCAGTCATAGGGTGGCTTTCCAGCCCATCCCTTCTCTTAGCCGCAAATTCGCGCCGATTGGTCGTAGAATTATCGAGTTCGTAATGTGTAGGAGGTACTCTTATAAGCACACTGCCTATCGGTCCATTCATCGTACGCTAGGGTCTTATTACTTCCCCGCCACCACGAGCTGCAGTAGAATACGTTAGTCGAAGCTCTCACGAAAGCCAGACAAGTCATGAATACAAACCTAAGTCTTATCCCCATTTGGTGCTAGTGAGCCCCTTTTGGTCGCTCGCGAATATTTTCTTGCTTGCCGCTGTTGATAAACTGCGCAAAGCGTATTGCGAAACTAATGGTGGAACGTTTGGAATAACGTTTGGAGACGATGTATTCTTCTTGCATGGCGAAGGTGAGAGAGAGGATGTGTCTGGCTTTTTATAAATGATTTTTGGAGCGTCAAGCCTTAATCTGCCTTATAAGATTGAGAGGTTCAGTCCTAGCTATATATATATTCTTCACTTTACTCGTTGTATCTTTTCTTCCGCTTCCACGCGACTGAGATTGGGGGCGGGCCAGCCCAGCCCTATAGCGATGAGATCTGTTTGCTAACATGTTCTCTGTAGAGATGGGCCAATAAGGAATTCCATGAGTGCTAAGAATAGCTGTCGTCATCATCCGCGTACAGGATTCGGGAAACATGAACTGGTGGTGATACGCAGGCAACGCTTATGTCACTTTCAAATAGTCGGTGAACGTGCTGCGACACTGTTTCGCGATAGGTACAAGCAAGCTCAGCCTCAGCTGGATGGCTCCATCATACCGCCTGTTCGACATACTCTTCCTGATTATAAAGTCTATAGTTGCGGTCTGCTTAATACAATACGGCTGTGCCTGAGTCGTGGTCTTACTATGGTTTCAATCCGCCTCCAATCAGGCAACACCTCGAACCACAGCAGCTCTTCTATGGTTCCTGGGGTTGAATACATAGTGTTGGTACAGGTTGCAACTTAAATATCCGAATCAGGTTGGTTCTCCCTGCACTCTAAGCCAGTTAATTCTATCAATCGCGCCTGGGTAAGCTAGAATATGATATTAATTCAAAGTAGAGTTGAAAGATAGTTCGTAGGCGGTATACGATTATAGAATACACGTGTATTTTATTTGGCGAGTTGATACGACTTGATACGACCTACTTGATACAACCTGGTGCGTGTGTTCCGGTTAGACAACGAGACACAAATATCTAGGGGTCAAATAATAAGCAGGAAAACTGTGTGAACAGAAACCCTCTCCTTAATAATACAATCATATATGATAGCAGTATAAGTGCCAATTGCAAGATCTACTGATTATATTCACTATGGTATATCTATAGAAGTCTATCCCTTCTACAGCATCTATTGCGCCGAAGCAGCAGAGAATGTCGATCCAATCTCACCCCACTTCAGGTTGCTAAAGGTCACCTCGGGGTGCGCCTCGATCTTACGGATGTTCGTGGGGTTTCCTTCGGTGGCGTTGCAGGGGCCAGCACCGTCTTTGGCACCGTCAAGCCACGACATGTACCCTCCTTCATCCCACCAGATGCTGAAAGCCAAGACCATACCTCGAGTCAGAGCGTCACCCATTTCCTCGTGGGCGCCAAGGTCTAGGAACTTAGTCGCGCCTGTCGCAGCGCAGTATTCATCATTGGTGAATGAAACCTCAGGTACACCAGTCTTCTTCACTACCTCGGCTTTGATGACCTTGTCACCTTGGACGTACAGACGGTGGATCTCCTTCAGCTTGCCCTCCTCATCGGCGGGGAACTGGGTGACGACCGTGAATGGCTTGGTCGTGTCTACCGTGTAGTCCGCTCCCCTTCCGTAGTAGTTGGGCTGCTCAAGGCGGTAAGGGTTCCAACCGCAACCGTTCTTATCGCAGACACCATCAGCCTTGCACTCGTCTCCTGTGCACAGGTAAGGTCCGGTCTGGTTGCAAGGGTGAGGTGCAATTTGGTTGGCACGCGAGTTGGCCTCCCAGATATCCATCTCATTGCAGCAAGCGCCCTTGCCGTCAACGTTACCCTAATACAACTGTTAGATAACGATATCATCGCGCGCAGGAACCAGGGAAACTGATTGGTGCGTTAATTTGGATATTACTTACCTCGCCGTTGATGAAAGGAGTAACATAGCACTGGGCATCACAGTATCCAGTACCCCAGGCAGCTCCGCCAGGGTTCAGCTCACTCTTACCTCCATCTGCCAACATCTCAGAGAGGTAAAAAGCGCTGTTCATGCCGCAGGGCAGATGGCTAGCTTCGATGTCGAAGGAGACCTCGGCGCCGGTGAGTTTTAACAGCTCGTACTTCTCCTTGGCCGCGTCTAGGAGGTAGATACGGGGAGAGACAACGTTGTCGCCAACGATTAGCTGCATGTTCAACGAGGCGCCATCAGTCTTGACACCAATGCTATTGTAGTCGGTTTGACCCTCCACTGTAGTTGGATATGTTAGTTACTGCTATTATGGTTTTTGAAAAGACTGGTAAAATCCAACACCCAATTCGAAGGAGTCGTGATATCACATACTAATGCAGTTTTGAGCGCATGCCTCCTTAGTAGGGCAAGCCGTCTCATTGGGTTTGTTTCCCCAGTCACCGCAGCCAGCATTGTTGCCGTCTTGGTGAACCCAATGAGCAGATGAGTCGAGGACGAGGTAGTTGGTCGACTCCTTGCAACCGCCAGCCACGGTGCATCGGTAAGTTGTCAACTCGGGATGGACATCAGCAGTGTTTCCAGGCTTCTGCGCGGCGGCGAGGCCTAGGACCGCGAGGCCGAGGGCAAGCTTGCTAGAGGCCATTGCGTTCGATGTCTTCGAATTACTCCGTCAAGTAGTTTCGATGCACTGACAAGCACGCAACACCATTCCAGGAGCAGCTCATATTCGAGGATATATATATTCTCTCGTAGATTCGCTACGACGAAATAGATAAACCCAAATTTCCGCGTTCCCCAACTTCCCCAAACCATGCCCTCCACATGCCAAGTTATTTCATGCCTATTCCGACGTGTGGAGCATGAAGTGCCGGCTTAAAGCTGGCGATCTGGGGGAAGATGGCCCGGGATCCCGGCGGAACCATTTGTTGTAGTGTCGGCTTTGAGGTTAGCCCCCCTGCGGAGGAAAAGCCTGAATCAGTACACGCTATAGGTCTAATACAACCCTAGGCGTTTGAAAATTGACGCTGCCATGGCTGATTACGGGTGCTTCCGAGTTCCATATTGATTGCTATGTAATTAACCTCTTATCAATGTTCCTGCATTGAGATGAGCCTCTCCTAAATTGCGCATCATGCTTATCCACTAGAGAGAGGGCTGAATACGAAATAGCGGTAGTCCGGTAATCATGCCGGGGACATATCAAACGTGAGCACTCTACTAATATTTGCTGGGTTATAATTAGAAGCTAAGCGGTAGTAGATGTACCGAGAGTATTTAAAACTCACCGAAGCATTGATTTGACCCAATACCTAACAATAATTAACACTAAAGATTATAATGAACGCATAGTTAAGACTCTAGATACCTCTCTAGGTAGTTTAAAATATAATAGTTTTACTAAGATACATGTGTAGGGCCTATTATACGAAGAAAGGAGGCGCTCATCATACTCTAAGTTTGAAATAATTTTAAGTGTGTTCGGAAATAGCATACGACATAGCCTAGCTGAGCGACATAGTAGTAGCCATACTGAAGGTAGCTTTTCCGAATCTATTCTTTATAGGAGTCTCGGAATCACTCTCAATTGCAAGTTCCAGTAGTTTACTCAGGCTCTACTGTTTGTATTAGAGTGACTGAGGAACTATTGGTCGCATCGCACACGCGAAGATTGGCGCAGCTGTAGACCCAGTTCGAGGTCAATGACTACCCCTAGGTCTCGCGGCATCATTACACAAGATCCCATCCAGTGTTGTGCACATTTTGCTCTTCTTCGAAGGTAGTCCTTAGCTTTCTGGATGTCAGAGAAGCCACCAGGTGCTAGCATGTCCAGACCACGACTGCCTCCAGGCTTCAAGTGGTGAGAGAGAGGTTCCATCATCGTGATAGTTTCTGCGAGCTGAACGTATCGGGCAATAATCTCCAAATCAGGCGGATAAGAGAAATATTTGGGACCAAGGTGGACTGACGACGACGTTGGTGTTGACATAAAGGTTATGTGCACTGAGCTGCGGGAAAGGGGGGCACGCAAGCATCGCCCCGAGACTAAAGTACTTTCCTACCCCTTCTCATACTTAGCACTCCCAGACTTGAGTAAGGCGATCCTTTCAGCTCGAGTATCAGTCCAAATAGTCAAGTTATTCCTAGATAGTATAGTGTCATTAATGTATGCATTGGCTGAGAAGCTCCTTTTCTTGTCAAGACTACCAAAAATGAATAAGCGAACTACATCTCAATAGGCCTATAGTCAGTCATATATACCTGGGGAACAGTTTCGAAACCCCAATTAGAATCATTTGCTAGGAGACTTGGGCCTAGCGAGGGAACATAGGAGGCGCTAGTGTTGTGATATGATTGGTACTCTATGGATCCTGTAGTACATTGAAGGCGGCTGTAGATAGATGGCACAGCATATGAACACCTGGTATAGTCGTATGTTGACACATGTGATGCATTAGACCGATAGCCGAATTTGGTCAGACTTTTACACGTCAATGATTTAGGTAGATAGGTGCGCACCTATAATTACTGGTGTACCAAGAAGGTAGGGAGTTCTATATTAGTCTATATGTATCCAGATTTCCAAATTCTTACGGTACGAAAAGTCGAGTAAATTCCGCTTTGTCCTAGAGAGCCGTGGTAGGGGCGACGAATAAAAGACACGTGTAAGCGAAATGAACTAATATATGGCCTTTGTCATTGAAGCATTGTTCGGAACTAGTACTTGCCCTTATATCCTCAAAGATCTACCTGTTGAAGAGAGGTGACATAAGATAATAGGAGTTATATAAGATGTGATTACAGCAGAAGGGTTAATATCAGACAAATATAAGTAGCTGAGTTGAGGCTATGAATAAGAATTAGTTTTATGGAAGAAGTTACTTAACATTTAGAATGTGTGCCTGAGTTAGATTTTGGCCTTCTTCTACTATTGCAAGGATTCGTGTCTTTGTCTTTGTTATTGTGACTGTAAGGTACCTAATGAAAAACAAAAAGAGACATTATCTAGCGCATTTTAGCAGGCCTGGAGGATAATATAATTGTTCTTAGGTCTTTAAGTCGCTGATCTCTTTGATACAAGTACTTATATTCTTCTTTACGGCAAATTCGCAAATATTCTAGATTTCTAGACCCATGATATTACGATATACGATAACCCTTATTTTCTTATCTTTAGTATGCATCATAGACTGCTCGATCTAGCGGCCTTCTCGGCCTTATTTTCGCTTCTCGAGGCACACGTTGTGCTCGAGAACCCAAAGCCCTTTCGCTTCGTTCAATATGGTCCGACCAACCCCATATCATCAACTGGTGAAGATTTTCCTTGCAAGATACCAGCTGGTGGCAAGTTAGAACCTGAGGGCCCACCGACGGTTATGGCTATTGGGGAGGAGCGAAGCATCTCATTCTCAGGACAAGCAGTCCACGGTGGTGGTTCCTGTCAGTTTAGTTTGTCCGGTCCGGTCAATAATGGTGCATGGGAAACCTACCCCCTCAAGACTGCGGGGTGGAAAGTCATTCACTCGATTGAAGGTGGGTGTCCCGCGCGCAATCAAAGAGGGAATCTAGATGGCCCAAATCATGACCAATACTCTGTCAAGATACCGGAAGGTATTGAACCAGGTGACTATATTTTTGCATGGACTGTAAGTACCCCTTTCCCCACCCCTTCCCCCTTTTCCTAACCGCCTTTGGGCTCTTAAGGGGGATTTCACTAGATATTACTTGACGTGAAGACTAATTGGTAATGTTTCATGGAAAATGCTAACTTGAAATCAGTGGCTTGCTCGAATTGGAGGACAGCCTGAATATTACATGAATTGTGCACCTATTACTGTCATTTCGGCTAAGAGAAAACGCATGGATATTTTAGCTCGTCGGACATCACTTGGCAAGAAAGCGGTCTTTCCGGAGCTATTCATGGCCAACATGGGTGATGTTTCGGGAGAGTGTACAACTGAAGAAGCCTTACAACAACAGATAGCAATTGCGTTCCCGAATCCTGGTCCTTCTGTTGACTATCCAGAAGGTTCTGAGAATCTCTTCAAACAGCAGTGCGATGGAAATCCTCGAGCTGGGCAAGGCAACATTCCTGGAACTCCTGATGTAAGCACATCTTCTCAACGTAGTCCGACCTTTATACCGGAGCCCAAAGCATCAAGAACCATGACCTCTTCTCCTATCTTGACAATTTCAACGATATCTATATCACCATCATTGTCCACAGGGGTGATATCGACTAGTACGCCAACAACGGCTTCTACAACGGACCCAGGAACATGTGTAGAAGGCCATCTTACTTGCCTTGATGATGGTTTACACTTCGCTACTTGTACTGGTGGTCAGTTGACTCTTCCACAGCCTCTTGCACCGGGGTTTAAATGTAAGGTCGGCTCTGGAGTCGGCCTTGTCATTTTACCTGTGTAAGATTTTATACCCACGTACCTAAGTTAATAAAATAATTTATATATATATACATGTATTGCTTGAGAATTAGACGAGTAACTGTGAAACACTACCTTGAACGTCTCCTCTTTGGGGAATAGTAGAATCGAAATACACCAACTCCAATACCGAAAAGAGAGAGAGAAAAGGAACTAGGTATATACTCTTCGTTGGTAGCTAGTTTAACATGTAGAATATTCACAAGGTAGACATACTCTCTATTATACCATTATGGCGGAAGAAAATCACATTGTTGAAAAAAGGGCTAATAGGCGTTAAGATCGAAAGGATAAGGAATATTCTGAAGAGGCAAAGTCTTCTAGCGCTAGAGGCACCTGGGCCGAAAGTCTAGTATTAAGGTCGCCTCACTCAAATATAAAACAGTAATTAGTTACCTTGAGGACTTTAGAGTTGTGTCGTAAGTGGGTATCATAATTTGAACATGGGTTTAACATCACTCTGTGATATTTGGGCAGCTGGGATATCCAACCGGAATTTAAGCCGCTAGTTTGGAAATTTGTTAATTCGTAACTGTAAGGCTTGTCACAATTACCTAGATCCTTACCGAAGTAAAGTATGTAAAGGGCAAAGTTCGGCAACAAAACACGGGAGCTACCGACGGGCTAGGATGGGGCAGCTGACAGCATCTAGGTTAAGTGCTTACATGGGGTTAATGGGCCTTACGAGGTAATTCGTAATGACGATCTCCTGAACAAATCCCGATAACTATAGCAACTAAGCACTAGTTAACATCGAATAAACCTAAGCGTCCAGGGGCTCAACGTCGGCTGCGCTCCAGAGTTACAACCCGAAAATTATATCGATATATGTATAGATTTGGTCTGGGGCTCTCCAAAGAAAATAGAGGACTGGGTCATATTGCCGGGGATGGGACGCTCGGGCATCCGCCGGTGGACCCGGAACGAGACGGTAAGAGTTCGGCTCGGTTGATGTCCTGCCCTTTTGATTACCTCTTAGGCTAGCTCCGTTTCCCAACCCACAGATTAATGGGGCTAGAGCTTCTTGGGCGCAAAGAGCGCCATTGCAGACTAAAACCATTAGTGGATGATGCTGTTACATAGTATTCCATAGACGGCTTGCTTAACTGGCGCCGATCGAGACAACAAGGGAAGCCCTATGGACTATCGACCAGACTAAATTACCTACCTAGGTACCTACCCAGATACCCGCGCCCGTGGTTAACAAAAACCCAACAACGGCATCAATAACGGAATCAAGGCGGGTGGTTCTGGTGTATCTTAATTACTTACATGGTATGGAGTCGGTAACGATACCACTGGTGGGACGTTCCGAAACTCGCTCGGGTCGTTAGTTGACCACCCTGTGCTATTGTATTGGTTAGAAATAATTCATCATAATCCCACGTCCGCGGTCGGGGCGACTACATTAGGTAAAGAATGAAGACTCGGGAACGGGTTGGGCACTCGCGTAAATAAGTCTCCTAGCCGATTACAGTTCGCTTACCACGGCAATGGCAACTAGTCTAGTCGATCAATAGAGGAGCCACTGGGACGGCGACGTACGCAGTAATAACTTAATATAGTTACCTACATATGCCAACAACCGCACCAAGTGAGTCTTATATTCAAAGTATATCCAAGTAATCATCACGAGTACAGAATCAACTAGTCTAAGAAATTAAGAAATATTTACTCCAACTGTCCTTTTTGAATACCTTGACGCACTAAGCGTGTTCTCTCAGCATCCAAAACTAGAAGCGGGAGAGCCTACATTTAGTACAGCAACGAGGCGATAATTTCCCGATCTTTTTCACATCTCCACTCTCCACTTTAGGTGTGCCGCATTTGCCCATGAAGTGTTCATGCAGGAAATGCCCGCCTAAAGATTCTTGGTATAGTTCAGGGATAGGGGCCCAAGTCACATTATTATCGTAATGGGCCGCCATGGGGTTTCAAGTATTTCATATTCGGTCAGGTCGCAATGCCGTCTGAGCTATTCATCTTGACTTTACCAACTTCAAGCTAACATACACATTTACCATTCACATCACATAAACTTTTCAGTCTCATTATACTCAGCCATGCTCGAGGACGGATCAGATCAGGATGTAGTCCTAGTGACACAACTACCATCAGACTCTTGGTTTGAAGCTTTTGCTTTGCGGCCCAATGGCAAAATCCTAGCCTGTCGACTAGACGAACCCGAATTATACACATTTAATCCCGAAGACTCGGATTCGACACCTCAGCTACTGCATACCTTTGATCAAAATGCGAACGGTCTTGTCGATGCAGATCCAATACCGGGTACCGAAGATGAATACTTCGTCCTTTCAACCGTTGGCGATCTAGTTAATGTCGAATTCACCGATTTTATCATATGGCGCGTAGCGCTCAGCCCTGACGACAGCAATCCGCCCAAAGTCACCAAAGTAGCCGAAATCCCAAATTCAGGCCTCTGCGCAGCCGCCGTCGCCATTTCAGACCGTGTGGTGATAATACCAGACTCAACTAAGAATTGCATATGGCATCTCGATACACTGACAGGTCAATCATCACTGCTCATAGCCGACGACACTATGAAGATTGCAAACGGCGAAGGAAATTTCTTCGGTCTTAACCGGATATGCATCACAGATGAATTTATATGGTTTACGAATACCAGTGCTGGTTTATTATGTCGCATCCCAATCGAACGAGTTCAAGATGATCCATCTGTAGGAATCCGCATAAGAGGACCTGTGCAGATTCTTACTGATGAGATCACTGACTGCGACGGACTAGTTCTTACACAGGATGAGAATGCGGCTTACACGTGTAGTTATAAGGATGGGTTTATCTGGAAGGTCAGCATCGAACCCTCTACGGGCAAGGCCACGACAAGTGTTGTCTTGCGGAATTTAGCCTCGCCAACAGCCGTCGAGCTGAACTACACCAATGGCAGGTCGAAATTGTTTATCGTGTGCTGCGGGGAGATCCAGACGGGTTGGATTCAGGATAGAGAAAATCCCTGGAGCGACATTGTAAATATCAATGCGGCAGTGACGGTTCAGGTTGAGACTCGGGAAGAGGTTGAGACTGTTTGATATTAGCGTATTCGGGAATGGCAACTCGGCTTGGTTATCTACGCTGGTACAATTGATGACTGGCCCATATACCCCTTTAATGGCACACAACACTAGGCATAGGATATAACATCTAATGAAGAGAAGCTCTTCATATTCAAAGACCTTGAACTCCCATTAGCGAAGTCTAGTCGTGGCTACTATGATTAAGTGAACAGCGAGAAAGTAGACCATTACTCTCTTTGATTTACTGCATCTAGAAGATGCCAAAGGCTACCTGTTTTGCACACTTGTGCAGTACTAGAAGGTGCTATTGTTTCGGAACCCGGAGTAAGACCCGGTACTAGGCCCGGTGATTGTTTGGTCCAATCACAACATCGAGAATTGATGATCCTTTGTCAGGAAATGTTTCCCCGCTGCCATCCCCTATGAACCCTGTATGCGTACGTACGTTTCTCAGTACTTGTGTAATCTTGAAGAACTATGTTGATAGAAAATACGTAGTTAGGTAGCAATAATTTGCTAGAAATAGAGATAACGTTGCCATACCTAAGAGCATCATTACCTATATGTAGCTTAGATCATGAGCTTGGAGCACCACGATCCTCCCCCTTTCGCATTCTAGATGGATCTACCCAGGCAGTTCATACGGAACTCAGTAACGACATAGCCTATGAATAAATATCCCACCGACAACTAAAGTGATCAACAACCTTAACTCATACGTTTCAAATCAGAGAGGGGCGAGATAGGTAACAAAGACGAATGACTTTGCAGGACTAACACACGGTTCGCTCAAATCTCATAGTCCGGAGCACGATGATCTCGATCTAAGAGCATGCAAAGTCTCTCCGCCTCTCTTGTGGCAGCTCCGCTCAAAGCTTGTCTCTCTTCCACTCTGAAGCAATGGACCGATGATCTACTGAATGGTATTGATGCTACTCATCCGACGACGCTCTTACTATGTATCGGGGCAGTGTTCAACGCATCTTGGTAGCTACTGTTAATTGAAAATTCGGGATAGATAGAGTCTCCAAAGGGACACATTACACCAGCTATGAATAAAGGCAGGTAGAGGACAAAGAGCACACTTAAATATCGTACTAAGGTAAGAAAAGGGGTATTGTACAGATATACGGTGTTAAGATGATGAGCATGTAACGATAAATCGTAACGATCCCGGTAAAATACACTCTTCCCTTGCTAGATTTCCAGTCCAAATAGATGTCAAAATAAGCATTCCAGGGTGTTATCGAAGATATATGAAGTGATCTATGTACCTTAGGTAGTTATGTAGTGGTTATGATCATACCATTAATCACCTTAATGACAACATGTAATATGTAGGTATTAAATTTACCTGAGAATCAACATATCTATGGTAAATGATCAAGAACTAGTAGATAGATAAATAGGAACACCTTAGACTCACAGTTTTGATCAAAACGTCATTTTCTAAGCTCAACCTAGCTCAAACCATATCTCGAATCTCATCAACAATGTCCAAGAACGCGTATCTTCAAGCAACCGATAAGGTATCTAGGCAGTTGCTTTCTAAGGCCCTAGAAGGCCAAGTCTACGACTCGTCCTACGCTACCAAGGGGAGGAAAGATGATGCTGCCATCCTAGTCCTAAAAGACGATGAGAACGTCGAAGATCTTATTGATCTTGAAGATTCTGGCTCCAATAAGCAGCTGCGTGAGTTGACTTCAATAAAAACAATGCTGATCGGTATAGTTGATGAACTTTCTGGCGCGCGATGAGGCCGAAGCTATTGAGAAGAAAAATGTGTTGAAGAATAGGATTTAGAAAGAGAAGCTGAGAGGCTCTTGTACTGAGCCGACTGACGAGGATTTGGGTCTTGCCGAGGAAGTGTAGCTTCAGGGAATATGTCATGAGACTGGTAATTTAATTTGCAGTTTGGGGTATTTTGTTACCATGAATTGAAGTTAAGAATGAGATATTATCATATATTCGCCCAGCACGACTGAAATACAGAAAGAAGTAATCTGATATCAACTGCGGTTAGTTATCAATAATATGAGTTGACCCCGATATTTCAATAGCGAGATCTGAAAAGGGGCTGAGTCTATAAACACGGTGAAGCAGATCCCCTAGGCCAGATATAACCATACTTCTTCCTAAGTTTGAAGGTAATATCTACCATCTTACCCCTTTATGTTCCTCAACTTCTCCTTCGCTTTCTCTCCAGCTTCGGCAGGCACATTCTGGCTGCTGATGCTGGCCTTCAGTCTACGTGCACTGGGAAGAGTAACGCATTACTAGTATTATTCACACCTCAGATAACGTGAAGATCAATACGTGTACTGAAGCTATGCTTGTGTTTCTAGTTGTAATAAACATTGGAATGTAAGCATCATATCGCATTGGGTTACAGCCGCCCTTATTTTACTATTGTGGTAAGATGAGTCGTTTGATATCTTACACCCTGAACCTCATTGGAACTCATCATTGGACATGTTTAGGGCTATGAATATAGAATATCTAAGAAGTGACCTTGAAAACATTCTACTTGCGAAATTGATTTCGGGAAAGGCTCTACCAACCTACTAGTCGGAGTAGGTCGTGAATGGAGACCATCTAGATTTCACTTTAGCGAGAGGTATATCATAGAGCATGGTATAGGGATTAAGTAATACTTATTATACTTTTCTTTTATTCGGTTTTGGAGTGTAGAAAATGTAGTGGCTATCTGTACCACCAATTGACTGAAGCATTCAACTCGCCCTCCTTGCCACTACTAGCAACGCTATGCCACCACCCCTTGGGGATGAATAGGCCATCGCCAGGGTTTAAAGATACCTCATCTATCGTGTCTTCATCCCAGACCGCATGATGAAGTAATTCGCGTTCGCGGCCTTCCATCATTTCCGCGCCCCTGAATCGCGAGTTACCTGACGAGCCAAGCACTCTGCGGACGCGAGCATATATGTCATCGCCTTGGTCTGGTGCCATAAGACGTATTCTTTTTGAGCTTACCAGCTGGCAGAACAAATTAGGGTTTGGATCTCGGTGTAAAGGGGTATATGTGGGCTGCAATCCAAGCCAGATGCTCGAACTATATATATCTCCCTTGCCGGCACATTTGACAATATCAGGCACAGGTAAGTCCTGAAAAAAGGATTTAGGTAGGTCGTTCAGATTAGATTGAGCAACATAGAGATTTGTGATGCGCTTAGAGGGTTCACTTTGAGTGTCATTGAACTGAGATGCGCTCATAATCAAACTTAGGGGTGCATTGAATTGCTGGAAATCTGAGGAAATTCCAAAAGGGCTGTTGTCAGTTGAAGATTTAATCATAGCCTCAATGATCACTGGTAAATGCGACTTCTTATACTCATTGGACCCAAGAAGCCATGTTTGAAAACATGCCAAGGCATTGCCCTCTGAGCCCTCTCCTTCGGGAGAAGGATGGGGAACAGTGAACTCATATGGTAAGATGAGATCTTCATAGGGTCGCATGTACTGTGTGAAGCTGGTATGAGAACCATCAGTGCCGTGCTGAAACCATTTTCGTATGGCAGGTAAATTATGGAAGTTTCTAAGAAGCAACGGAGTTTCAGGAACCCATGCGATTCTACGAAACAAATCTAAGTCGATATCGCCTACTACTGACTTAACACGGGAAATGTGCTGTTCGGCCTGTTCGGCCTGTTTGCGGGAATCCGAGTTGGCAATATCCGAGAGTTGAGTATAACTTCGATTCGTCGGAGACGCGGACGGAACCTGAGATAAAGCTCCGGAGCGTCGGAAGTTGTGTCTAGAAAAGGCCACCCGCGAGCCGAGTCTGACTTTAGATAGCATGAATATGGATTTTGAAAGGGGATGAAGGTGAGTCGATAAATATTACTAAAATGTGATTAAGAATTTAGTTGGTGACACGGTTGGAGATATCGCACAATGGCGCATGATAGAAAACGGAATTCGCACGGACCAGGTTTAGGTTGTTTGCTTGCGGCTTGACCTTACTATGTAAGAGCAAGAACTGTGTGGCTACATCTACTAGTCTGGCTTGACCTTGCCTGATGCGGCTCGTGAGTTCACAAGTACCTAGAAGTAGCTATACATATCAATATGAGCATTTAGGTAGATGATAGTGAGCAAAACCTGTAGCTATACTTGCCATACCTTATTTTTATTCCCGCACAGACCACTTTATTACCTGCTGGGCTAGACTGGGCTGAATCGCAATTTTGGTAGCCTCTCCCTCCTCTCATCCCCGCCAAAACTTATCACAACACATGCATCACAACTATTTCACAATATTGATTCACCATTGTAGCACAATATTCATCTGCCGAGACCTGTCCTAGGTATCTCTAGGCATAGATATCTCCCTTTGTCTGTTAAATTATTCTATTCCCTTTCGTCTTCGCTCTATACTCGCCTTCATCGGCGTCATGCAGGTGCCATAGCTCTCTCTTCTCTCGTCTCCCTAACCGCGAGTAACTACGGTTCAACATTACGCCTTGCGACTCTTGACCATCGTCACTCCTAGACAAATTGAATTTATTCGAGACGAGGCATCTGTTCGGGCGCATCTACTCTTGCCAGAATGTCCTCGTCATCTGGCACCCCGGAATCTTGGATTTCCTCCTTCTGCTCTCTCCTGGGCCACGAATATTTCGCAGAAGTGTCCGAAGAGTTTATCGAAGATGACTTCAACCTAACTGGATTGCAGACCCAGGTCGCGATGTATAAGGAAGCTTTGGAGGTTAGCTAAAATTAGAATGCGGGTGCTTTCGTTTTGCTAACCTCTACCCTAGATGATACTCGATGTTGAACCCGAGGACGACGATGAAGAGGATGAGGAAGATGATGAGGAAGAGGATGAATCTATTGAGGGTGTTGACCGTCCGCGACACGGCGAACGACGCAACCATAGTCGAATAGCTAGTGATTTATCCGTTATCGAATCCTCCGCCGAGATGCTCTACGGTCTAATCCACCAGCGCTTTATCTGCTCGCGAGCAGGCATTCAACAGATGTCGGAGAAGTATGAGTTAGGCCACTTTGGTGTATGTCCTCGAAGCCATTGTGAACAGTCTCGGACTCTCCCAGTTGGGCTCTCTGATATACCTGGCGAGGAAACAGTCAAGCTTTTCTGTCCTTCTTGTCTCGATGTCTACGTACCTCCCAACAGCCGTTTCCAGACTGTGGATGGTGCTTTTTTCGGCCGCACATTTGGGGCACTCTTCCTACTTACTTTTCCCGAATACGACCTTACGAAACGAGGTGCTGATGTACTAGCAAATGCGCGCGTGAGCGATGACGATAAGGAAATGCTTAATGGCATGTACACATGCAATATTGCACCTGGACTGGGCAGCACCAAGATATACGAACCCCGTATCTACGGCTTCCGCGTTTCGGAGGTTGCGCGCTCAGGCCCACGGATGCAGTGGCTACGAGATAAACCGGATAATATCTCAGAATTAGACGAAGCACGTCATCATGCGGAAGCCAACCCAGATAGCGACGATGATGACGAAAGTATGAATTTGAATGGACGGCCCGCGCGAAGACTACGGCCGCGAAGACGACATGGCCAAGGGGGAAGCCCTATGGCCGTAGAGGCGAACGGGGCAGACTCAGAGCTTTAAGAGAACAAGTCGAATGGCAGATGTGACCGACTAGAGTAGTGGTGGAGGCAACTATCTCCACTCGTCAGAAGTCCATAGGTGAAGCACAAAACACAGACCGAACTAGACACGATGTGTCTCGGATCTCACTAGGTCGAAAGAGCGTAATCGGAGTTTCCGTACCCATTATGGTCTCATCCTTGGTTTGCGGATAAGCAGCATGAGACGACGCAGATTATTAGGTCTCCGTGCTACTAGATAGGAAAAGGAACGAATGAAACCTATACTTCTACCTTGCATGGCCGGCGTTGGTAAACATTTCGATGCTTGATTCCATCCAGGCAGGCTTTTGTTTGGGGGCCTGGTTAGCATCAAAGGGGAAAAGAGGATTACAAGTTCGGAGAAAGCATACGAGGTAGTTTCTTGTGGATATGATGTAACTTGAGTCATTTGTCTTCTTGTTTGCACGTGGCACTCAATTGGAGTCTAAGGCTCTTATAAATCGTCACCACACATCGTAATAAATCCCTTCTCATGCGTGGTGACCGAGCTATCACGGTTTTGAAAGGCACAGCATAATTTAGTCGTTGTTAGTTTAAACCTCTACTAGTAAGATGTTTGGGAAACCCTAGCATTTCTGTATTCTGTAATTCTTAACGTTCCTCACGAGATGGCCATATTTGTGATTTGGGTTGAGTTTCTAAGTGCTTACTGCTGGATATCCCCTAGGATCACATGTTGGAGCTGACCAAGGGTAGGATCTATAGATAGGTACATACCTTGTACAGTATTGATATATCTTGGGTACCTACATGTAGGTATGCATGTAAGAGAATTTTCTATACTACGGCGACAAGGGACTTCACGGAGATTAGATTAACTAGTAGTATTATCTCCATTATCCTCGCCATAATTCTGAGCAGATGGGTCTATCTTCTAAGCTAATCTCCCAGAAACGAAGACCCACTAGAAATTTTATTAGAATGATACAGAATGATTCATTCTTCGTAGCTTCTTTCGGGATCACATGTGGAGTGTTGGTTTTAGCTATCACAAGCTAAAATATACACTTATAAATAAGGTATGGATGACAGATGCCGTGTCCGACACGGCGTGTCGGGCACGGGAGCATGTACAGAGTACGGGTATATACCACATTCGGCAATTCCGTGGTTTAAAATGTGGGCCTGACGATCAACGGTGAAAGATCACGTGAATGATGCTCATTAACGATAGCGACGGATAGGTAATATGTACGAATTGCATCTTGTTTTATTACACAAAGCATATTGTATTGCACACAGTACATAGGTAATAAGTCGCATCGCTACATCGTCGCATAATCTACTCTCTTAATTACTACAACAGACAAAAGACATGAAGCTTCATCGTCTGCGGTTGTGGACTACTTTTATAGGCGTATAGACTTATTCATCTATGAGCTAGCACTTTGCCGTTGGCCCGGGTCACCTCGCCGAGTTTCACGGCATATGTAGGTTAGGCATTTCCATGTACATGCAGCTTACATATATATGCATATCATGTAGGCACGTTTTGTGGCAGTTTAAGGGAACATATGTAGCATATGCGTCAGGACTCCTCTTATGTGACTTTGGCCTAAGAAAGTTGCCGCTTTCTAAAATAAATGTATTTCAAAGCTGTCTTCCCCAACGAGCGAGTTTCCGCGTATCGGAGCTTCTAGACCATTGAATCTTTCTGGGTCGGTGGCGAAGTAAGTGCTGAGCCGTATGTATGGAAATTTACCTGGCTGGATCTCAAATATTTGTACCCGCACGCACGGGTACATAATCCGTGGGGGTGGTCTGGTATGTTACAATCGTATAGGAATCTTAGGGATTTCAATGCAGTTAGTATCGGATATATTTCGGTTGTGTTCTCGACCCTCGCCCGGAAAGGGTGCGTAGATACCTACATAGAACTGATGTCAGCACGCAAAGCACCAAGACTGCGACTGAGCGTGTATCAAGTTATTGTTTGGATAGGTAGATCGAGATAAATGCAAAGCGAATGTAACAGTCCCACTACATCATTTCTAATCATCGACTTACATCTATTTGCCGGAACTATGAATTGGGCCGAGATGGGGTAGATACGTGTAATCCATAAAGAACATTGTTGATAACATTGTTAGTGAAGTTGAAAACTCCGTGGCATACCGGACTCCGACCCCGTATCCGAATTATAAATGGGTCGTTGCAAATCCACCCGCAACGGACGAATTTAAGGAGTAACATAAAAACCTCCCCCTTATTCTATAGGTAGATGAAGCTGACTGGTCAGATATTGCGAATCTAGATTCTAACCTGACTAAACTGGCCGAATGAGTCGAAATAGCGGTAGGTGTGGTTGGTCGCAGCGTCAGCGCACGGCGCACGCAACCCTTGGCAAAGTATCAGAGTGTCCACTTTCCACGAGGCTTCGAGATGCACAAGTCGGGGTGCGGGTACGGGAACCCGACGGCAACCAATAGGAAGAGCTTCGGATGGGCTAATTGAGAAGACCTCAACGCATTCAAAACCGATCTGCGGTCCAACGCGGCACATCTTATCAGTAACGAAGTTCCGGGACTAAGACAGCTGCATGATACATACATATGTCATGGTGCTGATATCAACATGTCAACGGTACGACGTAAGGCTAGAATTTTGATAGTTCTTATGTTATAAACTATTTTTCATTAACTTTAAAAGTATATCATTACATAACTATGTCTTAACTTATTAATATGAAATTAGTTTCTTGAAAAGTTTTTAGAGTTTTGATATATTGGTAAGTCGGGTACCTGTTAAATCCGGCACTATGGTCCGGTATATGTGGTTTGGAAATACATACCGTACTATGAAGTATGGATTTCAGTTTAGTCGGAAAGTGGGGGTCACTATACCCTATCTGCTCGCTGTAGTGTCAAGCGGTTAGTTACATACCTACGTAAGGTATCCATCAATCATAACGGGGGCAGGTTAGTTGCCCAATACGACGGTAATACAAAAAAAAGTATACCTTGCAACCCGGTTTAACTCATAGCCTAATCTTTTCACACCGCTAGCGAAGAATCGGTATCAGATGAAACGGAATTTTTATGGAGTTACTTCACATATCTTTGCTCTATTGATTGGTAATCCTGTTCCAATGCCAAGCCCAATGTCAAAAGTTCGGCTTCACAAGTTCCCAGGCTGCCAGGTATGAAAGATAACTGTTTGTATAGTTACCAAGTTACTTATCCCCACATACACTTCTTATGATACATGAGCAGTCTACACCAGGTAGTCAAGCATTCATATCGATATATTGTTCTAAGTCTTTGAATATATTATAGCTTTCAAATTATAAGAGCTTGAGAATTCTTACGAGTTTTAGAACCTTATAGAGAATATCTTAGAATCAACCACCTGTAAGTAAACAACCGAATAAATACTCGTTAAGCTAGATAAGTAGCGCATGTATTAGCGTACGAGAAAGACGCTGAAGAGTACTCATTAATATATGTGGGGTAAGTATTTTGCTAACAATTAGGTACGTTTGCCAGGGGAGACTTGTATTACAAAACCCATAAGCAGCATTTTCTCTTATTATACCCTTCACTTAAGAAATATGCATCCTTTTTTATCTTGCCTTCTCTCCGACTTCTTCTTTTTATTTATCTTTCTTTCCCCTGATCCCTTTCCCTTTCGCTCCCTCTTGAGCTAGTCGAACAGCCTTGATAAGTCTAATAAGTTCCCCTGGACTTAATAGTCTCTGTTCGTTCTCTGCTAGTCTCAGGGTTGCACTCTTCGCACTTGCAGCCGCTCTGAACTGCATTCGACTAACCGTGGAATCATTACTTGTTATATCATCAAGCACCTAGAGTCACCATAGGCACTTTTCGAATCACTTTTACAAATCCAATTTACGTGCCTACTAAGAGATTCGCGCATATTCGAGGCTTCTAAGGTCAACCGTGTAAGCTGGGTAACTCCCACAACAGTTGTGGGGCCATAGCCATGTCTGAGAAGGATTCAGAGAAGCAGTTTACATCCGGGGAACCGCCCCAAGACCATGACGATGGGTTCACGTCGGCTAAAACTACTGGGCCGCCGTCTACAGATTCGACAGTCGCAACGGACTTAGAGGAGCAACGTGAAACTGTCAGACAGAACAACCCCAATGGCTTCTCACGCATCAACACCGGCGTCTCCGTCGAGCAAGCCGAAGCCGATTTTGCTGAGCTCAGGCGGGAATTAACTGGGCTATCTAGAGCAAGTCGTACCCGCAGCCGAAAGGAGTCTGACGCCGAGAAAGGGGGCTTCACAAACCTCGAGACTCCGGGGTCTGAAGAGTCGATTGAAGCTTTCGATTTGGAGACAACCCTACGAGGAGGGCTAGATGCCGAGAGAGAGGCCGGCATCAAGCCAAAACATATTGGCGTCTACTGGGACGGACTTACGGTCAAGGGTATGGGCGGCACTGCTAATTTCGTGAAAACATTCCCGGATGCTTTCAAAGACTTCGTTGACTACTGGACTCCCTTGATGAGCCTACTCGGTAAAGGTAGCAAAGGTACCGAGGTCACCTTGCTGGAAAATTTCAAGGGCGTCGTGAATCCTGGCGAGATGGTTCTTGTTCTAGGAAGGCCAGGATCCGGATGCACGACTTTCTTGAAGTCGATTGCGAACCAGCGATGGGGTTATACTAGCGTTACCGGAGAGGTCCTTTACGGACCATTCACCGCTGAAGAGTTCCAGCAATACCGTGGCGAGGCCGTCTACAACCAGGAGGACGACATCCACCACGCCACCCTTACCGTTGAACAGACGCTCGCTTTTGCGCTCGATACCAAGGTCTCCAAAAGACTGCCAGCGGGAACCTCAAAGAGCAAGTTCAAGGAGGAAGTGATTACAATGCTACTCAAGATGTTCAATATCGAGCACACGAGAAAGACCGTGGTTGGTGATGCACTAGTCCGCGGTGTATCTGGTGGTGAGAGGAAGCGTGTCTCTATTGCTGAGATGATGATCACAAATGCCTGTGTCCTATCATGGGATAACAGTACTCGAGGTCTCGATGCCAGCACGGCTCTCGACTTCGTCAAGTCCCTTCGCATCCAAACCAACTTGTACAAGACATCTACTTTCGTGTCTCTCTACCAGGCATCCGAGAATATTTACAAGCAATTCGACAAAGTCCTACTTATAGACGGCGGCAAGCAGGTGTACTTTGGTCCTACTACCGAGGCGCGGGCTTATTTCGAAGGGCTAGGGTTCCTCCCGCGACCGCGACAGACGACACCCGATTACATTACCGGCTGCACGGACGAGTTCGAGCGCGAATACTCGGATGGCTTTTCGGCACGGAATGCCCCACATAGCCCCGAGACATTGGCCGAAGCGTTCGAGAAGTCCCGGTTTGCCCGACAATTGAGTACCGAGATGGCAGAATACAAGGCTAGGCTTGAACACGAACAAGAGATGGCCCGCCATGATGATTTCCGCATGGCCGTACGCGAGAGTAAGCGAAGCGGTGCGAAACATTCCGTCTACAGCGTAGGATTCCACCTCCAGGTGTGGGCTCTGATGAAACGACAGTTTGCCATCAAGTTCCAGGATAAACTTAGCATGGTACTATCTTGGATTCGAACTATTGTCATCGCATTAGTACTGGGGTCCTTGTACTTCAACCTGGGACAAACATCTGCTAGCGCCTTCAGTAAAGGAGGTCTTCTCTTCATTGCTCTCCTGTTCAACGCCTTCGAAGCATTCTCCGAATTAGGATCAACAATGATGGGCCGGCCGATCGTGAACAAGCATAAAGCATACACCTTCCATCGACCATCGGCATTGTGGATAGCACAGATATTTGTGGACACGGCCTTTTCAGCAGCGCGAATTCTTGTGTTCTCGATCATCCTCTATTTCATGACCAATCTTACGAGGACACCTGGGGCTTTCTTCACGTTCTATCTGCTGATTCTTGTTGGAAACATCTCGATGACACTCTACTTCCGTATAATCGCTTGTCTCAGTCCTGACTTCGATTATGCTATCAAGTTTGCTGTCGTCACGATCACTTTGTTCGTCCTAACCTCCGGTTATCTTATCCAATATCAGTCTCAACAGGTCTGGCTTAGGTGGATCTTCTGGATCAACACTTTGGGTCTTACCTTTTCCAGCCTGATGGCGAACGAGTTCGGTAGAAACCAATTGAGATGTTCGGACGAGTCACTTATTCCCTCTGGACCTTCGTATGGCAACATTAGCCATCAAGTTTGTACTCTAGCAGGCTCAACCCCCGGGAGTCTCGATATAAACGGCGGCGATTATATCACGCAAGGATTCTCGTACGCCCCCGAGGATTTGTGGAGGAACTTCGGTATTATTATGGCCATCATCGTATTCTTCCTCGTTATGAACGTTGTATTGGGCGAATTTGTGAAGTATGGTATGGGTGGCAATCAAGCCAAGGTCTTCGCGAAACCCAATGCCGAACGAAAGGCCTTGAACGACGCCCTCAACGAAAAGCGATTACAACGCCAGAAGTCGAGGGAGGCGGACACGGGATCTGCTTTGAAGATTGAGTCTAGTAGCATTCTAACATGGGAAGACCTCAAATATGATGTGCCTGTTCCTGGTGGCACTCGCCGTCTTCTAAACAGCATTTATGGTTACTGCAAGCCTGGTCAACTCACTGCTCTTATGGGTGCATCTGGAGCCGGAAAGACAACCCTCTTGGATGTTTTGGCAGCAAGGAAGAACATTGGTGTCATCACTGGCGACATCCTCGTCGACGGTCTTAAACCTGGAAAGGAGTTTCAGAGATCTACCTCGTACGCCGAGCAGCTCGACATGCACGACCCTACCCAGACCGTTCGCGAAGCCCTACGTTTCTCGGCCGACCTCCGACAACCCTTCGAGACACCACGCGAAGAGAAATACACTTATGTTGAGGAGATCATCGCTCTATTAGAAATGGAAAACATCGCAGACTGTATAATTGGAACCCCTGAAGCTGGTCTTACTGTCGAGCAGCGTAAACGTGTAACGATCGGTGTCGAGCTAGCGGCCAAGCCACAACTTTTACTGTTCTTGGATGAGCCAACTTCGGGTCTTGACAGTCAAAGCGCCTTCAATATCGTTCGATTCTTGAGGAAGCTTGCTGCTGCTGGACAGGCTATTCTCTGCACGATTCACCAGCCTAACGCCGCCCTCTTCGAGAACTTCGACCGACTACTTCTACTTCAACGAGGAGGCCGTTGCGTATACTTCGGTGATATTGGCAAGGATGCATGCATTCTTCGGGACTACTTGGCTCGACACGGTGCTGTCGCCGGCCCATCCGACAACGTTGCTGAATTCATGCTTGAGGCCATTGGTGCTGGAAGTGCTCCTCGAGTTGGAAACCGAGATTGGTCGGAGATCTGGAACGACAGCCCTGAGCTAGCTAACGTTAAGGACACGATCTCCCAGTTTAAAGAGTCCCGTAAAGAGGCGGCTGCGCAAACCGATCTTTCTCTGCAACGCGAGTACGCTTCACCCCTTGCGCACCAATTGAGCGTTGTCATCAAACGTACCAATCTCTCCTTTTGGCGATCGCCCAACTACCTGTTCACGCGCATTTTCAACCATATCGTCATTTCCGTCCTCACTGGTCTAACCTATCTGAATCTCGACGATTCCCGTTCGGCGTTGCAGTACAAGGTCTTCGTCATGTTCCAGATTACCGTCTTGACCGGTCTACTGCTCCCTCAAGTCGAATTGATGTACGTCATCAAGCGATCGATCTTCTTCCGCGAACAGTTGAGCAAGATGTACAGCACATTCACCTTCACTTCGGCTATGGTACTTGCCGAATTGCCCTACTCGATTATCTGCTCCGTGATCTTCTTCGTTCCCTTGTACTATATCCCAGGTTTCCAGACGGAGTCCTCGCGAGCCGGTTACCAGTACTTCATGGTTTTGATTACGGAGCTTTTCTCGATCACTTTGGCGCAGTGCATCGCTGCCTTGTCGCCTTCGCCTTTCGTCGCTAGCCAGTTCGATCCTTTCATCGTTATCACCTTCTCGATGTTCTGTGGTGTTTCAATCCCTGCCCCTCAGATGCCTGCTTTTTGGCGATCGTGGCTGTATCAGCTGGACCCGTTCACCCGCCTGATTGGTGGTACTGTGACCACTGCTCTGGATGACCTCCAGGTGAACTGCCGACCGTGGGAGCTCAACTCGTTCACTGCACCCGAAGGCCAGACCTGTGGCGAGTACATGGCTCCTTTCTTGGAGAAGGGCGCTGGGTACATCGTGGACAACGCCACTAGCCTGTGCCAATACTGTGCCTACAAGGTAGGCAATGAATTCTACGAGCCACTAGGCTTCAAGTTCGACTACCGGTGGAGGGACCTTGGTATCTTCCTAGCTTTCGTGGGCAGCAATCTGATAATCTTATTCTGTGCGGTAAGTTTTGCCTTCACCCCCTGCATCATTTGCGTGTTCTGTACGAGTGCTAATATTTACTATATAGGGACGGTTCCTGAACTTTAACCGACGTTGATGTACGACGAAAAGAGAGAAGTATGAGATGTACGATGCCATTTAGCTCATGTGACTATCAACGAATTTTAGACTGAGGAGGAGGGCAAGAGGAACGACGACGACGGGTAGACGAAGAGTTGGTGCATATTTTGCGATATCGGAGTTGGGAATAGACCAGGAATACTTAGATCAAGCATCAGGCGGGAAAGCCATTTACATCATTATATTCAAGTTAATAGTAGATCAAGCATATAGAGTTATAATTCAAGCACCAATAGTGGTGCATACTATATCCAAGTTCCGCGTATGTCCGAAGCACCATAAGCTTTGTCCTAAGCTCTCTATGTCTGTGAAAGATCCATCTGTCCAAGATTCTCTAACATGCACTCACTTCATATGTTAATGGCTGTCCGGTTACGTTTTTGCGCCCTTACATACGACGAAGTTCTAAGGAAAGGGGGTAAATATGTACCTAAGAAATATAAGCTATTAGAGAGATAAGATTACTATGCAATATTCTATTATCCACAGCAATACGATACCGAATAATTTGTAGAAAGAGAGATTTATGCTTTGCTTCATCAAAAAACAATAAAGGTTTAGGATTTGCGCCAAGTAGCACTTAACATATATTCCGTACATCAGACTGGGATATCATTTAATAACCATGGCAAATAAGGCAGACCCCGGAATGAAATACGAGCACTGTATAGCCAATGATGGCTGCACTCTCGCCTTTCAAACCTCGCTACCAGTTAAAGAGAAAGCGACATCCGAAGCTCGCTACGAGCGGTGCATCCTCTTGATGCATGGGTTCAGCGGTTCGAGCGCATATTTTACGCGTAATTTCGAGACCCTGAGTCGTAATTACTGGGTCGTCGCCCCGGACATGCGGGGTCACGGAAATTCCAGTCGGCCGCTCGGGGGTTATCATGTAGCCCGTCTAGCTGTTGATCTGCGAGCCTTGGTTACTCATTTGAAAGACTCCTTAACCCTTACCAAGGCGGTAAAGATTGTGCCCGTCGGATGTTCAATCGGCGCTGCGGTCCTCTGGACTTACGTTGAGCTCTTTGGGTGCGACGACTTCAGCGGGTTTGTGTTCGTCGATCAGGGGCCATTGCAAGATCGCTCGCCCTTTGGCAACTGGGACGCGTCGAAATCCCACTTGGGCTGTTATGACGAGCAGACCATGCAAGCTGCGCAGCGGGAGTGGATACATGATTCAGTCAATGCGCATCTAGGTCTAGTACAGTCTTGCTTGGGATACCGACATGCGCCGGAGCCGGCTACCGACGATTTGTCGGATGAACGACGGCGGCGCGACGAGGAATTCTTTACGCGCATTAGCGCACAGTGTGACCAAACTTGGCTAGCGAAGCTGCTGGCCGACCACACGCGCTACGATCACCGTGAAGCTATCGGGGATATCACCTTACCTACTCTGGTCATGGCAGGTCGAAGAACGGGTTGTTTCCCTCTCGAAGGCATGAAGGAGACCGTAAGGCAAATCGAGTCGAAACGCCCTGGAACAGCAAAGATGTCAATATTCGACTCTGGCCACTGGCTGTTCTACGAAGAGCCGGAGAGATTCAACAATGAGATCGCCGAGTTTGCACAGATACATTGTGGGTGAGGTAGATCATATCATGATGTGGAACCAGAATACATGAAAACTTCGCTGTTCCGCAATGGACTCTGAACCTGGCTATGGAAGTCCGCGACAAAAGATACCGCGAGTATCTTTCGTTCCAGATGTCTCATTCAGAATTCTAACAGATCACGGATTATTCAATTATGCTTCAAGACATAGCATGAAATCTACAATCAAGGTAGAAATCCAGGTCAAATTAACAAACAACAGCTTTGATATGCAAGTGAGTTGCTAGAATAAGATACGCCTCTCTCTGATAAATAGATATCGAAATATTGAAATAGATGGTAAGTCCAATGAGAGTATCCCATCGAGCCGCTAGGACCCCACCGCTTTCAAGAATGTTGAATAAAATCTCATCTTCTCCACTCATCGTCAACAGATCACTTGAAATCAGTTGCATCTTAAGCTGTTAGTATGCCCTATTCCCGGCTCGAAGTGTGGGAATCGGCGTTATCATGGCAGGGTTTGCAGATTTGAGTATCGAGCTCCAGGAGCTCATATTCGAAAAGGTTAGTCTTAAGCCAAGCCCATGTTGTAATTCGCCTGCTTAGTAATGATACTTCATAGCTGCGTGAAGTCGATGAGCCGCTACTTATTACACTCAAGAATGCCAGTTTAACCTGCAAGGCATGGCATCGGCTAGCCGCGTCTATCTTGTTTAGGCGGCTTGTCTTTGAAGCCGACACTTTATCAGAACCCTACGAATTAGCTCTAGACCACTTGGAGTTTTGGGAGTCCCATGAGTACCTACATCAATACGTTCGTGAAGTCGTGATTCGCATCGGGTTCCCTGAGGTGACAAGTGAATGGGCCCTGGATCTTCAAAAACTATTGTCTCGACTTGTTAATCTAAAGCATGTTAGGTATGATAGCCCGTACCATGTTAATTTTCAGATAAGCTTACATCAGGTATCTGTCAGTATTGGCGGGGATCAAAATGAGCATCCGAATGGAATATATCATGACCCAACAACTTATGACAGCCAAGAATCTTTACCTATGAATGAATTTAGGAACGCCTTATTCTACGATTCAAATTATATCGGCCGGAATGTCACGGTAACCTTACAGAATTACGTCCACACACTGGACCGTGAGACCCTGGATGTCTCTATTCTGGCCTCATCCAAGTCACAAGAGTCTGCGTCCCATTCAAATTTGACTTCCCTGCGGATTACAATCGTTCACCGACCGTACGATAACTATGGGCCTTGGCAAGGTGTTCAATCCCCCATATCGCCATCCCGTGAGGTAGCTACTCTACTGGGACCCCATAAGAACCTAGAACACTTATGTTTAGAGCTCCCAGATTCGGAATCTATCGGCTACATCCGTATTAACTACGAGAATGAGAGCTGCCGCGCCTTAGAGAATATCGCGCCCTTAACACCTCATCTCAAATCCCTAGTTCTGCATGGTGACTTTTCCGTCTCGGACCAAGCCTGGTCCCAGTGGAGTTTAATACCGTGGTCCCAGCTGGAGTCGTTAAGCCTGGTTAGCACTTCTATGATAGAGAGGTTGGCGGAAAGACTCGCGGGCCAGTCTCTCCCATCTCTTCAAACACTCAAACTAGCCACTTATATGTATAAGCCTAAACCACTAGGCCTACCCCCGGGGAAAATCCCGTTTACTATCAGTGTGCCCCAGCTATCCTTGACCGGGTACCAGTCTGCCGCGCTGATGGAGTACCTCAGTCGCAGTGCACAGAATGCCACCAACTTACGGAAGTTACGCTTCCATACAATAGAGCCCGGTGGGGGGCCGGGACTCTCGGTATCCGATATAGAACAACTCGGTATATGTACACGGCTGACTTGGCTCGGCTTGGATATTCCCCGTAACCACCACCCCGATAACGACCACCCCACTCCTAGTAGTAGCTGGCCCGGGTACCTGGACGCTATCGCGAGACTACGTCCGCTGCAACACCTCCGCACGTTCATCCACAACGGCTACGGCGTAAAAGACGTACTTAATAAGCACGGCGTGATAAGAATGTTCCAGTACATCCAGTCCCGCAAGCACGGTTGCGCCCTCCAGAGCTTGGTCATCTGCGAGGATCGCGGCGCACGGCGGGGACTCTGGGTCATATGGGCCTGGAGCGAGGAGAAAGTCGTGATCGACTATAGGTGGCCTGCTGTCCTTCGCGGAGGAGATATTTGGGACTCGAAGGTGGCTCGGTCCATTGAGATATGGGATACGGGAACTATGGAGAAGGTACAAGATTGTGCTACTCGGTGGAAGTACTGGAAGGGGTGGTGGCTTGACGAAACTGAGGATTTGTTCTGGGGTATATCTGAGGGGTGGTAATTACCGGATATATCCTGCCTTGATAGTATCCCCAGGAAATATCTGGGTATAATACATATTGTTGGTATGTAGGTAGTCTCCTAGCTAAGTTTGAGTGGAACTTCCGGTCCGGTTTGCTAGATGGTAATGATGTACAAGACAACTAAATTCATTCCTGAGAGAACATAGCGGTAGTAAAGACATGGAGTGGTAGAAAATGCCAGAAAGGTCATAAATCAATTATCAAAGTGTACCTAGGTATATATCAGATATTTAATAGGTTCAGAGGTTGTTTAGATTGCCTAGTTGGTCCTTTAAAACATGCACATAGACTAAGGGGTAACTCCGAAAACAACCCATCGATTCGTCACGTCACGTTGATTTACCTTGTCTAAGGTTTATTTACTTCTAGCAGAATGTTGGTTTAACGGAGTTCTAATAGCTTTCCTGAAGACTAAGCGTATCTCGTATCTACACCATGAGCTAAACTTTGCTCAGTGCGCTAGCACTTAAAGCTCACTGCAATTTATTAACTGTTCTAAGCAGGATTATAGATGGTGCATCTAGAACAAAGGGTGTTTTCAGTAGATATGTATAGCTAAGGGCTTCCCTGGTTTGTTTTAAAATTCCTTACAAAATCTTGATCGACTTATGACTTTTGTAAACTCGGGCTATTGTAGTGCCGCCTTTTATCATTTAAAATTACCGGTTTAAGTGAAGATTAAGCCAAAATCTTTTAACAGCGTTGTACTTTTCCATACAAATGGAATAGTACGATATATATTAACTATTTCAAATAACATCTTCATCAAATAACATTGAAAATCCTGGTGACCTGTAATATAAAGGTAAGCCTTTTTCAACTTCTCATAATTACATCCGTTTTTTACTCGAATTCGAAGTCTAAACAACATTCTAATAGGTCATTCATAGGCAAGTTCTTATCACATTGATCTCCTTTTATATTTACATCTATCATGGACCCCCAAACTTGTCAACAATTGCCGCTTGATCTTCATTCCCTATCTAGATAGCGATCACGTAGCAACTCATCTACTGCCAATTCTTTCCGCATAAAAAAGCCCAAATTACATTCTTCGTCAAGATCATTCTCACTTGCGCGGGGAAAATGGGAAGAGCCATCCCAAATAACTCGTACCCCATTCTTACCTCAATCACATACTGTTGAGAGGACATATGCTCGATCACCTTCCGTCAAATATACCGATTTCCAATCATCTCCCACTGAGAAGACCGACTCTCAATCACCCCCCGCCAAGGAGTTAAAATCCAGGAGAGATCTTAGAATAGCTGCTTGGCTTGATACCGAAGACCTAGAATCACCACCTTCAGTCAAAACCTACTCAACATACACTGCCCCGGACTCTATCACAATGGCTTCTAAAACCTCACCTGAGAGTAAAGCAGATGATTTGCCGGATGCGCATGCGCGGATGGGAGTTCTCAATAGTAATTCAATTAACATACGAAATCGCTATATATTATTTCCAGACTGTATTCGGAGGCACCTAGACGAAATTGATGCTTGTCCAATGGATGACATCCCTGACAATATAGCCGAAATACATCAAGATTATTCGAACGCTGCTCTGAAGAGAACGTACGAAGCTTATCTGATGAATGAGCTCGTTATAGCCTTGAATATTAGACGTAGATGCTGGGTTGGGGTTGGGAGCGCCAAAGTTTCCGGCTATCCCAACTCCCCCCGGATCGTATGACTTCTCAACACCCCAATATCTCTATGGATCCAACGGCTCGCAATGATACTAGTCCCGCAAATACTAAAGATCCTGATGGTGGTGATGATAACGTTCACGTCTATTGGGCTAGAGATCCTATGGGTCCTATAGAAACGAAGCTTGAATATGCCCTCGAGACCCCATATACAAGCCAGAATTGCCCTCCAGAAAAGGGGAACAACACATTGAGGGTCCCGAAACCCGACATAGTTTTTGGATACGACGCTGAAAATTTTCCTGAGATACTTAAGTTGAAAGAAAATAAATATACGCCAGAAAAAGAGCTCAGCGACTGGTTTTACTCCAGTACAAGTTGCATTTGTTTCCCGTACATGGTTCTTGAAGCAAAAGGCCATCGAGATTTATTCGCACTAGCAGAGAACCAAGCTATTGATGCTGGCCGGGTGTCCTTGGATAGTACCTGGTCGATACTTGGAGACGAAGATATGGTTTTCCTCGTTAGCGCAATGCCATATCTTGCAAACGTCTCCATCATGTGGAGATATGTAGACCCAAGTAACAAAGAGCCTGTTTATACCTCACAATTCTATACCAGCTTTGCTTTACTGGAGATGGACCAATTTAAAAAGTTCCGAACATTACTATTCCGTATACAATATTGGGCAGGAACGAATAAGTTACAGCGAATTGAACAAGGCTTTCGAACGTGGAAAAATGATGGGTATCCCCGAAACCTATACCAACCAGTAAAGCGCAAAGTACTATCCAAAGGACGTTCGCTTGTTTGGGTCCCTAATAGCTAGCTAATTAAAATGAAATAACCTCACGTTAGGTTTCTACTATATCAAATTATTCTTATGTCTTGTTTCGCCGCAGAGGTGAAATATTATATCATAACCCCCAAGCTTCTGAAACCAACATTTGGAGCTTCCTGCAAATGTAAAGATGATATCCCTTGCACCTTAGTTTCATGCCATCTTTGAAGGATATTAGTTGAAATGACATGTAGTTTCAAGACAGAGATCTGTGACTATTTTTGCTGATACGTCAGATGTTTTAAACTATCAGATTATGCCATAGAAAAGATGGAATTCTCATACAAGCTCGTTTTTGTGGAATATATGATAGTAGGAGACACCAACGTTTCTGGAATATCCGAGCACATTCGAATAGAGGTTCGGATTGATAGAAAATAAACAATTTGGTGATATCTACAGAAGACTATTGGGCATATAAGTCTGTTTTATCTTCGCATTGGTTTATTGCGAGCGGGATTCGTTATATTAGCTCCAAACTAGAGATGAGTCTTTTTATACCATCCCCGATATGAGATACTCTCAGCGTTAAGAAATGGAATAGACTAATTCAATTCATAGATCTACTCATCCAACACTCCACGGGGTACGAGCTTCTTAACAGCTAGTTTAGAATCCATCCAAATCTAGAGGTAGCCTTTCTCCCATCCAAATAGCCCTCTGTGAATGATTTCGGCGCTCAACCCCTTCTTCGTTCTCGACCGTGTTGGGATGGATCAACACTGATAATGGACCCCTATAGATAGCAAGCCAGGGGATGAAGGCGCCGAACTGGGCTGGTGAGAAGAGATTAACTTCAAACATTGCCACTGGGTGAGGGCCTATCGGTTTATCCCAGAGGCGGTATATCCTTAGCTCAGGAACTGTGCACGAAAGCCATTTAGCAAATATTTACTAAAGTTCTTGTCCTACGTTACAAGAGAGGGCACATGGAAGGTGAGGGGAAAGATAAGTAGGGACCATACACTCTCGTCGGATTCGCTCCCAAAGATCCTTTGCATGCTGCGTCTGGCTTTCGTTGTTTTGAAAATAGTAGATATGTATATCACTGAGGGGGTGTAGTCCCGCACATGTTAGTTGACAGCAACTGTGGAGCTCATTGTCGGAAACTCACAAACCACCGCGACGACCGTTATCCAGCGGGTCGGGGAACTCGAGATAGGCCTTGCTGAGGGTATCACTCGTTGGATTCTTGTAGCTTTTGCCGTCCTCGTTCTTCTCGTCCGGCAGCGGCGGGGCATTCTCGTACCCCTCGAGGGGAGAGACGTACGTATACTTCCCCGCTGAGTAGACCATCGCGCTTGAGTCTTAGTATGCACTTGGCGTTAATATAGGACTTAGGCTCTACGTGTTAATTTCAGAAGTGCATTTCATAGATTAAGTCTGTCGTACGATGTTAGTTCTAGGAGTGTTACCTTTTTAAATTCGCATGGCGCTACGAATGACGTGCTTCTCCCCCGCCCGGCGGCATAACCTATTGATTCCGGAAGCGCCGGATACGACTCCGATGCTCCCGTTTCCACTTCTCTCCACTTAGTGCATGTGTCCTTGAAAACCGGGTACCGCTCCGGATTGAAGATGTCCGACACGTCGGCCGTGATTCGCCGTGTTCCCGTGATACTTGTCAAAAATTGCTAGAATATAGGCTCAGTGGGATACTAAGGAATGCATTACTTAACTGTTCCAACGTGGTTGTTATCCACCCCTGTCCAAGTTAGTTCATATCATGGCATATATCTCTTAACTATATGTATATAACCCAATATATGACCTAATACTTGATGCAGTCTTTATTTTCATTCGTATAGGTCTCGAGTGAATGTTATCTACGCCGTAATCGTTGCTTATAAGTTACACAGTTAGAACTATTAGATACTTGAGGGTACTTTGTTGAAGAGGTGTGCCTGATAATCTCGTATTAACCATTATCAGTAGATCTAGGCTAGATTATCTAGAGTTTAGGCACGTCTAAGGGCAATTAAAAAAAATCCAACCTGTTGAGTTTCCGTATGTCATAGAGTCGGTGTAGCATCATAAGATTGTCAATGATATCTAACCACCATAAGCCGTACATATTGTTTGATTAGAGAATAATGTTTCAGCTTGTATGTGCGACATCATTTGTGGCGATTATGTTAGATAATAAAGAATATAGAGATAGGATGTTGATCGAATGACAATAGGTGAGATGTAACAAACTTCGTTTCACAAGATGCGCCCAACTATGTAAGCATTCTCACGATCCTACTATACAGGGGGGTTTGGGCTGAGAAGTCTTTTAATTTGATATTACGTCTGTGGGTGTCAGTACTTAATTAATGTAATAAGAAGAGACAAGTGTTAGAATGTGATAGTTGAATATTGGGAGTGAGAATCCGTCATAGTCTCATGAAGTTACCTCATATACACTCATGAAATGTATGACTATAGTTTGATAGCGTCCACAACATCATATTTAGTTGATCTGGACTAAAACTGTGAATTTACTCCGTTTAAAGCCTTACTACTAGCCTATTCTTCTAATCTAATGTTACTTCGTTTTCATGTCTCTGTGAGTGACTGGCTTGATAGTTAAGACATAAGTGGTCAAGGCCATCCACAACAAGGTTCAAACATTATCGAGATCTTTACTGAAGAGGGGAGATTCTTCTAGAGTAACTCACTAAAATATGGGTTAGGTATGAGACATAAGAGTGAAGAGCGTTGCATATACTCTAATGAATGTTTACCTAGAATCAAATACCTACCTCTATATAGTAGTTAAACCTAAGAGGTTCACGCTCTATACTTAATACAAAAATCTATAAACTCATATGATATTCATCCCTATATGGTAGTTTGAAAATTGTTTCTCCGCAACTGGAACATTAGAGTTGCATATTTATATTATGAATCGAGAACTGCCTTGCATAAAACTGAAGATATTCGTTACTACATTATAACTTTGTCTAATTACTACGCGAACACCCCCGTTCAATAGTATATTATGTCTTTCCTATCGCCGAAGCAATTAAGAGTCGATACCCCGGAGTCTTTGAACCCTTTTCAGAGTAATTTCCGAGAGCAAATAAAACCGCCCGAGTGCTCTCCGAAATGAACCAACGCCACCCTATTAGCTCTTTAACTTAACAAGAGGCTTAATATTATAGATTGTTCTCGTCATCGTATTGCCTTAGCGCGGGTGGCTGTAATATTGATTAGGAATAGCTTGATGATTTGGATTCCCGGTTAGACATAACGGCCCGCTGGGTTTGTTTCATAGCGATCGGAATATCTAAGTGGAATCGGTGGTGCCAAACAAAATAGACTATTGTATCTATCCGTGCTCTAGTGTAGTCACAATACATACGCAAATCACTTTGCCTGGGCAAAGCTGGGCTTTAGGCGCGCGCCACTTCCTAGTTCGGAGGCTGCCGACAACTGTGTCCACGCTAGGAAACGACTACATACACACATATGATATTCCCCTTGAGACTTTAATACGCTATTATAGCCATGTGACGAGAAGAAATGTTGTAGAACTTTGGGAATACATAGATGAGATGAACTTCATGGAACGTGGCAAGGAAATGCTACCAAACTACAATACTGTATGCTGCTGGTCCATCTCTTGGGATGTTATAAGCTCGGTTCATGCCAGCGGGCATCTTCCGCTTGTCCAAGAGTATCCGGTAGTCCGGATTTGTGCACATGTCGGCCTAGATCTAGATCTCATCGATACGGCAATTAAATATATTACACTCCTTTGACAGCTGCAACGTGTCTGCTTACGTTGTCATAGAACGACCCCTTTCAGATGAATGTCTCAGAAGAGACTAGGATAAAGGTTAATCGTCGATGGACTGCTTGATGAAAGATATGATCCCCCACCGAGACCAGATACTAAACATACCGACTTATGACCGCTGACCGGTTTCCCATTGAGATCTATAGAATATATTCGTGAGGTAACTTTAATGTTCGCCCACGAAGCTCACGAGGTTGTAAATATGATAGTTCTCCTACATTAGTAAGTTTTCTGCAACCACGGGTATGCAGCCGCTGGGAACATCTTTGGATATGGATATGCGGGATTGCAAGGACCCTGGACGCGGTATCACTCGCATAGAAATTGTTGTGATCATACGATCTAAGATCTAGCCGAATATTTGAATGTAGGGAATAGAGCCAATAGATCTGTCCTTGAGCCCTACCTGATTATATGTATAGAACCCTACCTAACAGAACGGAACGGAACGAACACCGACTTGCTACTGCTTTCGAATCACGGGAAATAGGGGACGGAATCTACCAAGTTGTTGGGTAGGAGATTTCATACTCAGAAGGGGTGTTCAAGTATCAAATAATTTTTACCTGCTTGATATTGCAAGTGAAAGACGCCAATATGTATGAACGTGGGTGAATGTGTGCCTTGCACAAGCATATGTATAGCTGGTAGGCATATAGGTATGGAGCACAAGCATATGTATACTTGGTAGGCATATAGGTATGGATACACGTGGTATGAATCATGGAAACTACGGTATGGAGTATACTAGACACTGATTATCTATACGAGATCAAAGGCGACGCAGTGTGCCCGTGCCGGTAAGAAGACTCGTGAGAATTTTTGTAGTTGATACCGGAATATATCGTCCGTGGCGACGTTGCATACATATATGCATATGTACCTGTGCATGCGAAGATGTATGCGGATGTATATGCGATGTTCCTACATGAAGCATCACGGAAGAAAACGGAGGAGAGGTTCGATGTGGAAGTGAACATGTGGTTGTACCAAAGTACTATTAGTAAGAGATATTGGAAGTCAGCACGATTTTACGATTTACGAAAATGCTTTTTGTACGAAGCATCGGAGCAGTGGGGCAATGGGGCAGTGGAGTAGTGGACCTAATCTTCAAGATCTTGAAAAGGTACTCGATCTGACTAAATAAGCCACAATCCGCCACAAGCTTAAAAAGATGGATGGTTCCGTCCTGCCGTCCTGCCGTCCTCCGTTAGGTACCTTCTAGCTTAGCTTCTGTGGCACATGACTGTCCTACCTAAAACCGTTAGGTTTCAGTGGAGTTATAGCGAGGCTGCAAACATTTAGGGTATCTGGTTGAGGATAATGCCGACCAATGGAAAAAATGATTGCAACGTTTTTATCCAATTACATCCACTGTTTGCATCTAGAACCCTGTTCTCGTTATTTCAAAAGTGACCGAAAGCGAAGGTCATACGATATTTAAAATGTCAGCCTTGTGAATGGCCTGATCTTTATTCTTCTCACCCCACATGATGCATGATTCTGGACCGTGACCCTTGAAAAGATTCCCTTTATCGACAAAAAGTCAGGCCACATTCTTGCCCTCCCGGTGCACCGATGACAATAATTTTCCTACTTTTCTCGTCGAGAGGACTGCAAAGACTGCAAAGACTGTGAAGACTGGTAAGTACTTGTGACAAAATTTGCAACGCGGGCAAATCCCATTAGCTCCCATTAGTTCCCATCGGTTTCCATGCTTTTTGACCGCTGCGGCCATCAGCCCACAATGTGGACAGAATGGTCTGCCGTCCTCCTAGGTCCTCCTAGGTCCTCCTAGGTCCTCCTAGGTCCTCCTAAGTCCTTCATTTTCCCGTTTGCCGCTCCTGGCACTTCTAGCATTTCTTAGCCATCGTGGCTAATGTAAGTCAGTACCCCTGTAATTATTGTATTAAGGTAATAGCCCAGAAATTTCTAGGAATTATTAGGAATTAATAGGAATTATTCGGAGCTTCTTATTGGATTACAAGTCACGCTGGCGGTCTACAACGGGTCTTACCAAGTTGCTGCCGCGCGGCGACCTGCCGCCGAGCAGTACTTTTAGTTATACGGGTACGGTCCAGTACCGTCCCAGTACCGTACCCAAAGAAAAAGGGTATGTAGTAGTATATCGGGATCTCCCTTTGGGGTCCGGCTGGCCTGGCTGGCCTGGGGAATTTTATCTGAGCGTCTCCGTTGCTCTGCAGCGTCAGGCCATTAATTCTGGACTGTAACTTCGTACCCTTGCATCGTCGGGCGGTCTCGGCCATTGTACGCTTCATACGCTTCATACCCTTTCAAACGGCAACCCTGGCCCAGTAAGACTTCGTGGGATCTAATTCTTATTCTTTAACGGCCGAATTCTCGAATTCCCATCTCATTTCATCCTGATCCAACTGTCCTATACATAGATAAGCTAGCCACCCAACCGAAATAAACTACCTAGCTTATTTGTTTATTATATATCATATCATCCGTTCTTCAATATCGTTTGATCTATTCACCATTGTGGCATTATATTTGATATTTGTGATATCATACCTTTCCATACCTCATAGTCGAGACCCCCCTATACAACCTTTCGTGTATAGTGTGTTGGTGTGGCTTGCTCACTTCAGCTGGTGGCTTCA